TGCCACCGGGTTTCAAAATTGCTGGAACACGAACTCTCTGTCCCAAATTCTTTCGCGAATGAAATCACCGCGACAACCGTCCATTCGATAAAATAAAAATACCGGTAACGAAAAATATAAAAAAAAATCACGCAAATTCGTTGAATCGCTCCGAACCACTGGTACCGCCGAACCCAATTTTTCTTCCTCCGTTCGTGATCCGCGTACACACGCGCGTCTGAACGGCCGACTTTCTGCCTCCACCCATCCCTCCCCTACCCTCGTGGCTGGCTAACGAACAATTTACAAATAACTGCGTTTGCTCAACGCGGTCGGGTCCGATGCTTGCCCAGAGTCACGTGATAATTAAGCCGATTGTGAGCGACAGAGAAACCATGGGAATACTAATGCTGTAACAGGATAGCCTGGCCCGATATCGACGTTCGCGCAGAAAACGTCGACACTTACGAAATTGGAGTCGTTAAAAGCTCTCCTACCTACCTCTTTCTCTCTCTCTCTCCCCCTCTATTTGTACTAGAAACGAAAAGATTCATTCCAGTGTACCTATTAAAAAGAGAAAAACAATGCAGTAGCTCAAGCATTTTGTAGAATTTGGCCCGATGCACACGACGTCGTTGCGATTTCGCAATGGAGACGGTCTGCGATTTAGCAGGTTTATATTTCTAATGATGCAATGCGCACGAGCGTACGATTGCGCTACGATATCGCCGATAATATTCATTGTTATAATGTCATCGCTGCAAAATCCCAACGACGCACAGTGGCAGGACGAATGATGAAAAATAATCTTCATTTATCATCCATATAAAACTACTATTATAATTTCAATAATCGTAAAATAAAGAATCTGTAATCCGTCATTTTGACGGGTATCGTACTTCTAGCGTTAAGATAGCGGGCGGCACACAGTGTCATATTTATGATAACGTCATCTCATTAGAAGGTATAGAATTCCTTAGACGCGCATTTTACGCAAAATCTCCTACAAAACGCACACGAATTGATATTTTGATCGGCTCCTGGAAGGCTTGTCCCATACTCGTCCCATCCCAAGTATAAATGATGACCCTAAACCGCCATGGTTCGCGCCCGCCAACCCGTCACCTCGAATTATCTCGACCTAACCGGCAAAAAGAAGTGACACACACACGGTACGGTGGTAGGATTCGCGAAGAGGATCGTCCCGAAATTGTCGCAGTGCGACGGTGGCTTGCGGATGCGACGCGTCCTGACGACTCGTGTGTGCGCGCGTGGCTAGCTCGCACACGTACGTACATCATGCATGCATATCCATACTAGGACGGTTTAGAACAGGCGAAAGAGGGTTTCAAGATTTCTCCAGGCGCGTTGAGGGTCGAGTCGCGCGCGAGTGCGTTGCAATTATGCAAAGCGGCTCGCTACGATGCCGTTGTCGTCGTCGTCGTCGCGTGGAAACTGCTCAACTCCTCGAATTAAACAACGCTCGCGCCGCGTGACGAGGAGGACCGATAATTAAAAGACGCGTTACTCGAGAGGATTTCGGTATAGGCTGTAATATAATGTATACATATACCGCGGAGCATCGCATCGTTGCGTGACTCCCTCCACGAGAAGCATTAATTAATGTCAGGATCAGTTGCATCACATTTGACATCGTTGTGAGCTACGGGAGAGAGCACCCTCGTTTATCCTCTCCGTGCTATCTGTCTCCTTCACACGCTGCGGGAGCTACACACACGCTCGCAGACACGCAACAGAGTTCCTACAGCCTGCGCCAGCGAACGCTAATGGAACGGAACAGCGGAAAAACGAGTTGGGACAGATTTATCGGGGTTAGTACAGTTTTACGGGGATGGGAGGAGGAGACACACCGTGGACTCTGGTGTAATTAAGTAAATGTAATTGCACGTACGTTCCACACGAGTCGTTCATATATAGTCTTTTCTTGGTTTTTGCTTCCGTGGATACTCTTACTACTTTCGATACTACGTATAGGCGACTACATGAGCTGATGGAAAAGATTTGCTTTTGCCTTAACATCGGTGGTACACACGGTCTGAATGAAAAATTTAACGTGTACTACGAGTAGTACACGTGAAACGCAACGTATTAAACTCGGAATTCGAGGACTGGTCAACGAGATAAATTCCAGGGGAACAGCGATTCGGTGTACAACACAAGATTCGCCTGTTGCAAAAGCGAATAAACACCACAAGGAATCACGAAACAACAATTAATTCCAACATCTAAACGCAACGAAACGTTCTGAAAACACGCGATTCACTTGTACAATCTAGACGGGGTTGGAAAGGGGTTTCGAGTGGTTTGTCCTACATATTTCCCAGAGTTCAACGCGGGCCGATAATGTTTTGGCCGGTAATCTTTCGCGACAGAGATACCGAATCGTGGGAGAGGGGGTGGAGGGGTTAGAGAATAAAGGGTGGTAGATCTCTGGTCGTATGGCGGCCACGAACAAAAGAGTGGGAACCGGGGATTGGAACAAAACGCGAAATGCCGATGGTAGAAAGGAAAACGCGATGAAACGACACAGCGACATCGAAATACGACGAGGATTGTGTACAGGGGTTTGTAGGGTACCGCCGCGAAACGCGTGTCCCTCCCCGCACAAACGGTTACAATGCGTGGAGCTGGATGGAGGGAGCACTCGCACAACCACCGATCGCGTGTCTGGCTTGTACCGCAATCGGGCTCATTGTCCGCGACGACAAGAGTGCCGAGGGTACAAAGCATCGCAGGCACTTTATCCCCCTCCGCCCTCCACTACGTGTACTTGTGCCAGGGACTCGTAAACGTGTGTGTGTGTGTGTGTGTGTTTGTGTCATCCGCAGCCCCCGATGCAACTAGACAATCTATCGTAAACAGAGAAACGTGGCTACAAGATATACACACGTGGAATCGGCTGTGTTCGGTACCGATCCTCCGGTTTCAAACACTGGAAATCATTCGATGATACCAGCTGACAGATTCGAATTGTCGACAGATAATAGGATTATCGTAGGATCTCCGGTACAACGCGATCGAATGTTTCTAGCCTTTCGATCAAATGGACCCATGGTGGAGGAACTCACAAGGAGATGTCGTCAGATGCAATACTGACTTTTCAATGGGGTTGAGCATAGTAATAGATCTTGGAATTCTGAATCCAATGATATTTGTTTCAGCCGCATCTGACCATTGGTTTATGAGATATTTAATGTTACCTTTTCACGCGTTTTGTACTCGCGGTCGTCGAAAAGACATCGGTTCCAAAATGGATCTGAAGCGTAGCCCGGGATAGGATCGAGTTTCCCCACGGATTCGGGGCTGTTTACGACCCCCCCCGTTGGTCGTTAACGAACAAGACATCGGGATGGGGGAGGTGGGGGCGGCTTAACGGTTCCTGAAAACGCCTGCAGCGTAAGAGCCCCGGAGAAAGGTCGTCGCTTTCGGTTACTTCGTAACGTCGGAACTTTCTCGTTAACGAAGTTTCCAAATAGTGTCAGTGTCGTTGTCGTTGTAGTCGCGAAGATGTCTCCGGCGTTTCCACGTAGCGGTACGCCAAGTGCTATCGGGGGAAAGTTCGCAGCCAGGCTCTCGACGGTTTGGCCAAGGGTATCGGTTTTGTCGCGAAGAGGGCCCCCCTCCCTCTCGAAAGTCGTAGGAATTAGGCTGCGAAACGGAGAATCGGAAAACGATCAATTCCCTCAACCCCACTGCCACAGTACTCTCGTCGACGGGACCGTATCTATTCCGATCGCCTTGTCAGGCAACGAACGATCGTCGTAAAACATGACGAAACGTCCCGGCTCGCGTAAACACGAGATCCGTTCGCGAAACGGCCGCGCGTACGTTTCATTTAACGAAACTCACCGGGACAAGTCTCGTCGAATGGGGGAGAGATGGATACAGGATACGGTATAATGTAGATTTAAACGACGACGTGCCCACCCTCCTAGAGCTGTGTATCGAGCTGAAACCGTTCGTTAGGTCGCTCGTAAAACCCGATTCAGGAGCAATAGGTAGCACGAACGCCGTGAAACGCGCGAAATCCAGCACCTGTCTTTATAGGCTAATCTACGCTTCGATTAACCGGCGTGGAAAAACCATACACGATTCGAGGCCATGAAGAGCGTTCGAATTTGCTGGGATGAATAGGTTCGATATTATATGTATAACACCGCGATAATACTACTCGATTTCTCTGGCAGACTTGACGATCAACACTCGATCGACGAATCAGGGGAGTTCTATGCGAGTAATTATCCGTCTCGATAGCGTCGGACGATGCATTATCGGAGTCTAACGAGTCGATGATGGGGTAGCCCTCGCCGCAAGAACCCAATACACCGGGGTTCCACCGCGACGAACAACTTCATTATTGATACTAAGCGGCATCCGATCAAAATGTTCGATACTTGAATATTGAACCAGGCCCTTGTTAACTCAGACCTGTTCGAACAACGGCGTCTTAAATAATTCTAGATATACGAAAACGTTCTCGACTCGGTTCCGACCGAGTTTTCGAGCAAACGTGCACCACTTTCTTCGATCGATATCGAGACCTTCTTGTTATTATTACTGATTCATCCAGACGAATCTACTGCTGTACCGACGTACGGTGAAATTGATCGCGTGCACTTGTAACAGAGTGAAACAAAGAAAGGATTCATGACTTCTGGAGTATATAGTACTTATCAAATGATGAAACAAAGTCCTGATAAATATCTTTTTTTGTTTCTTCCTGTATCTGTTTGTCTGACCATTGCTACTTCATTCTACTCGTGCCAATAATTTCACACTATCAAGAGCGCATTAATTACGTCTTGCCTACGATAATTTCATATACAGTTGGAAAATTATTAGGCAACAATACCGTGTACCATCATTAGCGTTTCTTACAAATAGAAATAACAAACATCAGAAGGTCGTAGAGTTCCAGCCGTGACCGACGATTCTTTTGGTACCCCTCCGACAATCTATTCGCAGTGTCATTCACCCCATTCCTCTTCGTTCGTTTTCAGTATAATATAAAGAAGCGGGAGGAGGTGCAGGAAGCAACCCAGGAAGAACCGAATCCTTTGATGCGTAAGAAAAAGACGCCGGAGGAGTTGGCCGCGGAAGCCGAGGCGGAAGAACAGGACGAGATTACCAGTACGTATAATACTCGACCGTTATACAAGTTTCAAAAATTTCAAAACACACACAAGGTAGAGAGAGGACTCGTGTTTCGGTTAACTTCACGACCGACAAGTAGAGTTTCGTAGCGTTGAAATGTGTACGGTTCAGGTAATCATGAAACGGGGTTAGAAACGCGGAGGGGTCGCACGATTCACGACACACCCTGAGAGAGTAGCTGTCCAACGAATTAATGCGACGCTGGCAGGGGGATGATCGATGAAGGGTTAACGAGCCGTGTCTAGAAATCAAACATCCCTACCCCCTGTTCGGTTTCTGAGCGAATACATATAACGAGTGCCGCTCCTCCCCTCCGTGTTAGTGGTATCGTGGATAAAGGTAGAATCGTGACACACGATCGGGAAGATAATCTAAACCGCTCGTCCGTCTGTTTGTTCCAGAAATCAAGAATGCGTTCGACACGCATATACAAGACATCAAAGCGCAAGTACTAGAAGGTAAATGCGACCTTCAATAAGCCTACCTACACCCCTACCCCGAGGCGGTCGGTAAGCAGGGTGGCACAATGTGTCACCAGAACCGCCACCGCTGCCGCCGCATCCACCACCTCTCCAGCCCCTACGACACCACGAGGAAGGGAACAACGATACGAGAAGCCATCAGCGTCGCCCGTTATCGTCGTTGTCGTCGTCGTCGTCGTCGTCGTCGTCTTCGTCGTCGTCGTGGTTGTCCCGTTGTTCGAGTACAGATCGATCCGGAGATTCCAATTGGCCAGTCGTCCCTTTAGAACGTAGAGGGAAAACGTCGCACGGCGAGCACTCGAGACGCCGCAAGAAACACCCTCTCGATGCGTCGGGGTATCGAAGAATCGAACAACCGATCGCGTCGAGGGTTTTCTTCGGGTACGTCGGGAACGATCTCGAGGAACAGAGAGCGTCGCAAACGGTAAAGCCGCGAGAGCTTAGATCGATATATCGAGAGAAATTCAAAGGTGGTCGGCATTGCTACTCCCTACGCTCCCCCATCTGCGAGAAAAGAAGGCACATCGTCGTTGTCGTTGTAGTCGATATCGTGGAACAGCTCCGCGACACAAAAGTTCTCGAGAAGTACACGAAACAAATTAGAAGACTCGTCGATAAGTCCGATAACCGGCCGGGGGAGTCTCTCCACGAGAACAGAAGACACACGAGCGGAAATCGGAACAAGCTAACGAGGGCTCACGTCGACGCGTATCAAAATATCGAACGATATTGTAACAAACCAGGGAAAAACGTCCAAGCTTGTTTTTCCGTTATGATCTACGGTGATCGGTGAAACTGAACGTCAGGTGATCGGAGAATTCGAGAGATTTCGAAAAGAGATCTCACCGATAGATGCGTACGAAATGGAGAAATCACCGAATGATCGATCTCGTGGAGAGACCTGGGACGATGGGAAAATGTTTAAGGGACGAAGAGATCGTTCGGTAAGAACGAGGGTATACGACGTTCGATGAGAACCTGTTTCGTGACCGGTACGACTGGGGAAAGATGTACGAGAGACGCGACGAATTTGGAATTCATAAAGAAAAACGGGGAAGACAAACCGATGGCGATCTTTAACGGGGACGATGACGGAACGAGAGACCAATAGGAGCTGCGGCATACGCGAGGACACGGAATGATCGTTTGCGCCTTACGATTCAGAGAAGGAAAGAGGACGGTACGACGATCAAGCGCATGGAGAGAATTGTCGAAGACAAGAGAGAGCTGATTCACTCGTCGAATGAGGACACACCAGCGAAGGGAACCGAAAGGAGATCGTAAAAGCATCGATCGATCGGTTCCGAGCCTCTTCGGCTATCGTACGAACGTCGTGGCGCAGACGAAACGTGAGCAGTCGAAGGGCGCGTGCATATAAATATACTTATAAAAATGGCAAAAAAAATGAAACTACCGGTAGCAGAGTTACGTAGTGTAGTAGTTCGTTCGACGGCTGTTCAATACCAAGGAGATCAGAAAGGAGGGAGTCATTATACTATTATTATTATGATTATTCCAGTTATGAATTATTCTCATAGTTTATTACGACGTGCATTGTTCTCATTATTGTTATCCATTGAACGTTTATATTTAGAGGAAAAAAAAATAATACACACACAAAGTGAAACCAAGTTAAGACACAGAGGATCGAGGGCCACGAGAAACGAAGAGTCGAGAGACTGAGGAGCAAGACGCGAACACAGACGGCGAAGGACCGTCGCGAGAAAGAACACGGAAACCGTAAATCCCGGGGAATAAACGGGAGCGAAAACCGGCGGCCCTTGCTCTCCCTTCCGTCCAAAAAAAAAATAATTACACAACGTAGCTGGATCACGATCGATTTTCGTAGACGAGACGCGTAACACCTGACTGAGACACACTGTTAGGGACAAGTTTAGTTAGAATACGTTATCCGGACGAAACAGACGAAAAAAAAAAAATAACAAATCGTAACTGCGAGGAACAGCTAAAGAAAAATACAAAAAAAAAATACACACACACACATACACAGAACAAATGGACGACACGTTACTCGACTACCGCGACGCGTTAAGAGGAATATACATAACTATAGCTCGACAACCTAGGACCAAGCCAGTACTGATTTTCGCGTATTAGATGCAAAACTAAAGGGGAATACACGAAAATGAAAATATCCAAAATGCCTTTCTTTCACGTTTATACGGTGCGTTTCTATCGTGTGAAATTTGTACAAGTAGATTAATCGTTTTAGCGAGGAAAAACAAAAAATATAGAAGAACACTGATTCATGTGATCTCGTGTTCGCGGACGATACCCCCGATAAGGGGGTTACAGGACCTCGGGGCAACGTCCGATAGAAAAGAAGTTTCTCAGGTGTTACCGGACGGAAACGTTCCAGCAAAACGGCAATTTTTCCACGATGCGGATCTCGCCTGTCTTTCACCGTTGTCTGTTCGCCAATGAACGTTAATACGTCGACTGCCCGACGAATTTTGTACGTGTCTCTTATACAGAGCTGCGGAACGAAATGAAGAACGGGCAAGCGATACGATACGATGATACGCAACAAATTGATACGCACCTTAAGATGACATAAAATCAATTAAATTGAAAGTTACACGGTTGTGTATTGTAGGAAAACGGTGTGTAAAGTAATGGAATCGAGCCACGTTGTAAAGAAAGCCGAGTTGAAAAGTAACGAACGTCACGGCAGTCAACGTGTTCAACGGAGAACGACAGGACGATGAACAACGGTGGACGGAATGGACAGAGCATCGACTGCCGGTGAAGTAACGCGAGCCTTATTGTACATAAATATATGTACGGCTGAACAACAAAAGCGCATCCGAAAAAGGAAATATGTTCCCAGGACGATTCACACGTGACGTTCTCGTCGTCTCGAAAATCGAATCCCGTTGAGAACACACGTTTCTTGTTCCTTCGATCCGGATGTTCTTCGCGTCGAAGAGACTGAGAATAATTCTCCAGAGATTAAGAATTATTACGTTTATTCGGAATGTCATGTTTTATGTACGTTGCGAAACAAAAATTCGGAGTTGGTACATGTATAGGGGCGTGATGAATTTTCTGCGATACAGAGAGATGAACGCGCGCGCGCGATACCGTTTTTTGTACGAACAACGGAAAGATTGATACGAAAGTGTACTTTTTTATGTTCGATATCGTTCCTCGCTCTCAACACTGATATCTATTCTTGTATCCTCTCTTCCCCATCGAATCTTTTCGAATCTTTCTCTCTCTGTCTATTTTTTCTTTCTTTCTTTCTCTCTCTCTCTCTCTCTCTCTTTCTCTCCATCTCTCGATCAATTCTGACTCTAAATCAGCACACGGCTATCCTATGTTTTCTTTCGCGACACTCGAGATTCTCCTGACTCACGCTGTACAAAATCGAAATTCAATCGTCGGTTCCGAGTTCGATTCAAAGTTTCACGACGATACATGTGTGTACAATTGTACAAAATACCGCGAGAAGAAAACACGCGAATCCGATATTTCGATCAGAGACGAAGCAAAAAATCTAAATAAAACAACCCCCGTCACCCACTAACTCGAGCACGTTGCTTACGTTAGGACCGCGTCCCGATTTCAGTTCGATGACTCAAAACCGAGGAAAAACGCGAAAAGCAAATACCTCAACGACGACAGCCGCAAAAATCAGAAGTCGGAAAGGCCTTCCTATCCAACAATGAAAATATACGAAATAAACGAAAAAAGAAAAAAAAAGAAACTTTTCGCTGCATACATACAAACGAACGCATGCGAGAGCTTTCTATGTGTGTGCGTTGTGAATTCCACTCTGTTGTTGTTTCTCGATGTAAATGTACGCACCTCTGCTGCTAGCCGATAGAGCGCCCACGATTTTTCTCGATTTCGATCCATTACGACTCTGCCAGAAGTACCCACACGCTGTTCACCTTTGAAAATTTCCGTGAAAAATGTACATTTGTGCGCACGACCACTTTTTTCGGAAATAAGTTTACAGATTTTTTTATTATACGGTATTACTGCGGTATCGTTACATTTTCTTTATGCTCCACAAAAAGTTTTAGCGGTACTATTCGAAATATAGCTTTCTTTTCAAATTTCACGTCACCGAAAAATCGAATAATCCCCTCGATTAAACGACGTCGTTCGATCACCGATGGAGCTCGGGAGGCCAAACTTCCACCGTTCCGTCAAGAAATCCATGGAGAAGAAGAGCCGCAGCTAGTTTCTCGAACTTCTCGGAAACCTAGGAGCTGGTTCTCTTCTTCTCCACCCTTTATCCTTTCAACCGTCGCCGGTGAAATACCTCCTGGCAGCTGTTTGTCCGCGAGAAACAAACCGCGATGAACTTTTACAGCTATCCCCCGTGTGTTCCCACGACTTTTACAATCCCACGGATCGACGAAGAACTTTCAAACAGTGGGAGACTCAGTTTTACGTGGCGAAAAGTCGCGTTCGTTTTTACGTTGTTCGCTTATATTACGTTATGTTAATCGGGACAATGATCAGTGGAAAGACCTTGTCGCGAGCGAAAAAAATAAATAAAACTTTCGTGTTCGCGTGTCTTTTTGGCGGAGTCGCGGGGATTCAGCGGAAAACAGTAGTGCGATGGTGAAAAAATTGGAGAGAAAAATGGACGAGAAAAAGGAAAAACATAATAAAAACAACTCTGGTGTCTCAACGTGCATGCGCTAACCCTGTCTCTCTCTTTCTCTTGTCTGTCGATGTCGTCGGTCGGAACTTCTCTTATGGCTTTTCATCGACCGACTGCTGGCGATCCTCGAAAATCACCAAATCGATCCGAAGAATTAAATTTTGAATTATATTATGTATACACGCGTGGCTGTCAAGGAAATGATACGTTTGATGGAAACGAAGATCATTGATGATGATTTTCGAGGATACGAACTGCTCAGTTAGGTTCGCAATCTTACTCCCTCTTTGTCCACGATGCTTTCAAGAGTACCTAGACCGATTCTACTTCAGAGGTCTCTATCCTTTTATCCCTCTCCTAACCACCATCCTCCGTGCAAACGGATCCCATGAAGACCCATCTCTCGCAGACTCAGATTCTCCCGTACGATCTACTCGATACACACTTCAAGTCAATTACTCAATAATTAACCCAAACATATAAATAAATAAATAAATATATATATACATATGTATATTGATTTTAGAGGAGGAAAATACCCGCTCGTGTAACGATTTTTCTTGTGAATTTTTCAACTATAAATGTAAACTGTAAACCGAGCACTGGAAAGGAGCGGCACCGCGAGTAGACGATTTCGGCGGGATCATGAAAGTTTAAACCGCTCAAACGGAAACGTCTTTCTCGACGGGGACCGAGGTCTCATTATCACGACCAACAGAAGGAAAGTAATTAAACTCGACGTCAAATTATACTGACAAATTCGAACTTCAGACTTCAGACCGCTTAACTATCTAGCAGCCAGCGATGTGTAGTTTCGTAGAACTGTTTTGCTGTTCATTACTTGCGCTCTCCCCCCCCCCCCCCCCCCCCCCCCCCCCCCACTCTCTGTCTATCTTTCTCTCGTTTTCTGATCGTAGCAACTGTTATACACTTTCCGACATCCTTGCTCGATGTAATCCCTAATATGCTGGTACATACTCTATTAAAACGAAAAAAAGAAAAACGACCGCTCGATCGACGCGCGACTACGCGCGTCTAAAATGAGTGTGGAAACGCAGAACAAAAAAATAGAAAGAAAAGGAAATGAAATCTCGTTGTTGTCGCTACTACTATTACTACAGCTGATTAATGTCGTGTGTCGTTGTTGTTTCTCGATGTAAAGCAGCATGGATGTTGTTCGTCGCGTTGTCTAGTCGATGTTACCGTTTACACACACACACACACACACACACGCCACCTTATATAGTAATGATTCAATTTCCCTCTAATTCTTATCGTTTGTTATGTACTGTGTTAAACGCTCTATACAAACACACATCCACACATGAACACACACACACACACACACACACACACCATATATATATATTGTAAGCTCAGACGAATTAATTAAAGCTTGTGGTGCCTTTAGTTCGTGTATATTTAATTTAAATGTAAGCGACGATCGCGTATATACTTTCACGCGATCACGCTTTGTGTCTTATTTTCTCGGCGATTTCTCGCGCGGCGAATCCTCCACTTTAATTCTAACAAAAAAAACAGGAAACCAGAAAAAACGTGGTCCAACACTCGCGAAAGTCGCGTACTCCTGCCTATCGGGGGGAAAACGACGCGTTCTCGACCTAGCATCACGATATATCTCGACACGCTCTAGGAGGATCCCATTTCCGCGAACCGTCGTCTTCTCACCGTGTCCGCGAAAAATCGACCTTATGCAAAATTCCGTCGCTAGGAGAGAAACGAACGAATAACAACCGACTCGTCCCACAGATCTCCAAGCGGTAGATCCGCGTGAACACTCTCGAGACTTTCTCTCTTGTTCTCTGATTTCTTTTATACTTATTACCTACACGATCGCAAAACTATATCTATCCACGATCTCCTTAATTCCTCTTAACGAGGGTTTCAACTTCGAACTTTTGCACAGACAGCCAAGATCGAATTATCTTAGGCCGTCTTGTTGCTCTATTCCTTTCTCTAAAAAATCAATACTTAAATCTACTTAATTCGTGTTTCATAGAATTTAATCGACAAGAGGAAAAAAAGAAAAAGATGCGAAGAAAACAAGTTGAATCGAAAAAAAAAAACAAGAAAAAAAGAGATGCCGCGACAGGCGTGTCTCGTCCCGACAAATCGCGCTGGTGTGCACGATTATTCCCTCTCCCCGCGACAAAGACCGTACGCATCGAAAGCACACGAGTAAGAAATCTCTATAGGAAAAGAAGAGTCGGTGAACAATTGCCTTCTAAATAAAAAAAAAATCTAAACGCTACTTAGAGATGAACTTAAAACCACGATAGCGGTATATATCGTTTCTTTGGTAATCTTTGATAACGAAGTAGAACAAAAACACCGACTGGTCGAAGCGAGACACGCGTCGCGGTCACCGTATACATATAGAGGATATTTAACGGACCTTAATTCTTAGGCGTTTAATCATTGGGAGAATTCAAATGGTGCATATACAGAACAGGACACGCAAAGAATAGAACGCGCGTTAGGTATCGACAAAAAAATTACGCCGAAAACGTTTAAGATATTAAAACAAGGACACAAAGGATTATAAGGTTCTTTTCTCCGTGTGTACATAGTCTCGCGTGGTAGCCCAGAGTCGCGTGTTTAGCGTATAACCAGAAAACAAGTTATCGAACCGTAACCACGTGAACAAAAGAGAAAATAAATCCAAGATAAATGAACCGAGATGATGAGAAGCGACCGGCATTTTTCTGGGAGCTTCGAGAAGATGTTCGTGGATCGCTGATCGTTCAATTTTTACCGAATACGAACTGGTTCGGAGCGATTAGATGACCGACCTAGGCTCCTCGAGACTCCGAAAACGGACAGTTAATATACAAACCGTATTTATCCGGCGTAAAAGCGACTAATGAAAAACGATTACCGATTCGACTTATTCAGAGACAACGACACAACGCATTATAAAGTAATAATCGATAACTTAACACGTTATATAGATCAACGTACTACATATTGTTATGATCTCTTGCGGCGCGATGGCGATGATCTCGACGACGATCGACCCGCAACCTCTCTGTGTGTTTTCTCGCGTGTTTCTCTGTGCCGTTCACAAAGCACGCGTGTACCATGCCCACGTAGGTACACGCGAGACCAGCGTGGTGCGAGATAACAGGAAGACAGGAGAAATAATGAAAAAAAAAATGAATGCTGTTTAGACGATAAACAAAAGAGAACACTCTATCCTCGCCGTTGAACGGAGAATTTCACAGAAAAAAAATTAAACGGCAAAGTGAACAGAAAACCTCACGATTGTTAAGTAAGTAGAGACAAGTTAGCTTTGTATACAAGAGAGTACCGAGAAAACGAGGACAATTAAAGGGGTGGAGGAAGGGAGAACCCTCCTCCATGAGAGACCGAATGGAACGTGAGAAACGATTGTTTTCAGCAGCTGCGATTCGACGGGAGATCTTTGAGCGGACTTGTGCGATTTTTTAAACGATATGGACTTGCGAATACGGAGTGGTGGTGCCTGTTGTCGTTCGATGAAATGTACTAAACCTTAATTTTCATTTGTGACACCATTTACGAAGAGGACAATTTATTGCTTGTCACCGAGTGGTGTTCCAAGCTCGACCCGAATTCATACGTCGAAGAAGCGAAAACAAATTAAGATTTCATCATTCTTTCAAAAATTACTGAGACAGCAAATAATTGCAGACGTTGCTGTAAATTGTAAACGATTGTTTCCGACAATTCGAACGACAGCATGCCCATTCGTGACGTTACAGAAGGTTTTCGTACGCGCTTGTACCGTGCCCGGTATCTTCGTGAATTCGTTGAACCGAGAAGCAATACTCTAGATGCCTATAATTTACTACTACTTGTATGTGTCTTTTACGAAAACGAGACGGCGAAGAAGCAATTAGACACGCGCACGAATTACACACACACCCGCCCTAAAGACACTGTACGTACGCACGTAGAACCAAATGCGTCATTCACGCGTAACAAAACAAACTAAAAAAGAAAAAAAAGAAAGAAGAAACGAAACATCGACGCAATACTTTTTCGGCGTTCTTTCTCACGGTTACTCTATACTCTATAAAATAGAAAAAATTGAGAGAAAAGAAAAGAAAGAGAGGCTTCGAAGACAACACGAAGCCCCCCCACACGTTCACATCGATATTCTCTCTCCGTGTGGCGATTTTGTATTTCGAGAACGTTCGAAAGGCGCGTAGCGCCGATTAGCTGCATGCAACGACCAATTATCGCAATCGTTAATCGACGTAGGGGTTGCGCGAGAACCGTAACATCTCGCGGAAAGTTCCGAAGTGTACGGGGGAAAACGGTACGAAACGTGAATACGAAAGGGGCTGCTGCACACGCGGGGCGTTACGATCGTTCTCCGGAAAGGATCGAGGAGGCGAAAGATCGCACGAAGCTTGCTCGGCGGGATAGAAGAAAGTAGACTTTTTCTAAGGAAACGAATGACACCAAAGCGAGAGAGTAACGAAATAAAAAAAAAAAAAGAAACAAGTCTCTTGTGTATGATGTAGGCGCGCGTAGTAGCTAAGCGACCGGAAACCGCGGACGACGAGTTTTATTGTTGAGCGTAAAAAATATTATTGTAGCGGTTTGACGAGAGACGAAAAAAACAAACTAACGCCGGATATGGGTCGACGATAATGATAATATTATATTGTTGTTAGATATATATATATACATATATACATACATTGATATAAAAATGAAGTAACCTAGAATGTTAAGCGATCACTTGTTCACACCTACACACGAGGAAACACGAACGTACACCGAATCCACAAGCACACCAATATTAACCCTTCGTTTAGCGAACCAAGAGGACAACGGCAAGTATGGAAGTGGCAGACAGACACCGAGAATCGTGTGAATGATATATGAACATTTTTTTTTTCTTTTAATAAACTCAAGGAAGAGGAACGTTAGAGGTATCGATCGTTGCGAAAAACTCCGATCGAATAGAGTCTCAGACAGTCGAAATTCTTCGAAGTCGAACTTGAAACGATTTGTCGGTGCCAATTAAAAGGTTAATAAACATGCACATACACATACAGGCAAACGATACACGATACACACCGCAGGACAAGACACGAGCAAAGACGACACACAATTTTCGTAACTTCGTCCGTGAGTAGGAACGGCAGCATCCTCCACGGCAAAAACCACCCCCTGGGCATGGTCCCAACTCTTGGTTGCGCGTTAAAAAATGCATAGAGTCCTACATTCTCCGTTTGTCCCATTCCCTGGATCCTTCGAACGACGAACGCGCATGGGCATGAGCTGTTCCACCAAACCGGAACCAATTTCTCTCGCCAAACTTCTCTATCGAAATGTTCGTCGCTCGAAGCGTCGAGGGAACGACGATCGTCACGAATCCAGAGTCCAAAAATGCTTGAACGATGTGTACGATAACGAAGAAGCAGGGGATTGTTGTAAAGGAACAGAACGGAGATGAAAAAAAAAACAGAAAGAAAGACAGAGAAGGATAATCGAGCTTTTTCTCATTCCTATTTTGAACCGAACACGATTCACGACGTTTCTTTTCTGACGGCTTATCCACGGCGGGAGAGAAGGAACAACACAATACTAAACACCGTAAAAACGCGAAAGACCTTAAAGAAAAAAACATATAAAAAAACAAATAAAAACACGAAGCACGAAGGAGGATTTTTAGGGGCGCGCCTCGTCGTTATAGCTCTTAATACCGATAGTAATACAATTACGAGTAATAATAAACAAAAGTGAATTAACCAGAATATGCGTTTATGTTATTTAGTTCTAAAAAAGGAAAAAACATGGGAAAAAATGTAATAAAAGTCAATCGTGTTACCAAATTCGACCGCCTGATGCTTCTTTCCCAGCCCCAATCTCCCTCGCGGAACGATTCAACGTTTTTCTTATCATAATGTATCGCATCATTGATTTGATATGAAAAAAAATATATTTTATCCTACATTCTTCGACTTGTTATTCCTCGTAGCGTCACTGCTTTTTCAATTTTGTCGTCGGTTCAGTGACACACCGTACGCTCACAGTGGTAGGGACTCCAAATCAAAGAGTTACATACAGAGAAAATCGGGTCAAGACGACACCACCTTTTTGTGGTGTCAAAACAATTGTTTCTTTTTCTTTGGAACGATTTCACGAGTTGACATGGAATAATCACAGTGGAATCCCAGCGATTCAAACGATGAATTTTGCTGTGCGTGCAAATAGCGCTCGTGCGACCAGTCAATTTTTTTTACTCAATCACCGATTTCGAAACCGGTAATCGAATCGCCCTCCCGCCGAGTGTCGCGCGTATATTTTCCCCGTAATCGTCCCACAGTAACGTGGAAAACCTTCGCGCGAGACGTTCCACGGATCCACGAGCACTTCTTCGATCCCTTTATCCGTGACATGGGAGAATTTCCAAAGTCTGAGATCTAAAAGGAAACGAACCGACGATCGAAAATGAAGCGTTACCTGCACGTTCTGCCTGTTTTATTTTTCCTGCACGTTCTCCACGCGAGTCGTTCGTTCGCAAACGAGTTGACGTTAACCATCGACTTCGAGAAGCCGGTCACGGTGACCGACGAGAAGTTTCTCAGTCTGACGGTCGACCCTGCGGCCCTGTTGCATGGAACTGTGCTAAGGTACGTACGTACGTAACACGTAATATTGAATTTATAACGGCAAGGTTCTCATATTGCCTCTACGCGTCACTCAGAGCTCGGCTTTCGCAGAGGCCTCGTGGAAACGGGCTGAATTCAATATTTTATACGATGCGCTTGTGACACGCCATTACGCGATGATTCACCTCGAGGGAAACACGCCTGAGATGGTGATAAAACGTAGACCACACGGTGGTCCGACATAAAGAATATACTTACAGTAAATCCGCGATGAGTGTTCGAAGGCTCCTCGGCACTGACAAGCAGAGGTTTTTATGATGTTTAACACAGTGATGGAGCTTGGAATACAGAAGCCAATGATATTTGTTTCAGCCACATATGGCCATTAGTTTATGAAATAGATATTTACTGTTCAATGCCGAGGAGTCTTCGAACACTCGTCGAGGATTTATTGTACTGTTTTTATTTCTCCACTTTTACAGCGGGGATTCTTTTTTAATGACCGGGTAGAAAGAAAAGCAGGAACATTTTTTTCCCAGTGTTGCACGCCAGTGACCGATGAAACGGATTCGAGAGATCGATTTAAAAGCAATCAATAAAACAGAGAGAGAGTCCCCAAACAGCAACAGACACACACACGAAATTCTAGCGCGCAACCTTTGAACGGGACACGCGATCCAATCTCGCCCGGGCGAAATGAAACGTGCGCATGGTTTTAATTTAAATTTCAACCGTCGAACGCCTTTCCCGTCGAACCTTTTTCCACAGTCGAGAGGCGGGGGGGATGATATTTTGGTTTCTACTATTTCAGCACGGATTTCGAGAGAAGCGTACGCTTGGCAAACGCTTTGAGCCCAGCGTATATTCGGCTGGCGGGGCCACGAGGTACGTTTTACCAAACCGATGGTCAAAGTTCACCGAACGACGAGAGAAATTCGAACGTTCTGTTCTCCGGTAAGCTTATCAATCCTTCGATTGTTTTTTCCTAACGAAACAACGGATAAATTTAAGTTCCTCTACTCACTACTGACATAACTATAAAACCACCCTGAAATGTTTCAATCCGTATGTATCCTGGTTAAAATAAAAACGAACCACTATTTCCACTAGGGAATACAATCTATCCTCACCTGAAGAAATATTATTTTTCAACACAATTTCAAACATGGCATACGTGATTCGTTTTTATAATCCCTCTAATTCCTCGAAGTCTACTATCTCTCTATCTCATTCGAAACACTCTGTATCGGACCTGGTCATTATCGCGGGTGAATTTCATCGTCGATGTAACAAACGCGGGTCTTGCACAAAGGGGCCGCACACGTCCGTTTGGAGGCAAAGTTGCGTTAACGCGGAAACGCATTACGCATCATCCAGGCTTCGTCATCGGCCAATTTCGCGCGGCCGATGTAGCATCATCTCGGCCAGTTGCAGAAACTGCCACAATTAAACCCTTCACAATAGTTCGTGCACGGTTGCGCGAGCCTGGTGCAGATTTCGGACCTGTGTGTGCATCGTGTTTCGAGAGAAAGAGAGAGAGAGAGAGAGAGAGAGAGAGAGAGAGAGAGAGAGAAGGCTGGTGAGCAAGGTTTATGTATACGGGATCTGCTCGTTTCGTGGCCCATCGACCACCTATCTCGGGATACAGCCAGGGCTGAATTTACCTCTGCGTTACTTCAGCCACTCGTGCTAATTACGTTCAAACCCAACAATCTTCGTTCCGAAGAGGCGCAAACACCGTCCGACGAGCTTAGTAATCCACCGTTCCGTCCGTCGTTTTCTCCCCAAAGTAATCCGTTACTTGAATCTTTCGGTTTGATACTCTATTCCAGCGATATCCATCGAAATTCAATGTTTCATTAAAATCTAAATAAAATGCCATTCATCTACCGTAGAGTCTGATTGGGTCCTCGTACATCATTGGGCGGAAAAAACGGGCCTGGATGTGATCGCTTCTATCTCACCTGAAAGCGTCGCGGAGGTACGCGATGGAAACTCCGAAAATGCGGTGCAGATTGTTTCTTTCAGCGATAAAATGGGTTTCAACGACAGCTGGCAATTAGGATACGGTAAACAATTGCAAATTTTTGGAATAGATACGCTGCTAGAAGCGTTCGATCGAATGAATCCACCTTCGTAATTTGATGTTCCAGAGTGTCAAACCAGGTGCAACGGGTCAGCCAGTGATCTCGCGAATCGCCTGGTGAATCTCCGGCAAATATTGAACGGATTTCCGAGATACTCGAACAGTATCATCGTCGGCCCCGATATCGTCGCTTACCGAACCAAAAAGCAGAGACAATACCTTCAAGACTATTTCAACGTCGCTGCTCCTGCGCTCTCAGCGATCACGTGGCACCCGTAATATTCTTTCAATTCTATCAATAAAATCCACGAATAGACGCTGTTCTATCGATTATACGCGGAACTTTGTTTAAACTCGTTTCAGCAATCTCGACACCATTACATTGGACGACAAAGGAGTTCTCATACACCCGGAAAATTTAGACAAAGATAAAAAGGATCTGTACAAAATTATTGGTCGTTTCGTGGAAAATCGACCGCTGTGGATCGGTAAGAAATTCCCTAACTAAGAGAGTTAAACACCCACGTCCTTTCATATTTTCTTATAATAATTACCGATCGAACCGACACCACCGTCATACGCGTTGTTTATCGCGTGTATAATATTTTTTCAATCGCTCGTCAGCCGAATCGGAACCAGAAGAATGCAAAAGCCTGTACTTCGGTGCTCTCGTGTTGGCAAGACGATTAGGAAACGCGGCTAAATCGAAGGTGGACGTTGTAATGAGGCAACCGGTGGATCTGACTCAGCCGAGTCCGGTAAGTTCGACTTAATTGTGAAACAAATTCACGGAACGATAATAATCGATCTCAGTCATACACGTATTGATTGCAGGACTACTGGGTGTCCTTGCTCCACAAAACTCTCGTCGGCCGTAAGGTATTTGACGCAATCATCCAAACCAACGACAAGAATGACGTACACTTCTATTGTCAATGCACAAAACCCTCTGACAGATCTGAAAAAGGTTCAATCACGGTTTTTGGGGTGAATCTAAGCCCCGAGGACATCGAGATCAATCTGAACGGTAAAAACATCACAACACTGCACGAATATGTTCTTTCGCCTGGTTTCGATGCGCCGAACAGAATGTTTTCCGAGTAAGTCCTTGAATTTCACGAGAATAAAATGATCTTTTCTACGATTTAATTGCATTCGTTGTCGCAGGAGTGTCCTATTGAACAACGAAACGCTGACTTTAATTAACGACGCGATTCCTGATATAAAACCAACGATTTTGAGTGATCCAAGGGGACTGGGGCTCGGTTTGTCCTCGGGTAGCATCGGTTTCTGGGTTCTTCCCGATCTTAATGTAGGTAGTCTCAATTACTTACTCTTTATTTACCGAAACCACGATAACGAGCCAAGTTTTATAGGTGAAATCGTGTATGGAAGCTCACGAAGCATCGGGAGACGACCCGGTTCAAGGTAACATTCACGACAACCAAGACGTGAAGATTCAAGTTACAAGATCCCTACGTGATCGCGAGAGTTCCCAAAGCGAGAGAAGGAAAGACAGAAACGAGTCACGATCGTCAAAAAGGTTGGACGCCAGAAACGAGCTAAAACGATTGAGGAACTTCGTCAGGACGAAACTAGAGGACCGCGACGACGAGGGCTCGTCCGCGGTAGAAATCAACAGGAACAGACGCGTGAAAAACACCAGAGAACGGGCAGAGGTTCGAGACGACACGAGGACCACATTGCAAGAATTCAAAGATCATTTCTCGCGGATCGTGCACCGAGCCAGATCGGGTGAAACCAGAACAGCGATTAAAGACTTGATCGACGGTGTGATTGGGGAATCGATGTCCTTAATATCGAAAATACAGAGCACCAGATCGCCCACAGCGGTGAAGGATTATTTAAAGTCCCTCCACGATCTCTTGAATCGCACAGCCTTGCTTGACTCGACCGACGATTCCGAAGCGATTGGAGGTCAAAGGGCGAAGAGGGCCAAGAGGAATCTCTTCGAAGAACGTTCGCTCAAGGGGGACAACTTTCTACGAAAACGATTCAGAATCGAGGATTTCAAGGAGCAGCATGCAAACGATCGAATGATTAATAGGAAAGAGAACGTCAGAAGTGCGATGGTGCAGCCAAGCGTTGCAGGATTGGGAGGCACCGACACCGAGGAGAACGCTTTCTACGGGTTCTTTAAGACAGAGCCTATTCAAGGTTTCCCAAAGGGCGATATGTTCTTCGCCACCGATGACTATCCACCGAATAACGACTACGATTACCCGAATACCCGGTTCAGCGATCAAGAAACTGGAATGAACCATCCGAAGAAGCATCCAACTGCGGATTACGGTGGCGTTGATGATGTTTGGACGAACGACGATGGAGATTATGGCTTCTACGAATCTCAAGGATACTTCGATAACCAGAGGGCGAACGATCGTATAGGCTCCTCTGAACTGTGGGAGGCCGAGACTTACGATCATCCGAGCAGTTATGGATCCAACGAAGAACTGCACGGGAATTGGGAGGTTCAACGAGACAAAGACAGTCAAAGTCGATCAACTGGCTACCGTGAATCTAATGTTTCCCCGTATTCTGGACTCAGCAAATCTCTCGCCCGACCCACCGTTAACAAACCGATTTCGAGCACGAGGGATGCTTCGAGCTTGAAAACAGACAGGGCATCGTTAACCGATCAGAAACCGAAGATTTCGTTCGACGATGCCGACAGTGAAAACAGACGATTCAAACGAAAAGGAACGGACCTATACGCCATATTTGATCAAGAGATGATCAACGAAGATGACGCGAATTCGAAGGACTGCGACTGCCGTGTCAATCGACACTCTGATCAGTGTAGCTGCCGACAGAAGAGGGACACCTCCGAATTTTCAGAATTCAAAACCGACATGGAAACTATTCCTGAAGAAGAAACATCTTCGAACGTCGAGGATGTCGTTCCAGACGCGCAAGAAGCCACGGATGTGGAAGTGTTTTCGGATTTGGTGGGTGAGCCTATAGAGGTGCTGGAATTACAGCCTGATTCAACCAACTGGATGATCGAACGCGAACCAACGCTGCCGGTGGAAAGTGAATCGAACTCGAATCTACAGGTGATTGCGAGTGAACCGGAAATTCTTCAAGTAGCGCCTCTTCATCCAGAAATCATCGAATCTTACGTGGTGTCTACGGATCCTCCGTCGATACCGATCTCTAACGAGGATAGTTTCGAATCTTCGTCAAAAACTTCCGTTAGACGCGAAGACAATACATTTTTTCGTAGACAGACCAAAGAAGAGGAGCCGACGATTGATAATCTCCAGGCTATTACGGGGTATACTCAGAGTCGCTTCGAGGATTCTACACCCGCGATCGATGAAGAGGCCGTGGAGAACGTCCAGAGGAAGAAAATCGAGGTATCGAGAACCGAAACTTCTGGCCCGACACTCGATCCAGCCACTTTATCAGCGGAAGATGCAATCGAGGAAAGACCCGAAAACGATTACGATAATGATAATATTACCAGAGGAGGTTCCAAAAGGCAAACGGATACCGAAACGTTTTCCGAAATACCTGAGAACACCGAAAAGGATCGTGAAAGTCCTGTAGTTGGCTTACGGAAGCTAGTTAAACCGAAAAAGCGAATCAACTATTCGTCGAAGAGGAAAAGCGTGTCGGTGAAGGCGTCGCCGTGGGAGACGCGGCTGATGGACCGAACGAAGGCACTGTTGTCTTTACGGAAGATGATCAACGAGAATAAAGGACTGAGGACGATGAAATTCGCCCCCAAAGTCGGATCGACGAGTAAACTTCGTGAACACCAGAGCAATCGATCGGATCAGACGGAGAAACTGAGGGACCGATTGAGAGACAGACGGGCGAAAGCATTGCAACAGAACAGAAAGAGAATCGTCGATGATGTGGACGAAGACGACGAAAATAGGAAACTGAAAAGACGGGAGGCTTGGGAGGCGATCAAAGACACTTACGTAGTGAAATCGAACGACCAGTCGACGGACGAGGCAAAAATTGTTCCCATCACCGAGATAATCAGACCACGTAATGTTCGCGAGAAGATTTTTTATCCCCCGAATCGACGGAGCTACTGCGATTCGGGTATTCTAGAGCACTCGAATCCAAAAAAACTGAGGAATAGGGTTATACAGATAAAAAATCTGATCGAGGACCAGGCTGCGAGGAGGGCAATATTTAGCAGTGATGGAGACGGAGATGATAGGTCTTACTATGCCTTGGTGGAAAGTTTGGAGAACCCACGAATATTCCACCACCGAGAACAACCGTTACAACACGAGGAAAAGAGCAACGTGCAGGTAATCGATAGCTTTTTTAATTTATATTACTGATAATTATAAAAGTTCTACTAACCTTTGTTCCTTCAATGTTTACAGATACTATCAGGATCCTCGGACTTCGACAGTATCGAGGATCTACCCGAAGACATGGCTTACCACGGAAAACTAGAAATCGCGGACGATCTCAACCAGATTGGGGAAGATTCGTACGATGATTCGGAGGAGCTACCAGGATATGAAGAAGTATACGTAATCGACCCTTCCAAGTACAGAGGAGGGGAGCCAGACCTGATACCGTACAGGCCAAGAGGAATAAATTCGAACAACATGTACGAAGTGTCGTGGCAGCCGATTCTGTACAAACTTCACCGTGCTCGTCAAACGGAGCATCAGAAACGCGAGAACAAGGCTGCAGGCTTAAACCCTCGAGAAATTTACACGAGTAGCGGAAGCGCTGGCGAACTGTTGAAGGTTTTGATAAACGCCCTGGACTCGTCGTCTGCCAGCGAACTTTTCAGGATTTTATCCAAGGAGAACGGGATTACCGATGAGAAACGAAATTCCATGCGTTCGATTATGAAACCGCCACCGATCGAAATCGAGGGGGGCGAGGTTAAACAGATCCAGCAGAGCGAGGAAAGCTTGGAGGAAGGACAATCCTCGGAGTCGTTTGACGTGCAGAATGGAAATTATGAAGATTCTTCTGTGGAGAAGGAAGCAAACATCGGGGAGAACAATTCTCAGGTTAATAATTTGGACGCGACAAAGGCAGTGAATATTCGAAATCGAAGAGATACGAGCGATCTCGTGAAGGGAAATGAAAAAGTTAAAGAGGCGCAACATAAGTCATCGGGGAATCGGATAAAAGGAAGCAGAAACAACGGAGACGATTCTGGAAGGGGTAAGGATACACCAGAACGCGTGAAAATGCTCGTTCCTTCGACGGTGAATGACGAGTATTCGACAGAAGTGGACGAGGAACCGATAATTGGCGCGAAATATCCGCAGGAGGATATATCAGGAGAATATCAGGATATATCGGACTCTGTGGAAAATAACTCAGAGTCGGAGAAAAGCGAGGAACGTGCGGATTACGTGGACGAAAATACGTCCGACCTGCTGCAATACTACAACACTGAAGCCGAGGTAGGGGACAGTGGCGAGGATAGGGTTGATTTGAAAGAGTTATTACATTCCGAGCGGCCCGAGGTATTCGTGGTGTTACCCTGGCCGAGAAAATTCAACAGACTCCGCAGACAGGCGCTGGATCAGGAGAAAACTGCAGAAAATGAAGGGATCGAGAAGGTAATTCGAAATATTAACTAACAAATATGTAATAAATAAGATATTAATCAGTTCTAATGCATCGGTTACTGACTTCTATTTCTTTTAGATGCAGCAATTAGAGGTGCAACGTCAGGAAGATGTTTCGAGTCCACGGATCCCAACCGACGACGGTATCGACGACGTGGAGAAGATGATGACAAAGAAGAAACCAGTCAAGAAATATTCGCAGACAGGGAGTCTGTTCAATTATATCACCGGGAAAAAGAATCTGAGGAAAACCGGCAAGGAGGATCTGCCCTCGTTCATAGAAGGAAGCATACCAAAGTTGCAGAACGTTGTGATTGACGGTTTGAAGAAGGCTCAGAATCTGACCGGGTCGGTGGAACGATTGATCGATGATTTAGACGAGAAGTTCAACAACGAGACATCGAACACAACCGATCGAACGGGTTCGGTTGATTCTGAACCAAACGCTGTCACCCAGAATGCCTTTCATCACGCGATAATGAACGTGAAGAAAGTTTTTATGTTATTCGGTGGAATCGCCCACGCGTTACGGGGATAATTTATACTAATTCAATGTAATTTATACGAACACATTATGTAAATTATAATATGGAATTTTATACTTTATGTATTTTTTTAAATATTGAGTAAAATAAATACTATCTTAAAAGACATAGATACTCTTCAATTCGATGACAATACAAGCCTCAACCCCTTCCCAGGATCACCAACCCCTTCCAGGAACTCCCGAACATAAATTTCGTGGTCCATGAATAGAATGTATACAGAAACAATGAATAGAAATAGATAACGATTAAAATTCATAGAACATTTATCTCTGCTGGAATGAAGTTCGAATGGTAGATATTAGATATGCACAAGAACTCATTCGACATTTGTTTTCATTTTCAGTGTCCCACATAGCGTGAAATATATACACGACAAGGTGATACACATGTATTACGACACGAACAATCCCTGACACTATGGATTTCGCAACAAGAAAAAACATCAAAACATGAATGCAATTTTTGTCGAATATATGCGTCGAGCGGCATATCGTACAGTTGTCGCTCGATCACGGTGGTGTACACTTCGTGATCGAACGAAAAATAAGAGCCTCGATCGATCGAACCGAATGAGAGTTAAACGCGCCAGGACCCGCGAGTGAATCCCCGTCGTGTGATCATCATGTACCGCTCGGCCATTATATCGTCTATATTCCTAACGCTGGCCGTGACAACGTGCGCCAAGAGTGTCAACCTTGAAATCGACGAGGACGTCGAAAATGCGACCGCGAGGTAATTTTTCAATTAATATTCAAGAGAGTGGGACCATGCAGATCAGCGTTCTTGAATTCGAGACTTTATTCTAATTGCTATTCCGAAGTAGATCGTTGTACAGGTTACTAACGAGCTATAAGTGGGCTCTCACCACACCTCCACGGACACGAGTATCGTATTATATTTACAAGAAAGATAATTCAACAAATTTCCTAGATGAACATACATATAGGTATATATCAGGCGCGCACGGTCCACCGCTTCGCCCATAAATTCACCTTATCCCGTGCCATTTATCTAGCTTCCTCTCGAGTACATCGGAACATTCTTTCAATTTTTCAAACGAGCTTCCCTTCAGGACGATTTTCGGATTACGGGCCAGTCCGCTGGATTGCAGACACGAAAAGTATGTTAGAGGTTCGTGGCGGAACGGACGGCTATATGGCGCAACTGTTCGCGTCAGCGCGCCCGCTTGAATTACATTTCAACGAGGTGGGTTGTCGGCGAAACGAGGAAAAAAAAAAGATTTCAAATTCATGAGGAAATATAATTTCCCGTATCACTTACGGAACCTGAGATTCGCGTGGCGAAAAATCTAAGAGGGCCAACTGACAATGAAACTGTACCGTTATTTTTAACGAAAATGGCCATTTTTTTTTTGGCTACACCAGTAACCCATTCGCGTCATATTTAAGTACCTCCATTTCTGCATTGACAGCAATTTCCACTCCTTTTACCCCTACTGCAGCCCACAATACACTGTTAGTTGCACTTTTTTTCTTCTTTATAAGGGGACTGTGCATAAAACTACGAGTATATGCATTTAGTTAAGATAAGCTTAAAATACACGAAGTATTAAACACCATTTACTTGGTAATCCGTTGATCGTGAGAAAATGGTACAATTTCTACTTGCGCACTTTTCACACGGTCGAGAATACAGCACGCGTTTCACTCACTGACCCTTTAACCGCGTAACTAATCGAATCGCGCGACTAACAGAAACAGAAGGTAATTGGAAACGTGTAAATACGATATAATACGCGAAAACTACTTAAACACGAACTGTACACTTGCGAAATCGTGATCGAAAATATAATTCAGCCCTTCGGGAGGAAATCAGGACCGAACTGTAATCCGTGTTGCGTGTTCTGCGGCACTTTTCGAAATGCCGGATTCACGAACGTTACCATTAGGTACAAAGGACAGTATACTCGACACCGCCATTGGGTTAGGTTACCCGATTGGGGTGTTGTTTATACCTGTCCGATGATACACACTCTAACACTCCCCAGAAAATGCCCTCCAAAGGAATAACAAATAATTTCACCAACGAACTTCTTAACAATTCCACGAAAAGTTCGAAATTCGTGACCACAAATCTATGGACAAAAATATCATAATCTCTAATCTCTTTTGATGATTCTCCCCGTTAAATTTTATACGTACAGAATTATGTATTCTACTTTCGCAGACTCGAAACGGTACCGCGGGACATCCCATTGATCCACGAATCGAAACCAGACGAGAAAACCAGTGTCAAGAGAAGCCTTCTGATACTAATGCCAACGGACGAGGAGAAAAGAACACGGAGAAGCGAGGACTCGGAATGCGCAGCTATGAAAGGGCAAAAAACGAAGCGTTGCAAAAGCCCGATTCGGGGCGAAAGGTTGCTCTCCAGGGTGAATACAGCCAAAGAGAAGAAGAATAACGACTACACCGGGATCCCGAGATCCCGTGTACATCTACTATCATTGAAAAACCCTAACGCGGCGTTAAAACACGATTCAACGGTGCAAGGAACGGAAACGGGAGACGGAGAGGATCGCAATGTGGCCATTATAAAGGCGATTCGCGAAAAACTCAAGTTGAGGAACGAGGAAAACGTCGGGGCGACGGTTCGAAAATACCCGTTACAAAAGACCAGCGTAATTGACGATGACAAGTACGTTTGTTATTGCAGAGAGAAAAATAATCCACTTTCGAGGAAAGACACGATACAACGGCCCGGCTCGAGGCAACAATGGTTGGGCGGAAGGAAGAACAAGAAGCCGGACAGAAAGGATGATAATAAGCAGATGCTACCCGATGGGAGCAGACTACGTCTGGAGCCGATCTACCCGAACCAACAGCCCCATCAACAATTTTTACGGGAGAGAATGCCCCCCGTTCTGTCCCGAAAAATGAATCCGATTTTACAACGAGGTGGTATCGGAGGGGTGCCGTATGTGCCCTATATTTATCATATCGATCCGAACCTCGCGATGGCACCGAATCAGGGGGCTAGCCCGACGAAAATCAGTATTCCGTTTAATCCTGTCCGCAGTGATTACGACTCGAACGTTGGGCAATCCGCGTCTGGCTATCGGGATCGAGGTTTTCATAAAAATAAACAAACTGTTGGGCAACGACCGTGTCCTGCAACCGTCGGCACGAAACATATGCAATCTCCCGGGCAGAAAATTGATGCAACGTCAACGAAAACGTCCACGGGGAACAAAGCCACGGGCCGTAACAAAAATGTTGGGAATAAGGCACCTGAAGGGAATGATCTCGATTACAATTTGCAGTCGGTACATTTGGAACCTTCTGAACCCACAACTGTCGAAGACAATCAGACGGAACCGATAAAAAACGAAGAATTGTCCAATGGTCCGTTACAAAGTCCCAACGAAGAAAATGATCTTGTGGAAATGGCTGGCGATCCAACATCGGAGAACGTCATACCGCCAACGAGGTTGGAGAACGAATACAAAACCACAGGAAGTGAGGAGTTGAATTATTCTAAGATCAAACAAGTCACCAGTGGATATTCCACGTCGAAGGGTTACAGCGAGGAGGACGACACGACTGGATACACGGATCACAGTGTACTCACCAGTTTCGATAATTCTACGACAAACAACGACGGGACCACGAATACCAACCAGACAGGAGATCGAAATTACGAGGCTAACTTGCAAACTGTACTGTACGATTCCACGAAAACGTCGATGGACCCTATCGAGGGCGCAATGAACACGGAGCTAGTAAAGACGAGAAACGATGGTTCTGAATTCCAATCGTCGATGAACGATGATCCGATCGATCCAGGTCGGGACGAAGAGGACGTTGCGGTAGGAGAGAGCAATCCGTCTTGGAAACAAGAGAAGCTCCCGATCGAAGATTTAGACAGGGGTGTATGCGACGCTATAGAGGATAACATGAATAATCTCGAACCCGTACGTTCATCTTCTCTAGAGAAAACAAGCACGTTGATCGTCAAAGGGTTAACGCCCACAGATGAAAACGTTGCAACGAAGAATACCAATTATGGCAACCCATCGAACGAAGAATTCTTCGCGGAAGATTATCCGGCGACCGAATCGTCGGAAACGGTAGACAATGCCGTTCCATTGAAGGACGATTACGAACAAAACGAGTTCGATTCCGACAAAGTTGGAGAAAAAATGTACGATACGAACGAAGAGGTGGACAATGAAGATGATCGAGCCGACGATTCTTCAATGGACGAGACAATACTCTCTCCTGCTACGGAGGACGATTACGCGACGAATAACGATTTGGTAAATAGGAACAATGAAGAGGTCGCGGCCTGGAATCCAAGAAAAAATGAGCCCGGTTCTCCGATAAAGGATCCAGCCGGGCAAACGTTGCCCTTCTGCGACAACTCGCTGCTCCAGAAGTCGATTAAGACCGTAATTAATAACTTCGCGACGGGCGACTCGGCTGAAATGGACGGGAACACGGCCCGTGAAACGGTCGACTCCACCGGGAATGATTTACTGCGTGAGATCGTAGACGTACCGAACTTGAGGGGCATTATGTCTGTGCCACAGATAGAGCGCACGATCGTGGACAGGGTAAAGAATCTCGTAGGGAAGCTAACTGGTGTGCCAAGAACGAACTTGGACGGCGAATGGCCGACGAACGTGATTAGGAACAACTTGAGGAACATGATGGCAGCTGCGCCCGTCTCCGAGACGGAACTTCCACCGAACACCGTCGAGGAACGTCAATTCCGTAACGGGAAATGGATTACGAATCTGGTTACGCTGGAACCGTCCACGAACGACGAAGAACCTGGTCCGACAGACTTTCAAAGATTACGAACGAACATTAAGAACCTTCTGCGTGATCCAGCGGTCGGTTTACAAGCCGCCAAGCAACCAGCTGTTCAAAGTATGATCGTCCAAAGTGTTCGAAGTACGTTTAAACCGGCGAATTCGACCAACGAGCCATTCGACGAATCAGTTATCCAAAACACTCTGGACAACGAGCTGAACCTAATGGAAATGGAAGATCTTGACGACTCTACGACGGAAAACACAGATGGGACGGAATCGGACAATATTTCGGACATCGACGTGACAAAAATTTTGGAGATCGCCAGGAACGAGGCAGGTATCAATGAGTCATCTACTTCGACATCGATAACGGTGGATGATCTCTCTCGAGAAAAGGTGACATGCTCCTATGGTCACAGAGACACGCCCGTCGCGTCGAGTTTGAACACAGGTGAGAATGTCGGACAACAGTTACCTGATGCGTGGAACACGGACAGCACAATGCAGAATGATTCCAACTCCGACAAGAAAGAAATCGAGGAAGACGTGTTCTTGGGAGATTCGAAAGAAAAAGGAGAAGAAAGTTTGCCAGAGACGTCGATCGCGCCCGAGTTACTTCCGGCAGAAACTCTCGAAGACATCGTTTCCACTACCACGAAGTCCTCGTGTGATTTCGTCGAGACGACAAAGAATCCCGGGCTGACGGAATACTTAGAATTATCGTCCACAAAGGCTACCATATATTCGATGACAGAAACGGATCCAATTACCGGGCAAATTCCGAAACAAAACGACGAGTCCGAAGCTGGGAAAAATATTGACTCAGCGAGATTAAATCGAGAACAGTTGGAAGAACCAAAGCACAAATCGATAGCTGCTGAAAATCCGTCCGACATTGTTGCTTCAAGAGATCAAGATGAATTTCCGACTCCAAGAAAAGAGGATTACACCCTTATGAAAGGTATCCCTTCGGCAATGCTTTCCCCGGGAAATAAAGACGAAAATACGGAGGGGATGGTAGGAGCGGTAGTATGGAGTGTTACGCCGAGCACAGAATCTTTCGAGGAAGACGCTTCGCCGGAACAGGACTACGCGTACTTGGGGAAAATTTCCGTGAAGAAGAATAATCACACGGACGATATGCAGAATCTTCGGAATTCGGAGCTGTTTTACGTTGGTGACGGTGTCAAACTACCATTGGAGATCCGTAAATTGAAGGACGGTTCGTACGCGTTGTCGATCTCCCGAAAAGTCTGCGAACATCTATTGAACAAGGAATGCCCTTGTTGCGTGCCTGTGGAGGGCAACGTTGTTCGAGCCGTGAGAAAACAGCCAGTGACAATACATACCGACAAAACGATCGAGACAACGAAAAGAAAGAGAATCACCAAACGCGAATCCTCGTCGAAATCAATTTCCGCGAACGAACGAACGGTACACGATTCAGCTGACGACAGCATACAGATTTTCTCAATGCCCGTGGAAAGTTTCGCGAGAAGATACAATCTGTCTCTGAACTTGGAGAAAGTGCAAGCTCCGTGGAATTTCGACGCTGCGGAGAAGATTGATGAGCAGACGAAAAATCGGGGGAAAATTTTTCGAAACGGAGAGGATAACGCTGACGCGAATCTCCTTCGCAATTTGTTATCCGTGCACGCGGTTTCGGAAAACGGTGAATCCGAGACCGTGATGGGACGACAGGCGAACGATGATGACTCGTACGAGGACAGGGATGAAATTAATTACAAGTACCAAAGACAGAGGCACAGAGGCACTGATCGATACCGATACGAGCGTAACATCGACGAGACCGTGAACAAACGTGTGGAAATGGTGACGGATGTCCTTTACTGGTTGAGAGACATGATTCTGAGCACAACTAATAAGTCATAAAGTCTTTTTTTAATTTTTTATAATATTTAACGACTCTAGCTACTTCAAGACACATCTGTATTTCGTATTTTAATACTTTTATATCCCACTGTGTTTAATCACTTGAATACCGTTCATTTTATGTAATCTAAAGATAAAATAAATAAATATTAAATAGATGATATGCAATATGTATATGTATGTATACTCCTTGCGCCTACTTTATCACCCGACTCGTGAAACACGTTTAAACAACAGCTCTTCTACTTGGAAACCTTAAACATGAAAATATCAGCAGTTTCTTATCATATTGTCGAACCTTTCTTTACAATCCGTAGATTGTCATCAATTTTTTAATCGTACCTAGATATTCTTTATCGCGTAAGAAGGTCGGTGATTCATTTGGCAATGACGTAACCACAATGGTTACCTTGAATGGTTCGCCACTTGAATCAATGTGTATATATGTATTTAGATAGTTTGGTTATGTTTGACAGAAGCGGGGCTCGCTCGAACGCTCGTATTCCTGTTGACGTTTCTGTCAATATAGCAGAATAAAATGGGCTTATTCGGGAAATCCCAGGACAAACACCCAAAGGAAATGGTTAGATACGAAATGAATTCTAATAACTGTTCCATGCTTATACGGAATCCTATTTCAGGTTCAAGAATGGACACATAAATTAAGGAAGGAGGGCTGTCTACTGGATAGACAGATTAGAGGTAAGATACTAAATATATACAGAATGATAACAGAGCACTCTATGAAATTAATAATAACGTTTTCACACAGCAATCCAACGTGAAGAAGAGAAAGTGAAACGTTGTCTGAAAGAGGCAGCAAAGAAAGGTGACAAGGATGTATGTAAAATTCTTGCCAAAGAGATAATACGTGCACGCAAAGCCTGCAACAAGATCTGTACCTCGAAAGCTCATCTGAATTCTGTATCCTTACAAATGAAAAATCAACTTGCAACAATCAGAGTTGCAGGTTCGGTATCAAAATCCACAGAAGTAATGCAAGCGATGCAGTCATTAGTTAGGGTACCCAAAGTAGCTGCTACAATGAGAGAATTGTCCAAAGAAATGATGAAAGCTGGTATCATAGAAGAAATGTTAGATGAGACAATGGATTCCATTGAAGATTCTGAAGAAGTGGAAGATGAAGCAGACGAGGAAGTAGACAAAGTAATTTGCTAATTACATTAGTTATAACCAGTGGTGGTTTCCGAACCAATATCCTAAAAAATCAATTGATACCTGTTACAGATTTTATGGGAGGTCACTGCAGGTCAGTTAGGTAAAGCACCTGCAGTTGTTACAGAAACTCCAGGATCAGTAGTAGCATCTACGTCTGCAGAAGAAGAAGTAGAAGAAGCAGATGATAAAGAGCTTGAAGAAATGAAAATGAGACTACAAAGTCTACGTAGTTAGCTGCAATATATGTACATACTTATACGTATAAGTATTGACTCCCCGTATTAACTCCGCTTTGATTACTAAGGACACATATACACGAAATACAAGTTCAGTGAATAAATGCCTCGTATTTTGATATTCCTGAAAAATGTTCGAGGAATGCGTTTGTATTAAACAATCCAAAACAACATGTAGTATTATAAGAAGAAACTAAACAGTTTAATTGGTTTCTGTACAATTTTTGTATCCTGCTTTTATGACCTATTTGCAGTCTATTATAGCATACTGTTGTATTTGGACTACAAATAATGTCACGAATTAAGAGAAGCTGGCTTCTTGTTTGCATTACATTGAAACACATTGTGCTTAATTTAATTATAATTGCAAAATCTTGTACTAATATGTATTATATATAAACTATGATTTTGATTGTTATTGGCCATGCTTCTATTTATACCTATCACTTAAATTACAGTGATCGAATACAAAAATGTATACCACATTGCAATAAATGTAACATAAAGAATGCTACATGCATTATTATAGTTACAAATTATATACATACATTACTCAATTCAGACGTTTTTAACTTCAGTACTTACATATCAATTTCATGCCAAAACACAAAAATTATTGTAGCACATGAGAGATAAATTATGTATTCCACATCTAATAATTGTATGGAACACCCACTTGGCATATTGTGCAAATGTGTAGAATACCAAGACGAGATTGATAAGTTTACGTTTTACAGCATTGGCACAAGGCATCACTTATTACCAAAAATTAACATCGGTAAACAAAAGTACAACCACACGCGTTATATTACGCAACGAAAAGAAATATTTTCACACGATTAAATTCTCGTAGAACCAATTGCTTCGGCAAAAGTTTTATGGATAAACAATCATATGAAAGTAGATGAAGACATCTCAATACCTGTACTCGAATATTCCCAAGAAAAGTTAAATATTAATGCGCGCAATATTGACAAAATATGGATACCTGCATCCCTAGATGTAATCTCCTTAAAATCAACAAAAGTATCTTGGAAATTGTGGTAAATAATCATGATACCTGTTTTAAAAATTTGAAATATATTAAATAAATACTGAATGTTTTACATTTAAAAAGAATATTCAAATTGACACAAAATATACTTTTAAACAAATTATGTTTATCTTGTATTTCATTTCTTCACAAAGTCTTATTATACAATAAACCTTTTTACACATTTTCTTTGCAACATAAGTATTCTCTGTTCCAATCTATTCTCTGTGTGTGGTGTATGTGTATATACATACACATATGTACACACATATGAATATAATTGTGTTCATGTAAATGTACATACTATAATGATATCTTTCCCACTAAAAACGTCAAATATAACATTAATTATGATTTTCAATTTTCAACACAAATTGTGAAGTCTTCATAAATTCTGGCAACAGTGCAATACCTCTTAACTTTAAAAATATACACCTCAAGAATTATGTAAAACAAATGACATAAAAATCGTTAAAGAATTATTATAACTATAAATGTCGTTTGTACTCTACAAAATCTGTTCTTTAATCTAGTATTATTATCATACCTATCACCATTCTTTTATAAATATATAATAAAAATAATATTTCTTAACTACAAGTACTTAAAGATTATATACTTGGTTATTTTTAATATACAAGAAATATGTATGCACATGCATATATTTAAAATGTTTGCCTTCAACTATAGACCCTTAAAAATACTATTATTGATTTACACTTAAATAAACTTACAACCGATCAATCACCATATTGACAATTGCAAGTTTTACCTGAGCTCTACCTTTTCTAGGAAGTCTATGCATATAAGGTGCAAGTTTGCGCAAAAAATAACTAACTTCACTTCTAATAGGAAAAATTGTTCTACGCATTGTCCCGGAAACTTTTTTGCGCCGCACTGGTTTCTCTTCCTTCTGGGACAAACATTCTACTTCTTCAAAGTCCTCATAAAACTGATCTTCGTTTACATTAGCTGCTTCTTCATCTAACACTTCCAATGAGTGTGGTAAAACAACTTCTTCGTGGACCTCTAATGCTTCAGGAATCAATTTAACTTCCGTTTCCTCTGGTGAGATTGACAAAAACTCAACTAAATTCCTATCTGTATCCTCCTTAGTCTGTTTCATGACAGGCAGGGTAACTGTTGTTTCTCCATTTGTCAACCAGACTTCTTGACTTGTATCAATTTCATTGGAGGTAGTAGAAGTATGAGTGCTTTTCGACCTAGTCTGTCTTTTGTTAACTTTTACTGATTTCTGTTGCTCTTGCTCAGGAAGATTTATTTTAATTAATAAACCTGGAGGGATGCTGGATAAACTGTGCACTGGAATAGGAGCACCTAAATTTGAAATGTCACCAGTAAATGGCAAGATTACTTTTTTTATATTCCCTTGTACACCACTATTTGTAACATTTGATGTAACATTGTTTGCTATTGCAATTGGCTGTAACTGATCTGTAAACTGAATTTTCCAATTAGAGTTAGGTGGAAGTGGCAATTTTCTTGTCATACGATTTTCAATGTTATTAGGATCAGGCCTTGGAATGTTGATAAGTGTTGGCCTTTTAGATTTTCCACGTTTCTTCGCAAGAGGAGTAGGCTTATTATCTACCTTTGGCTTTTTACTAGATACTAAAGGTCTTGAAAAACCTTGTTTCTTAGTCCCTTTAGTTGTATTGGGACTACTAGATTCATCTATGGTATTATCTTGTTCATCTTCAATTTGTTCTGTGGAACCGACAGATTCTAACTGCGATACATCCTTTATAGTTGGTACTGCATCACATGGTCCTACTTTATGAAAACTCTGTCCTGTCTGAAAGTGTTTAGAACAGAGTACCAATTTACGTATTTGATTTGGAGACATTTTCAATAGATCCTCTCTGCCCAGAAATTGACACCACCTTAAACACCTTCCAATCTCATAAGCAGGAAAAGGGTGAAACTTATACCTTTCCAATTTATTTCTAGGATCAGATCTTGATCTACTACAAGCAGCACATGCTTGACTCTCTAAAACAGCTGGTGGTAGAGGATCTAGTTTTTTTGGTTTCTCTGAAGAATTATATGACTTTGGCTCAGATATAGATTCCATGATACATTGTTCAGATCCATCCAACTGATCAGGATTACGAATATTAGGAACAGCATTGTCCACTAATCTGCTCTTGTAACCAGGCATGAACTGGGAGGGGTCAAAATGTTTAGAGCAAATGTAACAAAATAAAATCTCTTTCCTGGTCAATCTATAGTACGAGTCTACGCCAACAAAATCAAGCCATTTCAAGCATCGAAATTCCTCACCAGGAAAATGATGGAAGGTTGCACCATCATAATCCAAATCGGGTGGATCTCGACGGGAACGACGGCACAGTACACACGTTATGTTGTATAAACTTTGCTTCGGATCGTAAGTCGAAGGTACAGCTGTACTATTCAATCTGTCGAAATATTCATTGAGAAAATCCTTCTGCTCGAAGTGTTTGGAACAAACCATTCGTTGGAGCAACTGTTTCTTCGTGAGTTTGTACAAATCTTCGCGGCAACAAAACTCTAACCACTTTCTGCACCGAGTTTCATCGTTAACAGGAAACCCAAAGAACATGTACTCTTCTTCCCTATTATTGGGATTCATACGTGAACGGCCGCACACGACACACGGGTGTGGCATTTTTCTCAGTATTTATATACACTTCTGTGTTTTCATCAAATGAATAATCTCATCTTGACACATTTAACGATGGAGGTTATCTCCGAGTCAGAGAACTTTCCTGACTGTTGTGATTGTGAAAGTTATCATACCAATTTACCTTTAAATTATGTTTTCATAGTCTTTTTGTGCACAATGCGATTTCAAAATATTTATGCAAGAAAATTCAACGATACGATACATGACCCCTTCATTCTTTTCAATCCTCTCTGTACAATGAATTTTAGGCCTTTTCATGAAACATACCATTCTTCAAAAAGACCAAAATACAAAGTTCCAGTTAAAACACATTTGCTTGAAAAGTAAATACTGCAAGGTCACTTTCTTGACCCTTTATTGTACTTGTTGCGCTTTCTTCGCTATTTTTAAGAGGTTATGTTACTTGATACAGCGTCTTTTACCTAACCTTTCATGACACAGAACCCTATACATACATATATAAATAGGTTGGCAATTCATTAGCTAACCTAACGTTCGTTATTCTTAGGAGCAGCCTACTGTCAAAGTGCCCCAGTTGTAATCAGTTGCAATAGCAAAAAATTCACAGAATGGCAGAGAATTCTAATAATCCATACGACATTAATGGACAGCATTTTAATCCTGATATGTACTTCCAGAAATTATTAAAAGTAAGCTCACTACTTTCATATGATTGTGTTTTATACAAGTTCCATGATACTGATTATAATTTTGTACACTTTGATAGGAATGTACATTGAAACAAATCATGGATCATGAAGCAGAAATTATAAAAAATACTCAAACATTGCATTCAGACATGCAAACATTGGTATATGAAAATTATAATAAATTTATATCTGCCACAGATACTATTAGAAAGGTAAATGATCCAAATAGGGTTGTTATATTTAACTGTTCAATGTACCTAATATACTTTTTTCATGCACAGATGAAAACTGATTTTAAAGAAATGGAAGATAGTATGGACTTACTGGCAAAAAATATGAATAGCATTACATCCTTTTCAGAACAAATTTCATCCACACTGCAAGGCACCAGACATCAAATTGCCAAATTGTCTTCAGTTCATGCCCTCTTGAAGAAGTTACAATTCCTCTTCAAGTTGCCTGGCAATCTGAAAGATAGAATGAACGAAGAAAATTATGCACAGGTTTATTCTTGTTCTGTTCTACATCAGAAAATAATTTTAATAGGTCTGTGCAACTCTTGATTTTTTCAGGCAGTACAAGATTATATTCATGCACAGCGTGTATTAAATCAATATGGCAATATGCCTTCCTTCCAAGGAATACAAAAGGACTGTGAAGATATTTTAGAGGAACTCAAATCAAGACTCAGAAATCAATTTCACAAAAGGGATGCATCAACTAAATCTTTAGCTGAAAATGTTGACCTTTTGCTACAACTAAAAGAACCAGCAGACTCTTTGTGTGCTGAATTTTTAAGACATGCGGATGAGAGGCTGACAGAACAATTAAGTATTCTAAAAGACTTGTGTGAAAATGATATTATAGAATTTGTTGATATGGCCAGTTCTGGATTTCTTAGTGACCTATGCCTAATTGTTGCGTCTTACAATGATCTCTTTGTGAATAGACTGCCATCAGAAGAGAATGAGTTTTCTGATGACTTTGATACAAAAGCCATTACGCGTTTGAATAATTTTATTATGAAAAACATGAAAAAATACTTTGACCTAATTGGTAAAAGAGTCGAAAATGTAGCTGATACAGTAGTTCTAGTTAGAGCCCTAGACAAATTTCACAGAAGACTACAAGCTATGAATATGTTATGCAAAGAAACAGACTTTGGAAGGTATTAAATGTAGTTGCTTAATAATCACTTGGACAATTTAAAACAACATTTGAGTGAAGCACTTGGTAAAGTAAGACAAATATTGGCAACTAAAATGTCTCAGGATGGCGATAGTAGCTTAGCAGAACTTCAAGCCTTACTTATTATGCCCACCATAGAAAAAGTTAAAGGAGTCCTACAAGATTTATTGGTCTGCCTTTCGTTATTAATATTCCTTAATAATTTTCCAATAGTTTACAATCAATTGGTTCGAATGAAATCTATTTTTAGGTCTTCCTACAATCGGATTTGTCATTCAGTTCAAGAACACAGTTTTTCCAATACTTCTGTGTAGATGAAGTTAGAGAAGGACTAGTGGTAGGGTTTCTACATCATTTAACGGCGACAGCTAGTGGGTTCTATACTAGATCCGATGATCCAAAGTTTCCGCCTACTCTGTTGCTTCTATTGAGTAAAATGTGTATCGAATATAAAGAGAACAACGTAAAATATTTGGTAAAACAGAATGAATAGATGGACAGTAAAGATTATAAATTCATGAAATTATATTGTACATTTTAATTACAGCTCTCGACAACCGACGACCTATTCAATATCGATTACTATGCATCGTCTGGGAACATTGTTACAACTGACTCTGAGATATGTGAGAGGTTCCAAGAAGTGGCTCAGAATTTATTAAATCATTACGTCCGTATTCAGGGCTTAGCAGTGTCACAACTGTTAAGAAAATCGGTAGAGACGAGAGATTGGTTGCACACAATCGAGCCAAGAACCGTAAGAGCCGTAATGAAAAGAGTAGTGGAAGACGTGACGGTGATCGATTCTCAAGTTGCCGCTTTGTTTGACGATTCGGAAGGTCAAATCGACAGAAGCAGCGACAGCAGCAGAAAAACCCATAGGTACGAAAACCGCGGAAATGAACAATTTGTAATCTTTATTAAGTATTCGACTTGTTTTCCAGCGTGAGCGTGTCGAGACATCATTACAGATCCAGTTGGTCGTCGTATACGCCCAGTCACATGGACTCCTCATTGGTGACCAATATTCATAAATTGTTCTCTGAGCGAATTGAAATTTTCTCATCGGTTCAATTCAACAAGGCCTCTATACTCACTGGGATTATCAAAATAAGTTTAAAGGTGATATACTTCTGGCAGACAGAGTACCGTAATAAAGACAGGTGCTGTCGGCCAGTTACAATGATAAAATAGCACGGCCATTATCCACTTTGCGTCGCGAGGATACCTTGTTCTCTCGCGTTGCGTATGCTGCAATACTACGCAATACGGACGATTCGTGCGTTCTATGCTACCGAGAATTCATCCGATGCTATTGATAACGATTCCTCCTTGTATTTATAGACATTCCTGGAATGCGTCAGATTACGAACATTCAGCAAATACGGGCTGCAGCAGATTCAGGTCGATACCCATTATTTGCAGCTGTACTTATGGAGATTCGTTTCGGACGAAAAGTAAGTAACATCCGCTTTCGCGGACAAACGATCATTTCACATGGAGAGGAAATTATCTTTTTCTTTTTTTTTTCAAGCGTCGTGCACTTCTTGCTGGATGAAATACTCGGAAGTGCAGTACACAGATGTTTGGAACCGGTCTTAATGGAGCCAAGTGTCGTTGATATTATTTGCGAGAGAGGATAAACGACGATGTTAAGGACTAATCGTGAGAGACCGTTGTTATGTGACAACACTGTACAGCCTTTGTGTCGTATTAAATAGTATTCTATATTATTAGTTATATATGTAAATGTTATTATATGTACATACAATAGTGTCTATATTCTTCTATATTTCATATGTGAGAATGTTTCACAAGAAACGCTGTACATTCCGTAAATAAATATGATGGCAAAAGAAGATCTTATCCAGGAATTATTTCTCTATCTTTTTATTTGTTTCGTGCGATCGCCCACGCAGATCGAATACTACTACTACAGAACTGTGCCCGATACACAAGTGACACGATGTACGACGTGCTCTACCGTCTTTCCTTCTCCATTGATTCGGTGACACGGTCTTTTGTCTCCTTTTCATCGCGCTCCCCACCTACCTATCCCGGATAAAATAAACTCATCAAAGTCCTTAGTACGCTATAAGAAGCAGGGTCAAATGATTCTAATAAGTCTTAATTCTCTACTACATTCTGCACTTTTGAACCTTATTATAGCGTAAAATTTCATCAATCGCTCCTTCTTTTCCTTCCACGACGACATTTAGGATTTTCATCTGATTCTTTTACAATGAATATTTCAACATTAACCATTCGTTAAGGAATATGATTTTAGAAAGAAACGCAAACGATGAATCTCCGTTGAAACGTTGTTCCGTCGACGGTTCCCGTGTACGTGACGCACAAATGTGCAAAGAATAAATGGGACAAGAGCTTATAACGTATATGGGGTTCTGCCGTACCCCCTTGGCAGTGGCTCGAGTTAATTCGAACTTCCTCTCGTTGGATGAGATTCATTCTCCGAGTATCCGGCGTGGGCCTACGCACAGCATTCTACCCAATTTAATAAACTCTTCTAAATTACTCGGGCCGGGGCCGTTCCCTCGTTCAATCATGAATTTTCCCTGGAAATCCACGGAAAATTCACTAAATTTTCCCTCGGAGTCGAATTAAATCTCGTCCCCGAGGGTCGTATCGTCGCGCTTAAAAATTTACATTTAACGCCTTCTCCTCGACGGCAGTTCGAGGACAGCTAAATTTCGTACGATTTCGATCGAATCGTTTAATCTGTAAAACCTCGAATATAATACGATTCGTGTGACATTCGGTTGATTCGATATAAAACGACACGAATAAGTATACGTGCATTCTTGATGGGCTCGAGTAGCGATATCATTACCACAGGCATATGTGGCACACGTGATCTCTGAAAACACCTGTGCACGTGTGACTTTTCGTACGTTACGAGAGGCTGCGTTCCCGATACCATGCTCATTCCCGCTTAAACCGTTGCGATATGGATGTTGACGATCCACGAAAACGTGTATAATTGTGTTTCTACAGTGCTAACGACACCTTTCTCGAAGGAGATCTACCACGAGGACACAGTATTGAGCAGAACCCTTACCTCTTGAGCATTCAAACATCAAACAAGAAATACCTACGAACCCCACGGAACATATGTGAAGATTTTGGATTTGCAGGAGACGATGATCTTAGTAATTATCTGAGGTAAAAATCTTAACGCAGGTACGTTTACAGCCCTATATGTTCACATACATAAGAATCGCGTTGTTAGCGATGAAACGCCGAGAATAAGGTGATTCACGTTCCGTTTGAATCTCATAGGAGCCCGGATCGTCCTAATCGATGCACAATGGATCGCCGACGATGGAAGAAAAGACCACGTAACAGGGATTGTATCCTAATAAAAGGTGCCGCGCGCCCTTTTTGCCATGGGTTGCTTTAAATCGGTAAAATGGGCCCGCATGAGAAAATCTCCGTGGACATATATGTATACACGGGGACGACGATTATCATGAAATGACCAAACTATTTCAAAGTACAAGCTGGCGGTCGTTTGGAGAGCGCATTCGGCGGCATACGGGCGCACCGACCGCGTGCACGCGGTTAATCAGCGAGCTGTGTGTAACCAGCTTCATTCTTCGTCAATTTGCACGGCGGACCTACTCACGGGGTCCTTCGACCAATTATTTATTTGCCCGCCGAGCGGCATTGTTTCCAGCCACGATGTTTGACCCGTACCGATAAATGTGGCGCAAACAATCGAAAACTTTCGAACGATGCCGATGATTCACGCACGCGATAATCAACATCCAACATACATACTGTTTGATCTGATAAATATATTCGAGGAGACTAGGTATGTACAGTAATGTACAGACTATACGGTTAACAACTTTGCTACTGCACTATACACCACGTTGAATTTCCAACAAAGATGTTGCAGATGTTTTGCTAGATGGAAATTCGAAACGTACGAAAGGTTCCATTCGCCGAAGATATTACGATTTGTGACCGTAACAATGAGCGGAAAAGCGACACGCTTGTTGTTACGCTCACAGTTCAAGCTATCTTCTCAATAAGTGACTCATTACGCAAAGCAATATCGGTAAATCGAATATGTAATCCATTAATAGATGATTTTTCGAGAATGATTGAAATGTTGACGCTAAAAGATAAACTCAAAGAGGGATCGATGCAAGACGAGATAAGGAAAAGCGAACTAACAATGTCAACGGAAAATTTGAACTTTAACCGCATTGAGCCGTATATATTTCGGCCCGAATATCAAGGAACGCAGTCAACAGGCAATTGCCGAAGACAGACTCTACTCCGAAGGAGCTCTTCTATTACTCAAATTTGCTTATCTGTGTGCTAAGTAGTGGTGCCGTAGGTGATGGGTTCGAAAATTCACCTCGACACGATTACTTTTCACGCAGACACGCAAAGACTACGGTGGATAGCAAGGGGCAAGTGAAATCGAACGGAATACTTATTCGATACTTCAAAGAGAATATCAGGTAATAGTAATAACTTGTTTATCAATTGTTTAATACTTACGAATTTTTCAGTTAAAAGATGGCTTCTACTGGTGGGGAGTTCACTTTGGGGCAAGCATCAATTTTCACCAAACTTCTGTACGCGAATAACAGACCGATGATTTCCCAAACACGTACATTTTGTCGAGTTAGTTATTATTGTCACTTTAAACTAGCTACTACAATATAACACGACTTATTGCCTATATAACAGCAAATTTTATCCGAGAAATTACCGGCTGTGACGCGGGAAATCGCACTCCGAAAATATACTGGTTGAACCGGAATCTTTCGGCCAATCAGCGACACGGACGTTACATTAGTCAAGCCCGCGATTCTCAATTGAACACCACAGGTATCAAATCAAACGACTAAGAAAAGATATTTGAATTATTTTGTTGAAATACGTAATTTTCTTTTACGTTTTATGTATTATATATTTGAATACCGTTCTCATTGCATGTATAATAATATGTATTATTATATGTACGATATCTATGAAAAACGATATTACTTATTTTGTGATGTTACGATTAACGTAGTTTCTTCGTTTAAAAATTACGGCACTAAATGTAAAAGAGTATTGATTATAATGAACAATAAATACAAGAAATTTATAAATATCCAATAAATAAAATATAGAAACCCTTTCCTACCTTTTCATTTCATGTACATATTTCCGGTTGTAATGGAAACAGACGTTTCGATGAACACACGAATATTTTCCGTTAAAACCGGAAGTGTTCAGTAGATCGAAGAGTTCCGCGTTATGTAGTATTAGCGTAATTCGATCGGTAAAGGAAGGTTGAAAGGCACTGCCATAGAGAGAATCTAGCGGACGATCGTGTCGTTAGCCGCGCGATTCAAATCGTGCGCCAAGGCGAGGCAATAAGGACTCGGTACGCCGGTGAATGGTTTGATAACAAGCGGTGGAAGGCAGGCACAGGGGAGACGCATATTCCCCATCGGTTGACCGGCCATTCAGTGACGCGCGATTCTTCACTGTCCGGCACTGATTTCAATTGGTAAATTGATTTGGAACGACGGCGACAGAGAGAAAAAAAACGAGAATAGAGAAAGACCGTTTCGATGTGGCGAGAAAGAGGGAGAGAGAGAGAGTGAGCGAGAATGAGAGGCTCGGGGACCATGGCGTGCAAAAGATGACAAAGAAAGAGGCACACATCAGCACCGTGACCGGGTGTACCGTCACACAGCAGCGCAGAAAACGACAGCAGTGGCAGTGCCTCTCTTGCGAACCGTTAATAGGTACTGAACGCTGCTTGAATGCTTAATGCACCGTGCTTCTAGGATTAAATTGACCAATCATTTCCCGCGCGGCAAGGAGCGGCCAATTACAGCGCTCGTCCGACTATATTAAGCCAATCAAGAACAGTTTATCGCTCAGTCGTCGGTCTGCCGTCGTGACGTGAGTGTCGTGCGCGTGCGTGCCTCTATTAGTTGAAACTCGTGGGACAAGGAAATCGGGAGAGAATATTTTACTGTCATGCGAGTCCGATCGACTGTTGTTCACCGGTTCTGATGATCTCGTTCAGTGATTAAGAGTCACGTTCCTTATTTGCTTGCCGTTTAACGTATCGCGGACGTTTGAAAACGGTCGTTTTAATCAGAACTGGATCGCGTACCATCGTTTGTTCAATTGAAAAGAATCTCTCGCCGATCGGCTATTCAACGTACCAACAGGAAAGATGAACGGTGCAAAGACGGGAGGAATGCACGCTAACAAGGTTTACACGGGAATGCGTATTTCCCAATGCGATTCACGTTTCGTACGTATGATAACATTCGTTCATTCTCGTAGTGGCGTTTCGTATTTCGATCCCTCCGCGCGATCCTCCGCATCACCCCTCCCTTAGTCGTCGAAACTTTTCATTAATCGAACCGCGGCTTTAAACCTTTTCTTTAGTTTCTTCGAAGCAGTGGAGTGTCAATGATAAATCTCGGCGATATTTTTACGTGGTTGGAAAATCGTAACAAACAGTGATATTAACGATACTAAGTGCGGATGAGCCCATCGATGTCCACTAGTGTCGAATAGAAGCTAAAGGTCATGAGATTTCCTTCGATTGTTTCATTCGGGTCCGGTACACACAGAGCCGACCGATACATACTTATCACAGTTTTTCGGAACATAAGCTCGGTTAACTAACGTTATCTTTAAAAACAAATGAACTTTTAAAATCGAACTGCATGCTCGTAGTGGAGAAGTATAGACCCGATTGGTTTGTTTTTACATATATGTATGTAACTCTCTTCTCATATTGTTCGTTATTACGTTCGCGGTCGCGCAAACAAGATTACTCCCCGACAAGAGTCACCACCGATAAACAGGAAACACTAAAAAAAAAGAAACAATCGTTGATTTTGCAGAGACTAATACAGACAATTAAGAAACACGAATCGAGAGAAAGTAAACTGTAAATCCTGTTTTCCCAGCGAATCCATAGCACGCCGTCGAGATACATTCCCGAATATGTTTTCAACGAGTCAACTCACGCATGAAATAAGATCGCATGCGACCACATGTATCATTTGAACCGGACACTCGGCGAACGTATCGAAGTCTCGAGAAGTGAAGAACCACCGGGTGCTCGCCATCCCGGTTGCAGCCGCAGGAATGATAAACAACGAACGATCTACGAAAACAAGCGATTAGTTGTTCACGTATTACGCTGTTCCGTTCTATGGCTCCTCGCGGACAGAAACGTTGCAATTGAAGATGGATATTTTGTTATTCTGAAAATATAACAGCCACGCGGTGTGACATGGTTCGACTTTATCTTCGCTGACTTCTTGACCCCTCCAGAAACGATAGCGCGTGTGGAAGTCACGAGAGACTGGTTGTCGAAGAAAGCTCTTGTAAGTTCGAAATATCCATGGTAAATTACCGAATATCGATTCGTCGATTGAACAACGGTAAATTTAGAAACGAGTAAAACGTAATGACTTTCGTTGACTCTGCTCCTTCATGCCCCCCCCCCCCCGCCACGTCGTTCTAAATTTCATACGTTGCGACGCAACTTCTGTGCATCATGTTGTAGCCACGAACCCAACCACGGAAAAATCGTAAACTATCTCGATCTTGATCCGAAATTGGCCACTATTAAAATAGAATGCTTTCTGTCGCGACGCAACACAGAAGCCTGACCGGTCGCTCCCAAGGCTCCGCAAATTTTTACTAAACTTACCACGCGCGCGCACTAATTTTTTGGGTGTTTTTTTTTCTTTTGTCGGCTGGGACCGTCTATCGTCCGTCCGTCATTGGCTTCTCGGAACTCCTCGTCTCTTTCTGTCATCCATCCACAATTTGTGGAGATCGTTGCCTAATAAGTTGACGAGCTATTTCGCGAATACCCAGGGGGAGAGGCGACATTAACAGAAATTAGCGTTAATTGGTGTACTCTCCCCCTCTTTCCCGTTCTCTCGCCCCTCGGGCTGATCTCTCGCGTCTTCCCCTTTTCTACAATTCCTTCCGTCGGTCCCCCCCTCGATCTTTTTCCGCTTTCGCTTACCCCGCCTCGCTCTGTCTCCTCCTCGTCATTTGTCTCCCTCCTCGAGTATCTTCTTGCACACTCGCGTGGACGAGCAAGCCCCGCGACAATTTCGTCCGTGTGGTGTTTCGGAGTCGTCGCGCAGTTTTTCATTAACCGCTGCCGCGCCTCCGTCGACCAGCGAAAAAATCAGCCGTGCAAGATGCGCGACAGAAGGAAGAGACGCGCTTATCCATCCTCCAAGTCTGGCAGAACCCGCAGCGTCTCCGTTAATCCGCTTTGGCTTACACACGACTTTGCATTTTAACACAAGACGTTCTCGCGAACGCGACACGCGTTCTTCTTTGTTCGTGAATACAAAGCTGCGCCAAATGGCCTCTTAAAATGCGCTCGTTTTTTCGATGAATCTCGAATAAATTCTTCGTCACCGGGCCCAGAAGTGCCAGAGAAGCTCGATTCTAGAAAAAACGGATCAACATCGACCCATTCACCACTACTACCATGCTAGAGCGATGAATGCGGGCGTTTGACCGAGCGAGAAACGTTAAAGAGGAACGCGGGGCAAAGAAATCAAAGATTCGATTGTAGCCTCGCTCCTCCCTCCGTATCTCCCGCGCACGCATTTCCGCGAGCGATATTCTTCACGGGGTACGGCGATCCGTCAGAGTCCTCTGTTCCGTTTCATTCGATGGATTCACGTTTGTAGTTCAATATTATAATCACCCACGGTGTTCGTGAATATTCCGAATCCTGTGATACAGCCGGATTCGTATAATCAATTTGTCTTTCTGTTTTACAGGATGGAGGAAAACAGGCATGGTTTAACACGTCCACTAGTCGACAACGATAACCAAGGACAAACAACGTTAACAGGGATCGTCAACAGCAAGCTGCAAGAGATCCATCGGAAACGGTTTTCAACGCAACGAGAACGAGACACGAACATTTGATCCAGAAATGCGTTGAACGTCGAAATCTTCCAGACAGATGCAACAGGTTTCATCGAGAGGCGGCTCTCTGCATTCAGTTCGAAATTTCTCAGAGAGAGGTACCGGTGGAAGAAACAGCGAAGCTGCTCGTAGTGGGCGACTCTTTAATGAACCGTCGAGGTCGCTTCAATGAGTATCACTGTGTGTCATCCGCATCATTATAGCGTGTACGATATACATATAGTACACGTTACCACGTCCGAGCTAATAATTCTACCTTGTATCTTACTATTGGTACCGTGGTTCGTGTGACGTATAAGTTTAGATAATGTTAGAACTTTTTCCTCTGTGTTCGTTGTGTCAAACGAAATTAACCGTGGTAACACACAGAACGAATTTCTAATCCGCGGCGTTCACGGTTAAACGACCGTTGATTAAATAATTATTTCGGAGAACATTTTCCGAGCAAGCGTCCGGCAACGAGTAATCCTTATCTGGTAAATGGGCTAACTTAATTGACTTAAGACTTCTGTTCATTTCGTTAAACGATTACAGTGCACGGAGTCAATGCGTCACGCAATATCTATGGGCTATGGTATTCTTACGTCGATTATCTAATCTCGCGGTGAATTATCAGGAAACGTGGGCAATTTATATTGGGGTTTCCCTCGGTTTCCTTAATTATCCATTAATCGCCGCACCCGATATCGTCTTTCCGATTTGGTGTATTTCCCTGCGTTTGTAAGTCTACACGAGTGTTTTGTTAAAGTTCCAACTCTCCGTCCATATTTGCGACAATTATTTAATTGTGTAATCCCTGTGTATGTCGAGAATGGGTATGGTACCAACAAGAGCCCCTTATTATACCTCGAAAATGAATAGCCTCGGTATAGTAGCACCGAAGTACCGGGTCGATACTTTCTTCTTAAGGAAGATATGAAACGCAGCGTGGTTTCCTTTGTCGGACAGAATGGAAAGCTTTTCACAGTACTATTGGAATATTCGAAACTGTAGTAGCGTAATTCATTGAATTCTATTTTATTCCCGGCGACTAAGTTAGCGGTGATTAACAATGTTTAATCATTTTGCAGGATTCAGGAATCGAGATACGAAAGATTTCATAGTGACTCATGCATCGATAATTAGTAAGAGGGCTGCACCCGATCCAGTAATAAATCCTGTCCTGTTCCTAAGTACTAGTGCCGCAGGAGTGATTAGGTTTGGTTAGAAATTGCCATATCTCCTGCTGCTCAAGTGCTTATCAATGGGTCTGGATGCACATCTATCTCCAGGACAAATCGCTAAGAGTTGTGGACCATGTACACCAGCTTATCCGCGCTGTAATTTTAAGTTACCCCTTATCAATGTAAATATACAACAAACACGTAATAAAAACACATAGCAAGACGTGAAACTTTTTTGAATGAATAAAAGATGGAAAAAATAATTGGCTGGAGGAGCTGGGATTTGAACCCAGGACTTTCAGCATGCGAAGCAGACACTCTACCACTGAGTTACACCCCCATTTGGTATACGTTTCTTTTCAAACGCGCTATAAATAAATGTCGAAAACTTTAATATTTTCAATTGAAAAAAATGAAAAAAAAAAACGACATTTGGAGGAGCTGGGATTTGAACCCAGGACTTTCAGCATGCGAAGCAGACACTCTACCACTGAGTTACACCCCCGGATACTAACCGTGTGTTCGAGTTTAAATATATTCCGAATACGTTACTGTATGTCTAAAAAATGAATATAAAAAACTAGTTTTTTTTTAAATCTATTTACATAAGTGACATGCATTAGGAGAACATCGAATAGATACGCAGTGTCTTCAGCCTAAGTGCCTCATGCCAAATTAACATTCGATTTAACATTTGTATCAGTAGAGGAAATAAACTTATCAAATGGCGGAAGGCCCTTCCCATTCATCACTTTTTCCCCTAGCGGAAACCGAGTTTGCTCGTGGTGTTACATGCGTTTTACACATATGGAGTCCCTTATGTATGTCCAGGGGTTCTATGGCCCCAATGTCTCGCATACACGGAGTTTTATACGCGTGCTCCGGGGGTTCAACGACCCCACTGCTTCGCACACGGGGTCTCTTGCGCGTACTCCGGGGGTTCTATGACCCCACTTATCGAACTACTACACAGTACATCTCTATATACATCTACGACCCTGTGCATTATATTATATAGTCTGGCGCTTTAGTCGCCTCGCCAATCGTGCAAGTTAGGCACTAGAGATAAGTGCAGTTCTACCAGGCAGGCAGCAGCAGCCAGGCAGGTACTACTACCGATGTCGCAACGACATAATCTAACCTCTTGAAAAAAACTAGCAGCGTCCTACTCGAAGTAACTGTCAGTTCACGGTACGTCATCGTAAAGCGACTCGATTAAGGTTATTTTCTGTATAGCCGACCTGTAATTAGTTCGTCAACCGATAAGGTACGTTCCGAGTCTGTTAATATTTCATAACCGATTACATTCAATTTGTTTAACTGTTTCACACTTTCAGCGAATCCACATACGCGACACACATGGCTAACAGATCGCTGTTAGATGGTAAATCATAAAAATTTAAACACGTCGAAGCCAAGGATAAGAATAGTGTCTCAATCGAAGAATTGGAACGGTATTCGCCACGGCTTTTACAGAGATGGTTGGATTGGCGGGCGGGGGAGGACATCTGTATCCCTCGCCCCCAATGCAACCTAATCCAGAATGTAAGTTTTGATAACGTCATTTTTTATAAATAATCAGAATTGGTATATTTACTTGGGATATTATTGGTATATGTCTACTATGCAATGTAAACACGGTTTGCAGTGAGAGAGATGACTGGAATTGCCCCCACTGCCCCAACAAGTGCAGATGCTTGTTTGAGCATAGTACATTCATTAATGTGTCATCGTCAAGGTGGTGAAAGTGAAGGATTTAGCAAGCGAGCCATTGAATCTTTAGTAAAAAAACTTAAAGTAAGTACTCTTCTGTCAATTATCTAATTGTATCACGAAATTCAATTCAATGGTCAATATTTTTTCTCAGGAAAAACGCGATGAATTAGATAGCTTAATAACTGCTATCACAACAAATGGAGCACATCCCAGCAAATGTGTTACAATACAAAGAACTCTTGATGGTAGGCTACAAGTTGCTGGTCGTAAGGGTTTCCCACATGTAATATATGCAAGAATCTGGAGATGGCCAGATTTACACAAGAATGAACTAAAACATGTTAAATACTGTCAATTTGCCTTTGACTTGAAATGTGATTCTGTATGTGTAAATCCATATCATTATGAGAGAGTTGTATCTCCTGGCATAGGTATGTCATTAAGCATATTTCTTGTTTGTTTTTTCCTTCTAAAGAAATCATGTGCTTTGATTGAAGTTCCTTTTAATAAATTATCTCTTTGCAAAGCTTCTGTGAATTCATTTGTAGCACCATAAGTGTAAATGATTTATTGTTGTGGCCTTGGTGTATGATGGAATGGGTTGGTTTCCCCCGCACAGACCCGTTCTTTACAGACCTGTCTGGGCTGACTCTACAATCAGGAGTGGGTGTTGGACCAGGTGGTAGATTGGTCAAAGATGAGTACTCTGTTGGTGGTGGAGGAACTGCAGCAGCTGGAGCAGTAGGAACTGCAATGGATGTTGATGGAGAAATTAATCAGACCATTCAGCATCATCCCCCTACTCAACCCACTTCATCTAACAACACTCAACCATCTCAGCAAACTTTTATACCAGGCCTAGCACCACCTAATCCAAGTAAGTAAAGTACTTTACTTCTTTCTTAATGACATTTGTTGTGTATTATGAATATATGAACTGTATTTTAATGACAATTTATGATGCGTTAAAGTTAGTTAATGTGAAGTTGTTGAGTAAAAGACCTTAGTGTCATAGTCCTCTAATCTTACTATGCTATTCCTATGATTTTTGGTTGGTAAATGTATTTTTGTATACAGGGTGTGTTGATTTATTTAAAAATCAAGCATGTTGATGTGTTTATACCCTACAATATTAAATAAATCCACTACATAGACATGAATAAAGCTTTCCTGTTGGAATTGTAGATTAGAGGGTGGTTTCATTTTTTGTGGCCAACTTTTTTATTCATTAGTATTGCTTTATCTATTATTATTTTGCATTGCTAGTTTTATTTCATTTTAGCTTTATTCTTTCTTTTCTCTTTTGTTGTTTGGCACAGCTAGTGGTGAGGGTATGTTTGGCAGTAATGGGGGAGGGAATAATGGTGGTAACCCTCACAATAAACTGGACGACAGTAATTGTCCCAGACAAACCTGGATTCCTACACCTCATCATCCTACAACACGTAACATTCATCATCGTACGTATATATATAATAGAATCCCCGTTTATATTCTTACTATTTTCTGTCTACTGCTGAGTAGTTTTTATTGCTTTGTGCCAGTTTTGTTGAAAGTTGTAATAGTCTTTAGAAATCACTTCATGCAATTTATTTCAGAAACTCTAGGTAAAGTTTGAGTATAATTGATAATGCGTGTTTTGTTGCCTGTATTGTGTACGAGTTACATTTAATTTTGCAGCAGTAGTACATCCAATGAGTCACACCGTAGGTAACCAACAGCAGTCATTGAGTACATCTAGTGGAGGAAATGGCACACAAATGCTCAGTACTTCGCAAGGACAGTCTACTGAAGCTTTCTATGGAACTAATACTCCACCTCAAGACCTTAATCAGCCCCCAAGTGTTGATGCATTAGCAGCATCTTTAGGTATACTACACGATCCTGCATGTATATTCAATAAATATTTTAAATCATTTTTCAACTTGATATTCTAATAGGGGATGGTCAGAATTCACCTGTATCACCTGTACATATTCATCATCCAAATGGATTTCCAGTAGGTACAGCTGCTTATAATTCGGGGGCACCGCAGTGGACTGGAGCGAATACTCTTACATATACTCAGAGCATGCAACCTCCAGATCATAGACACCTACATCCTACTTCTTATTGTAAGTTAGCGATAAATTTATATAGCGCTACTTTAATATTATTGTAAACTTATATCTTTGTTAGGGGGTGGTCATGGTGGTGATGTAGGTGGAAACATTGGTGGTTTGCTCTCTACACAACCAGCACCTGAATATTGGTGTTCTGTTGGTTATTTTGAATTAGATACTCAAGTAGGTGAAACGTTTAAAGTAAGCAGTGGTTGTCCTACTGTCACAGTCGATGGATACGTCGATCCCAGCGGTGGTAATAGATTTTGTTTAGGAGCCTTGAGTAATGTACACAGAACAGAACAAAGTGAAAAAGCACGACTTCACATAGGTATATCCACTTTACACTATTTTTGTTCTTTGTTTCCAATTAAGATGATCATTTGCTGCACTGTCGTATATTTCTTAGGAAAAGGCGTTGTGCTCGACTTAAGAGGGGAAGGAGACGTTTGGTTAAGATGCCAAAGCGAACATAGTGTCTTTGTACAATCCTATTATTTAGACAGAGAAGCAGGTCGTGCACCTGGAGATGCGGTACATAAAATTTATCCCTCCGCATATATTAAAGTTTTCGATTTACGACAGTGTCACAAGCAAATGAGAGGGCAGGCCGCTACTGCTCAGGCTGCAGCCGCGGCACAAGCTGCTGCTGTGGCAGGACACTTAACGCACGGAGCACCAATTACTAAAAGTTCGTATAACATTCTTTCAATTGTCTAAGAATAATTTAAAACATCTCTTTAACTATTATCTTGATTTATTATTTAATATAGGTTTAAGTGCGGCAGCTGGTATAGGCGTAGATGATCTCCGACGACTCTGCATTTTACGTTTAAGTTTTGTTAAAGGTTGGGGTCCTGATTATCCCCGGCAAAGTATAAAAGAAACTCCGTGCTGGATAGAGGTATAAACAATCTTACTTTACTTAGTATTTCACATTTAAAAATTGCAAAAATGCAATCTTGTTATGTTTGATACAGGTGCACTTACATAGAGCCCTTCAGTTACTAGATGAAGTCTTGCACACTATGCCAATAGATGGTCCACGGGGAATTGAATAATTTTATTTATCTTTGAATAACATATATGATATGAAAAAAGACATCACATTGCTACAGACTCTGCATTAAGTATGCAAAATGTATAAAAAGCAGACATATATGATACTGTGTGGTATCGTTGAGGAACAACAACAACAAAAGCTGTTGGTATAAATGAAACCGGTGCGAACTTCAAATCGAGAACAAACATTGAATCGCATTGGAACATTAACTGAAATTCTTTATATATTTTACACACGTGATTTATCGCGTAAGATGAAATGTATGCCACGGCCTTGCATTACCGTCAACGTACAAACGTTATGCAAAAGAAATATTATTTTTCTTTATGAAAAATTATTTTTTAAGAGGAAAGGAGTGCATCTACGAAAACAAGCGAAGGTAGGATGAAAGACTTCTATTTTAATAGGCAGTCGGTGTCCGATTTAAAGAAAAAAAAATACATTTTCCATGGCATGGCCTGGTGAGCTCAGCAAAAATGCGTGAGTAAAACGTGATACTTTCGGAAACATTAATAGTCATAATCTCGTTTTTTGAGATTAGCTTTGTAAGATAGCTTAACTGACATACATCCTACTTAAAGAAAACACTGACAAATTTTAAGCTCAATGTTTACGTCAGATATAACAAACAATGAAAAAGTGGATTGTATATGTGTGCACAGTAGGAAGGTTTTCTAAAAATACAATTGTTTCAAAGTACTGTCGGATAACAGCTGTAGTACATAGAAGTATTACAATAAATACTACATAAGCCGTTCTATAAGTTTGTAGTATCAAATGAAGTATATTGGTAGCGTACCGTCGAGTGAAGATTTTAGCGAAAGGTTTTTGCAATTTTTGCATAGTTAAACATTAAATGGGAGCAACAACACCAAGAAAAGTATACATATAGTGTATTAGAAATTCATATTTTTATTATACCCTATTAATTGTACTGGCAGTAATTTGGTATTGTGCATATTAGATTAACCTTCTGTATTGTCGTTTGTTTTGTAATTTATAACCAAAAATATCACTACACAAATACCTGCAATGTTTGGTTATTAACAATGTTTCATGTCTTTTTTTTTTCTTTTTTTTTTTAACCATTACGTTTCCTCTAAGGACATGAATTAATTCTATAGTTAGTATTATTATAATTATTATTAGCGTCGTTGTTGGAGCGGAGACAAATCTCTAAACATTGAAAACATGGTATGATCTGCTTGAAAACTTGAAAAAGAACTAATCATGTTTTTTTTTTGTTAGCTTGGATTTACTGGTCTCCCTTTTAATCAACCATCGATGTTACTACTATTACCATGTAGTACTTGTTGAATAATTATACTTACTGTTTACCAACCATTTTATTATTCTATATTCGTACAAAATATTCTTATATATATGCTATATTTGATAATATTATCATACAGAGGAAAAGTTGACCAAATTTTATACCTATCCGTATATATAAATACATATATACATACATACATGTACGTATATGTATACAGGGTGTCCTAAAAAGATGGAACAACCGCCAGATGGATATTCCTCATGCGAATACAAATCGAAAAGTCTTTTACCATTTTGTAATCCGAAGCTTCGTTTCAGAGATATTAGCAATTAAACGAACTCAAACGTACACATAGACACAGTCAAGAAGCATATGACCGAAGTCACTGGCCTCTGCTTGCATACATGTGGTCCACCGCTCAGCTGATCGTTAACTGTTAAGTCATGTTCGTTTAACTACTAATATCTCGGAAATTGAGCTTCAGATTATAAAACGGTAAAGCATTTTTCCATTTGTATTTGCATGAGGAATATTCATGTTGAGGATTGTCCCATCTTTTTGAGACACCCTGTATGTATGCAACAGGCATTATATTGTCTTCATTTATTTTAGGCAAAGAAGAGTTTACTGCTTGTTTTTACTAATTGATACACTTTATAGTATTCTAAATTCTTGCTTCTTTGTTGCAATTGAGTAGAGATTATTTAGCTGTTTGTGTTCATGTTGTCCTTATATTTCTTTATGTCACACTTAATCGGGGTGAGTTTCATTCACCCAATTTGTACATATAAACATAGCTTTGAGCATGGAACAAGTAAAGGATGGGTTATTCTTGATTAAGTAGCTAGTATTCAATTATTGCAAAGTGCTTTGTTCTTCTCATTCTGTAAAGTTAGGTATCGTCTTGCGCGATAGAAGTATGATTGAAAAGAAATAGTATATCGGTACCACTAAAAAGACACAATTTAAGGAGAAGAAATATGAAAAAAACGAAGAAAGAATTTGTATAGTAAGAGTAACATGAGGATGTGCATTTGTTGATGAATGACAAAATGAAAAATAATGTTATCGACTAAATTAATTTTTACAGCGCCTGTAATTTAATAGTGAAATACATGGAACACTATTTCCATCACTTTTTCTGTCCATACCAAATGAGAAAGGATACGGAGTTCGAATAAAACAGGAACAAACTCGCGTTTAAGCATACGTGCCGCCAAGTCTGCTTTAGAAACATATGTGCCATCATTTTCATACATACCATATGCAAAATAACGAACAGGTGTAAGATTTTTTATAAATCCTATTTTTTACCAAGCTCATGAATTGCGGATGCAACACATGTTTAAATTGTGGTGCTTCAGAACGTCCTAGATCCATATGTTTTACTGGATCCAGAAAAAAGAAATTTGTATATCTACAATAAGCTGAAATAAATGTATCTGAGAACGTGAGGTGCATTGCAAAAAGCTGAAGCGTGTTTGAAACCACGCAGCATTCACGGATAAATTTCACTACAAACACACATACATGTATGATATAAGAAATGAATCGGTACATTAAGTACAATAGAAAGCTTAGACATTTTACAATGAAAATCATTCTGAAAACGTGTTCATACAATATATTGTCGACGCCTCCGAACAATAGTTTCGTACATAAAATTAGAGTTGGTATCAAAGTGCAATAGCCCTGTCTCATGTCAAAGATACTATAGCTGATAGTTCTAAAAGTAAATGAAATGCCTATGTAACTTATGTTAATGATTGAAAAATGATAACGGTAATTTGATAAGGAATAGAATACTCTAATTATTACTGCTTTTGTCACTTTTATCAGGGTAGTCTATGCATTATAACTTGCTAAGGACTTTACCAATTTGCTTCATATCACAATCAATGACGAAGCCTAGGCTTCTACCGTTACATATTTTATATATTATATAATATTATCAAATTGATGTTTTAAATGATCTTTAAACCGAATGAAAGAAATCGTTGCGTTTATTCAGTTTTCATCGATTCTATTCTATGAATATTCATTCGTAGTAATTTTACTTGAAATGTAGATGTAGTGATATATTTTAATGTGAGGCTTCGTCGTTTATTACAGATCTTGAGATTCAAAGACTTGTTCTTAAACTTTAGGAACATATACACAAGCACGTACAATAAATATCAGAATAGAATTATACATTTACCATTGCTATTCATATGAATTAATGAATTGTCTGTAAAATAATATATTAATACATTTTTTACTAGGCTTTATAGCCGTGATTTAAACATGAATTGTTTTCATAGCATACATCTATTCATACCTTCTGAAATAGTTAACATTTGGTTAGAAAAAACGGTGAACTAGTATTGACTTCTTTATAAACAAATTGTGTGTGTTTAAACCAAAGATACTCCGATGATACGATTACATCATAATACGTTACAAATATGTATGAAATGTAAAAGTAATTATTCTTAACAAATATGTCGCAATGCATAATGCTAGTAGAATCTCATATAAACATTTTTAAACCGTACATCGGAACACAGTCTCATTCAGGTGTGAAATTTCGATTTTTTGGCGAGTATTACAGAAATGAGCATCTAACGAATCGCAAATTAATTGCAGTGATTATCGTCGGCACAGGTAAATTATACATAATTTCTATTCGCAAGATATTTGTACCCGATTGAAAAGCTGTACGACGATAATACATTATTAGATTGTTGAAATGAAATTGTCTACGTATGTGCAAAATATAAATTGTAAGAATGTGATTAATCGGGCTGCAAAAATTAGAGATGGTTAATGCAGTGTGTGTATACCATGTTGTAAAACACATATGCTAAAAAAACTTGAATGGATGTGTTTACAAACTTTTTGTTATTGTACATTATTAATACATTACATTATATATGATCATTTTCAATAAATATATTCTGTGAATTAGATAAATCTACCGAATTGAATTTTATGATAATGAAGCAAATGTACAAATGTGATTGCAGTACTTTTGTGTTTATTAAAAAGAAACTACTTAAGATATAAAGAATTTATTGTACAATTTACACAGTGGTGTTAGCATTATGTTCTTCTTTGTAAAATGTACCATCAAGATCAATTGCAGCATTATGATCTACTATAGTGTACAATGCTTCTTTAATAGCTTCATCTATGTTATCACGTGTAATAAACGATGAAGCTTCTTCTTTTGCTTTTCTAATTTCTGCGTCTACTTTGGCTTGAAGTAACAAATCTCTTTCTTTTTTCGCTTCTAATTTCATCTGAATATCCTCTATACGCTTTTCTCTTTCTGCTGCCAACCTTTGTTGACGTTCTGCAGCTACTTGTTTATTCCAATCTTCGTTAATTTCATTACATTTGATGAAATCTTCATTTGCAAGAATTTTTATAGAAGCAGTATCATATTGAACCTGATTGGCTGCTTCTTTGTTTATAAGAAAAGATCTGAAATAAAAGAGCATTATAATTATATGTTATAACTGTATCATATGAACATTAATTATGTATTAATAACAATACCTTATAGATTTGATAGATGTTCTATAGTTATTGTACAGACATTTAATTTTTTCAAATTCTTCCTGTGATGTAACCGGCCTTTGTGGTACCCTAAATACCTTTGTTTTTGCTGTAGATAACCAAAGTGGTTTTCTCTTCCATCGTACATACTGAATACAAGGTCCATATGATATTAAATGATCATGACCACTTAAATTTCTTATTGTTAACGCAGTGGAGCCCATTATAGCAGAAGCTCGAATCATTGTTTGTAATGATTTTTCCTTTTAAAAAATGTTTAACATTACATTATATATATATATGTATAGTGGATCGCATGTATAGTGGATCGCATGTATATAATTTTGTGAGAATACCTGTGTCTGTAAATTCTTGCTGTATCTTTCCGCAGTTTATATAAAAACTTGAGTTTGACTGTCAGAAAAATCAATGTTTCCAGGATATCATTGTATATATATATACATATATTCAAATCAAAGTTTTGATTCAAATATTGTCGGTAGGTTAAGATATACTGTGCTGCACAGATAACTTGGTATGCCTCGGGTTGCCTCGAGTCTTATGTCGGCACAAGAGAGAGAGAATTGGGCAATAACTGGACTCTAGAGCATCTCCCTCTCTCTTTAATGGGACTGTTTGCGGGGGATTCTCTGTGATTCGTATAAAAAAGATGCGACGGTGAAGTAATTAGTCACATGTTTCGAGGACCTCATTAGATACAGGGCGAATGCGCCACTGCACTCTCACCTACATACGGGTATTGCTTTTTCTTTTAAAGCAGTACAGCCGGAGATCTTGTTCCGCTGACTACTCCCTTTACTTCATACTTTGAATATAGTGTACGTCTTTCGTCACACCTTTTCGATAGTTTTAAATGGAGTATTATAGTTATACGTGCAACGAACACAGTACAGGAAGAAGAGAATAAGAAAAGTCGTTGTAGGCGGGGCGGGAACTCTTCGAGGAATTGAAAAAAGGAAAATAGGGTTGTAAATCGTAAGGGTTGTAACGACGCTGCGGACGTAAGAGCAAGGCCAAAGATGTATAGTGTTAATGTGACACCGGACAGATCAGAAAAAAATTCTAAAAACGTGGAAAACGAAATGGGAGTATACAGAAATCGAAGAAAGCAATCAATTCCTGTTAAAGTTTTCAATTATCTCAAAACGCAAATGCAAACGGAGGGACTTCCAAGTAAGAAGAATCTTTTTATGCTTCGATTTTTTTGTGATGCTTGCCATTTATTTAGTAGTAAAATATATAATGTTCCAAATATTGGTGAGGATAAAGAGAACAAACGATACGAAAAAGAACGAAATTTCATTACGAATGAACTCTAAGTCATTGATTGTTGAAAGTATTTTACTGTGTTGTTCTTTTTAATCACTTTCCACGTTCATTTCTTTATCCTTCTTTATACAAAAAGTTTCATATTATCTTACACCTATTAAACAAGAGTTTGAGATCATAGAAGTTTTCATGATATTTTACTATTTCTTCCTGAATTCTAACATCAAGGAGATAGAGACTCCATTTCTTCTCTCGCGTCTGTCATAACGACGTGTTTTTTTTCATAATTCTTAATTTCTATTAATACTGCAAAAATAGTTCTACAATTCTACACGATAGGTACAACGTAAAAATATGTTGTATCCGAAATTGGATTAAACGAGATAATCTTTCATTGATTGTTTATAACTTTGGTTTATATTCTTAAATATATAAATAACGAGTAATTACTTCTGTTTCTAAATTACATAATAATATCAAAGTTTATATATCTCTTCGCCTTGAATACATGCTACATACAATTTAATGTACCACCAGCAGTACATATTTCTTTTCTTATTGAGTCTGGCTCTTAGAGACATCATCTACTTGATTGACCAATGGCTCAGTATTTATTACTGAGAATAGACAATCTGTATCTTCAACGTTTAAATCTTCGCATATATTTGCATCTTTTTCTGCGATCGTTTCGTAATTCGTATAGTTTTGTGTCCAAATTTCGGGAATGGAATCTTCGCTTTCGGCGATTGACTCTCGTAAATCGGAATTACTGTTTGGTGTCGATGTTCGCAATATTCGGGTATCATATGCCGTGGTTTCTCCGAATTTTGTTTGTAAATTGGCCATACGCATGCCACACGAGGTATCGTTATAGAGTAACCAATAGGGGGAAAAAGAATGTTGCCTGAATTCCGCAACAAACTTTTCTTTTTGGGAACAAGTCGCGTTCGATGATACCGGCCTGTGCGTCGCGATAGGCGCTATGTAACAATATACGCAAGACGTTTGATCCAATTTTGATAAATCTATGCGTTTAGTACTGATGAGATTTAAAATATTTTCCAGAATCGGATCCGCCGGAATTTTTGAACATTTTTTTGGCCAGAACGGGTTTAGTATTCCTAAAAATATTAAATGTTTAGAGTATCTTCTTTTTTTTTTTAAATTCTTAAATGATTAATTTGATGAAAATAATCGAACAACGACATACCATTTGTTTGTACCTTATCTACTGTACTTGATATATTTTTGTTAATATTAGATTCAGATTGTACTGTGGAACTACAGTTTTGTGTCTGTTGTTCTAGGGTACCTGCTAATGGAATGTTTCCTTGATTGTTGTATGAACCTGGATATTCATATGGGAGATGAGAATGATAGTGATTGTTGTTAGAAAATGCTTGTGAAATGGTAGATGTGTATGTGTCCTGATTTATGTTTGCATTTGAAAACGAATGTGTATTTTGTAAATACTCTGCATTACTTTCTGAACTATACTTAATTAGGTTTTGTAAGTAATACGTGTTAGATGAATCAGACTGTGCACTCGGTATGATATTTGTTTCATAACATGAATTTTCTTCTGTTGCATTTAAATTCAATAGGTTTTGATTAGAATTGTAAGTATGTGCATTTTCAGTCATACGATATTGACATGTTAGACCCTCATTACTTATAGGTTTATTTAAAGAATCAGTACCTATATTATCATAATACATTGTTTGAAATATTTTAGAGGATTCAACATCTGCTGATGCACAGTTTGCTTGTGCTGCATCCATAACATTGGTGATGGTCCAATTGTCATAATCTTGATGCATATCCACATTTGTAGAAGAATATTTATATTGATTAACATGCTCATTTGTTAACACATTTGATATCTGTTGACCAATCTCTTCTACATTTCTTACAAAAGTTGGTTCATTTAATAAATATTCTTCCTTAATACCACTTAAAAGTCCATAACACTCTGTATTACTCTCAAAATTTTCCTCGTTATCCTCATTGTCTGATTCAGCTGTTAAAGTATCAGAATTATCTAATAAATTATTAGACTGATACTGATCCATGGTCCAAAGTCGATAGCCACCAATCACTGGACTAGCTATTTCACCCAAGTTTGCACCAACTGGTGCTTGTAGCATTTTTTTCAAGAGTATAGATCCTTGCACGTTGTTGTTTGTATCTTCTAATGTTTGATATTCAACATGATCATTGGGTTGATATACAAATGAATCTGCATTATTAACAGCAATTATGTTAGATCTGGTACAATTGATATTATCTAAGGGATCTTTCTGTACATCAGATGAAACAGTTGCTGTTCTTAAATCTACAATATTTGAATCTTGTATTTGATTGTTGTTTGCATCATATGTCTGAAAGTCCCTCTGTATTCTTTTTAACAAAAATTGTTTAAACTCTTCATAATGGGTAATTCTATTATCATCATCTCTACTTACAATCTCTTCTTCTGCACCAACCTAAGTATGTAAAGGCACTTTATTAAAAAAAAAATGTATATATATATATATAAATATCCAATAGTGTTTTGAATTTGTTTTACTGATATATCCCCTTCACAAAAACAGCTTTATGCATTGTTATAATAGATCAAAATGACTCACCCACTGATAAGGTGGTTGCTGTTGTGGGCAGTAATAATCATCAGCCATAACGTAATCAGGACTATGTAATGGTGTGGAGGTTAACCCGAGAATTTTTCCGCTTTTCACTTTTCTTACTTTCCTCCTGCGATTTTGCTTAAGATCCTGCAGTAGTCTGCCAACTTCGTTTTCATTTCCGCCTTTCGCGGCTTGCAACACTTTAACCAAGAGTTTCTTCTACGATCGGAAAGTAGAGTCGATCGTTCAAAAAATCAATTTCAAGGTAAATAGTTGTATTACGGACGGAAATCAGGAAGCCGGCGCGAGCCCACAGATTACTTCGTTTGAAAGTTAAGAACAGTGAATCAATTACCTTAATGTTACCTGGTACACGATATCTTAGAGCTAAGGCCTGCAATTCCTTGTACGATAATCTTGATATATCGTTGCCGTTCATTTTCAAATATTGAGGCATTCAGCCACAATCCCTTTCTTGGTTTCTACACATTTCTGATATGGCCGATGAAAAGAATCGTCTGCTAACCGAATTACGCGAGTTGTCCTTTAATTCGAAAACAAATTCTATTTAATATCGATCAACGAAGAATATAATGATCTTATACTATTGTCCAAAAGACGGAATAGCACGAAGATCGAATGTTACTGCCGCACTGATTAATTCCTTATTTAATCTAACGGTTATTGTACTTCATTCTTGGTAAACCGATTTGTTCGATTGCAAATTCTATTCTCCTGCCATCTAGAAATACACGTTAAAATTCAATATTACCGATCGATAATATTTGTGTCCCCGTTATCTGCAAATACAGTGTATCGAGTTGGGGTAGTTTGCGACATTGACGATAGATCTAATTACATATTACATAAGCGGTATTTGAACCAGTTCTATAAATACTGTCTTCATTCCTTCTTCATACGCGATGACAAAGTGGACAAAGGATGCATTTTGACGTGAATCTTAAACAGATAAGTACTTGACGAATCTCTCTATAAACAGCTACAAAGGTTTCTTAGCAACCACTTAATTCTGTGATTATGTGGTTTCGAATATAGCAAACGGTGCATAAAGGTCTGTTACTATTTATTTGTTCACTGACGACATTAGGTGTAGCATTCTGTACACGATAATCGACGATCAACATTAATTAGGTAAACGGCCCTGTACTTGACAAACATCCATTTCGCTGGATTTCAATCGATGAAACCAGAACAAGATTTCTGGTTGGTTTGTAACGTGTTGATTGGACTAAACCGCACAGTGCAGTCATTTGCAGGTAATCATCCTGTTGCTCCCAATGCATACCTAAATTTACGAGTGTCTCAAACAAGCATCGAACCAAAATTCTTTCTCTATTGAAACAATTTCTTCGAGACTTTAAGATTATCGAAATATACATTACTCGCGACTATACTTCTTTATTATGTGTCATTTATTACGTATAACTTATATGGTTTAATTTTCTAGGAGACCTTGTAGTAAAAGAGATGTGGGAAGCAAGTAGTGCATGTACCAAATGTTCGGACGCAGTAGAAAAATCATCCATAGTCAGACATCAGCCTTTCACGTTACTCGTTTGTGACGGTGATAGAAGGTATATCTTGAGACGAAAAATACTCGTTCGGAAACGTGATATCGCATTCGAAAAATATCTCCGTCGATAGTTTTAGCTCATCGGCGTAATAGAATTGTGAAGAAGTTTTACTATCTCACTAGCGTAAATACGGCTTTTCTATTTCAAGTTGCATCCTCTCTTAAGTACCAGAGACGGTAGTATCAATTCTATGGAAGCAAAGGCCGCCGTTACATGCAGGTGTTCTCGCAACCTATTGTCTCGCCATCGATAAAGCCGTAGAGAGCTTTTGTTCGGCTTTTGTTCGCGGTAAAACGACCGCTTTACAACGAATGTTATCGCGCGAGACGCGTTAACGCGAGCGTTCGTTACTCCCACTGGAATTGTTTCTCTGCGGCACGTAAGTAATTTCTCACTCCTACGCGTGTACCGCATAAAGGGACTGTCTCGTTATTATTCGCAGAATGTACCCCTAAATTAAATGTATAAATAATTGGACGAAAACCCACTTTGGGAGAAGAGTAGTTAACCGAATCATGAATATTCAGATCCGACGACCGAGTGATCCGGACGAAACTAGGACTGACCGAGAAGAAACGGGAAAGAGGCCAGACGGGACGACACAAGCCATGCGACGCAATAAATTCGTCGATAACGCGACGAGAGATCATCGTTTATTTAAATAATACCCATCCTTCCGGTGGTCTCGCGAGATGGTTTGCAATGGTATCCGCGGTTAGGAAAAACCGTTCGGACTTGCGCGCGAGCAAGTGAACGCTGTGCTTTTGCGTCGGTCAGGCTCCTCTCAATGCATCAGCGTGCGAGGGTCGCGCACGTCGTTATCGAGTCAGTCGGCTAAGATACGTTAGTCCATCCCGGAGCATCAATCGGTGAATTGGGTGCACGCGTCGATCGGTTCGAGCGACAGGTGAACCTCTCGTGTCCCAGAGAAACAACACGGCGCAATAGGAACGCGACAGGAAGAGGCTTCAAGGAGTTGAGTCTTGAGCTCAGTATCTCTATTTGCCGGTGGGGAAAAGAAGAGCTCGACGACATCTTTCGTATCCAAGAGGGCGGCCAATCGGTGGAATCGGTAATCGAGTTGGGTGAATCGCTACGGGCGATCGTTAACGGTTTTTTTGCGAATCGCCGGCGAGCACGGTCGCAAACCGCCAAATGAAGGCGCGTAAAACCCGTGAGAAAAGTAAGTGCAACAATCATACAGGCGGACTGTAGTGCCGCTCGAGTTTCCTCTCCGTGTAAACCACCGGTGCAGGACACAGTCGATATACCGCCGTGGAAAGAGAGATCCTACTTGAGACGAAGGGATTGACACAGGCCAGGCCCCCAGAACGATCTCCCTTTTAATAGCGCGTGGTCGTTCCGGTGTGTCGGTGCTAACAGCTGCCAAAGATGCAACGGCAAGGTGCGAGACTCCCCTCGACTCAGAACGAAAAAACGAATTGAATTCTCCGATTCTTTGCCCGTCTTCTGCCCCATGGACGGTTCCTTCTGTTTATCAGTTAGCGTTCCACCCCTACCACTTTTCCCCCGTTTTTCGGATTGGTAGTTGATCTGTTAGAGAACCGACCGATGGCGACAATGCTACAGACCTCTCTGTATACATACATATATCGTGGTCTCTTTCCAAACTTGGATATCGTTATGTCTTGTCCGTCTCCAGACTCACGGTGGTTAAATTGAGAAAAATGCTCCGAAGGCGGACACGTAAAGTGGGGTAGTTACGGGGTAGGAGCTCTCCCGTTGCTATGGTGACCCCGGATGCCCGGGACCAGAGCTGCTAGTGGAATTACAGTGCATATATACATATGTATATACATATGTACATACCACGTCTATGATGTGTGTATACAAGACACTTCATAAGCGCACGGCCGTGTTTCGGACGATCTTGAACGATAACGGTGCGTCCAGGCAATTTTCGTTGAAAGCCCTTTTGTATCGTCCCTTCTCTAGCGGCATAAACACTTTGAACGCAACCTCTTTCTACCGGGTGTTTCTCCGCGTGAGTTGTTTGAATTAAAGATCCAAAGACAACGGGAAAAGCGTACGACCTTGTCCGCGAGTTTACAATTTTGCTCGCGATTACAGTAAAGTTTCGAAAGATCGATACCCTTGCGCTTATATGTATAAAATTAATCGTATAGCACTTCTTTGACGCTCACGAACCGTTGTATCAACATCTCGGGTAAACGTCGGTTCGTGAAACAATGCATATTTGATCGTTAATGTAAGCTCTTCTCGCTATCTTTGTACTCTGAATGCCCAGTGTATGTATGTATTATACATTCCACGACTCAAGGAACACCCTGTATATCGAATCTCAAGCCAGCTTTGTAGCTCCGGCCATATAGCATCACGTAATCTCCCTAATGGGTTAATATTTATTTGTTCGTCGGGTAGTTTCGTGATTGTAATTTTAGCAGCAATCAATGGGAAGCTTCTACCTTAGCCGTTAACGACGAACCAAACGGTTCCCAACTGCCGAACAAGCTGAGAATTTTTCGTTGCTTATGAGGATCGTAGTAACCGCGAGAGAAAGAGCATGAAAAAGACGCGGGAAGAGACCGTCTGCCTTTGTCGAACGTCCTGTACAGAGATTATTTTTTTTTTTTTTTTTGTATACATAATCGTGGATATTTTCGAAAGGAACGTCAGTTGAATTCTTCGCCTGGTCGTTTTCAAGTATTGTACGGTAGCATGCGTAAAGAGGACTTGATTTGCATGATAGGTAGACACGCGCGAATTCATTTTTGTGGACTTACCCGATTATAATATGTTTCTCTTGTTCTGCTTGATAAGTACTGAATTGTTGTTCGACTAAATCGCGACTGTCAGGCGGTGGGCGAATGAACGCCAATATCGCGATCGTCATGTAGAATTTCTGTAAATATGTACATATGTAGTATCGGTACTTGTAGTAACTTCTTTGATTATGTAGGTGCATTTGTTTTAGAGACTACAACGCCTATTACTCTCTCTAGCCGTTCGATTCCCATCTGCAAATTCTAGTGTTGGGTCACGCTTTCGTTTGCTATTGAATCTTATTTTGACGTCGGCAATTATATATTTATAGCTGCTTGGCGTTAATGAGTATTGATTTTTTAACGTTGCCTCGCTTCTTCGATACGATACACGAAGTCTAGACGGCCGTGTCGCCGGGAATAGTACATATACTTAACAATTCGAACTAAGGAGCGTGTCGTTCCTCGTCAACGAAAGTGATCGCTCGACGCTGAGAGTCTTTTTCCAACTCTGGAACTATCCGATATCTAGCAGTTCTTTTCATTCACCTACTATCTATGTATTTAGCAACTTTTCTTCTTTCTTCCTTGACGCTGCGCATACTTCCATCGTCGAGCAAGAACGAGACAGGACACAAGCCGTGGCATTAATCACGACACCTGTGTCGCAAGAAGATGGAATCGTGCGCGCGAACCTTTCTATCTCTACCTCTCCGTTCTCAAGTAAAACAAGGTCGTTTGCAAGTTCTGCGTTAAATCGAAGTAGATACGACGATTGGAGACGACACAAGATTGGATACCTGTCAGACCGTTTTACCTGGGCAACACCGTGGTCCCTGTCTCTCAGGATTTTTCCGCCTGCAAGTCTGTATGCATCCACGCATCTTCAGGTATCGTCGGACGCTACAACGCGCGCACTGTCCCCCCAAGTAGAACCCCAGTTTTAGCTCGCGGGGAGGAGACCGTGAACAGGTTGCCCGGAGGATGATCAGCGGTGTTGTTGCTGTCTTCTCGGGCATCCGACGTACATATCTTCTCCCGCGTATTGCAACCGTTCCTGTGCCTCTTACGTATTTTCGCACCCCATGTCTCGTAAGTAGAAAACGCGCCTGTCTCCTCTCCCTGTCTGCTAGTGAGAGAGAGGAGGAATCGGCGCGTCTCTCCCTTAGACTGAAGTAGAGGATGAAGCATATTTGACAATAAAAAAAAAGAAAACGGTGAGAGGGGAGGTACTCTCGAACGCGTGATACAGTCTTAGGAGTGAAGCGCCTCTTGGCAAATATTACAGAGGGCGAGCTTGAAGAACTCGGGGGCGTTTTAGGGGGTTCCACCGCCGGTGCCCTGGCCCTCGGTGGCCGGCACAAGCCGGAGGAGCTTGCGACCCTCGCGGCGAATACCAGGTTCTCCAGGAAGGAGATACAGCTGATATATCGGGGTTTCAAGCAGGAAAGAACACTTCTGTGACCCCCAGTAACCAAGTTCTGTTAGTTATAGAAATGGGACGGTGATTGTTATCCGAATCTTCAGATGCCAGCCAGTACGCCCACTACGTTTTCAACACCATGAAGAGGAAACCGTCTGGAAAGATTAGCTTCGAGGTGAGGATCATTTTTTCAGTTAAGATCAGATTTCATGATCGTCGACCATACTGAGCCTGTTGCTTTTTCGTCACCTTTATTCTCTTACATCTCACTTGTTCATGTCGTTCGTCCTCCTTTAGTTTCAAGTGCGTGGTACAGACGATATTATTTAAGTTGGTGTACCGTAGTAGTTTTTTTTTTTTGTTTGTTCAGGAATTCTTAACCATCCTGTCGAAAGTATCCAGAGGTTCGGTGGAGGAGAAACTCCAATGGGTGTTCGGGCTTTATGATCTGGACGGTGATGGATTGATCAGTAAAGAAGAGATGCTGGATGTGGTTGGTTCCATTTACGAGATGCTGGGTCGTTATACTCAGCCCCAAATAGGTGAGCCGCATATGGCTGCCCGGGAACACGTCGATCGTATTTTTCACGTACGTAATACGGTCTTCAATGGCTGTATATCACTGCACCATTGATTTCTATCTCCTTTAACTGTATGTGTTACTGATGTACGAAGCAAGTTTTCTTCTCCAGTTAATAGACGCCAACAAAGATGGCGTGGTGACAATCGAGGAATTGGTACAATGGTGTTCCAAGGACGAGCAGCTTCTGCGTAGTCTCGACACTCTCGACACTGTCTTATGAGATCGTTGCGATTGTTTTGTAATCCCCAATCGATGCCCGACGGTCACGGATTACCTAGAAATATCCAGGCGTACAGGCGAGCTATGCGCGTAGTTTCCGGAGTAGCTCGACGACCGATTGCATTGAATTCTTCACTTTCGCGAATCGAGACTCAACGGAAATTATTGTCAGAGCTTTTCGAGCGCTGTTTGTAAATATGTATTTTACCCTACCTACCCAGTCTTTCAACCGTGTCGTCGAGGGCACAGTGAAATTAACAGTGTCACCATATCTCCGAAACAAATATCGGTCATTCTTTTCATATCGAACACTCTCCTGTTATTCTCTGCGCCCGTAGATCCCGTGACATATTGTAAATAAGGCAAAAAAGCTAAGCTTCCAAAAGTTTATTCGACAACGGAGAGTCGAGTATCTTCGCTAATAATTCAAAATGACCTACCGAGTAACTTTGAGTATACTTGGAGGGAACGATGTAGCGAGCTTGTAAGTTCGACGAAGCCATGAAAAAAGGTTTGAGTTCGGTAATATACAAAGAGTATCATGGTGATAGGGAACTGACAGCTTTTCTAGGGTTGTGCAAGTTAAATCAGAATCGTGAAAATTCATGAGATGCTGAAATACTGTAGCTCTAGTGAATTTACTACATTACGAATTTTAGTAGCTCGCTATATCGTCACTTTCAAGTGTATTAAGAAATCATTAGCTAGAGTCAATGCGTCGAGAACAATTCGATGTCTCTCCTGATTCGGTACAGCGGAGACTACAGTTTGCATTGAGACGTAACAGCCAAACTGTGTTAACAATCAATTTTAAACGCTCTAATAGGCCAGTCCGAGGCTATTCGTTTTCGATCGAACACGATCTTTCCCCTCGATACTTCTTCTGATCCCCTGCGAGTTCTTCTTTTAGACAGTTTTCATGCATGATATAGCTTTTCCCTTTTCGAACTCCCCCGAATATAAAGTTTTCTCTGATTAATCTTTCGAAGATATTAAAATTGTATCGTTCGGGTCTTGGACAGTAGGAAATTGCGCGAATAACATGCAACGCCCGATCGATGATTAATTGAATTTTAAACAGAGTTGTCCAAATTTTCAAGGTATTCGCGTATGCACAGTGAAAGAGGTAGATAGTAACCTGATAATTCTAATACCGTAGTATTCTCGACCAACTAAGACAGGCCTGTTCAACATGTGGCCCGCGGGTCAAAATTGAATCGCGCGCCTACCGGTTTGCTCTTTCAGCCGAGGGGAATGAACCCCCTCCATATCCACAAGAAGCCGACGAGTACAAGCAAGAAAGCGTTTGCGCATGCTCTGCCTGTCCCCACTTCCGATATTCCCGAAATCCCTACCCGCATCACCCGCAGTTGCCGCCGGATACCCGATCGCAACGCAGTGCAGGCGATTAATGGGAATTGGATTGAGTGATGGTTGGGACCGCGTTGTGTTTGTGTTGTCTGGCAATGTGACCCCCGGGCTACATGTTGGACAAAGAGAAGCGTGGCCCTTCAAGGTCCACGGTTTCTGTGATTCTCTCGTACCTTATTAATTATTATTACTATCGCCGCATATATATTCTATCATCTATGAACTTGTCGTTACGTGTCATTCTTGTATAAAAAGCTGTTGGCGTCTACGCGGATATTCTAAAATGAGATTTTACGTGTATATATGTCATTGGATTTGTTGAATTTCTCAAGTTTATTGCAAAACCTGTACCATACACTCGGGAAAGGTCGAATGTTAAGCGTTTCCGCGTGATTGTAAATTGTAAGTCATGATTATGCAACATATACATTACGTTCAATACTTTTTTTTCTTTTCACAATTACGTTAAAGATACGGTACTCCTTAACGATCACATAGTCTTTCATACTTGAGTATTGTTATGTTCGTTTCCACCACTTTCTCTTTATGTAACTAATAACGAAATTGTTTTTACTAACGAAACAATTTGTATTTAGTAATTTTTGAAATTACCATTGTAGATTCCACAGATATCGTGTACGCTCTTCAAAGAGCGTTAACACTAATTATTTACTTTTTAATTAAAGTCATTAATCGAATATGTAAATGAAGTAAAAGTATTGCAATCAACACGTCTCTACTGATATTTTAAACTTGTTAATGATCAAAATTTTTCCAAAATAGTTTCGCACAATCCCATACCATCCTGCACACCAATCCCTGATCATCAGGCAGCACAACTGATAACTGTTGACAACAGCTGAGAATGTAATAGGGGAATGGAATGAATGATTGAGGATGGAGGATGGATGACCATCTTTGCCTTACCAACAGCATGTTTGCCAGGTTTGTTGTGGAAACCGTAGAAGTTTCTCCCTTCCTTGTCTTTCTGCCCCCTTTCCTCTTTCATACTCCTTCCCTTACTTCTCCTCCCTTCCCCTCTCTCTTTCTCTCTCCGATTGACACACATGTGTGCAATAAATTATAGTATCTTTACTTTAAAAGAAATTGATTTTTATTAATGGATGATCAGAAACTATTTAATATCACATAATAAAGCAACTCCACGTATAACCCAAAACTCAGGTGGTCTTATGGTCTGCAACCACAATGGTGTTATCAACTGCACATAAGTTCTTTGTGGTTTTTTATATACTGGACACTATGAAAGTGATATATGATTAATAAATTGAAACAATTATTATGTGTACATTCGCGTACCTGATACAATTTAGGATCTTTATCCGGGATGTTGTAAAGAGCAAAAATATGGATTACAGGCATTAGCACAAATAGAACTTTGTTTGCTGATTCACAAAGCCGGTTGTTCCTTTTATCCCAACCAGCTCCTTCAAGGAATAATCCATACACAAAAACTCCTTCCTAATAATATGGGTGTGAGTGTGTATGTATGTATGTATGTATGTGTATATATACACATATACTGTTCATTGAATAGGTAATTTGTTTTAATTAATATATCGTATAATTGACTTACTGGAGGTGGAGCTTTAACTTCATCTGCTGTATAACGTAAAACTTCATTATGAAGTGTTACATTATCCAGAGCCCAACCTTTGTGGGCTCTTGTTACTTCTTGTCGCATTGCAGTCAAGAAGCCTGAAAAAGTAAAAATGATGTATCACGAAAGTGAATTGTTGTAAATCGTGTATTATTAGCCTGTATAAAGTACTACATGCCCTGAGGATTAAAGAATCCAGTCATCCAAAACTTAGTTGGCCTACCATGATACAACCAAGTCGAAAACTGTCTATTTCTATCCAATAATTCAGTAAACCAGAATCCAAGGGACGAAGATTCCCAGGACTTTACCTTCCACACTGTTGGTATTCTGGCATCATATATACTATCCAGAGCATCTCTCAATTCCTGAATATTTTTATTTACATTAATTTTATTGTCAGGTATATACTTCAAAGAATGTTACCTCACTCATTATAATAACACCTTCTATAGCAAGAAGAAGGTCCTTGAGAACAATATTAACTAATTTAATAACTACTTGTATCCTGTCTATTTCTTGTTTCAAGAAAATACTCATTGATGCAGTTGCACCCAATATTTGCAATCTGCAAAAGTTTAGACTTTACTTTAGCGAACAATAACCATTGTAATAGTATCTCTGTACCAACCTGTGTTTTACTTCAAACGGATCATACATTTGAGGTAGTTTTTTTAGCATCTCTTTTGCTTGCTTTGCTACACTTACTTCCCTAGATTCACCACCTCCAACACCTGCTTCTTTTGGTTGTACAGACATTATAGTATCCAAAACAGCTTGTGTAGTGTTGCTCTGATATCTGCGCGTATTATAAATTTTTTGTATCACACACGGTCAAAAGGTATAACACTTCAAGAATATATATTTACGTAATGTCCGCATTACGGTGTAACCCATAAACTTGAGGAGGATCTACAGTAGGCATTTCATCTATCACTTTTAAGTAATCTGTAACTTGCTTGTACACAAGTACAGAATATCCTTTGAAGAATGCGAAATCCTCCACAAAAAGTGACTCTGAAAACCATATTTTGGCGAATGTGTTCAATAATCTTTTGTCATAATCGTCTGTGACACGTCCTCCATATTGGACTTCTCCTATCATGTACCTAAAAATCAAATAATTCTACTTATGAAGGAATGTCGACTAGGAAGTATGAATATTTTTTTCTTGTACCGTATAGTCGACCAACTGATCCCTTGCTTCACATCAAAGTCATTTAAATGATTATTAACAAACATACAAGATGCCAACCAATCAGCCATATTGAATTCATATGGTATGTTCCATCCAAGAGGACCAAACTTCCGCCGTTCTTGAACAACAGTGTGCAAAAATGATACGGTATAAATAATCGGTATATATTGCGCGGCATCGCACTGGTCTAGCATTTCCTGATTCATGCCACTATATGTGGCAAGTAAACCTGCTCTTACTCCTGAAATAAATGAAAAATTGCAAATAACATATATATTAGTCTATAATATCAGATATTTATACCTTGTGGAGGCTCGTAAGTATATTTTATAGACATTTGGAGAAGGGAGATGGGGAAATCTTTGTGTGGTTCGGTGGTTATCCATATACGGAAATCAGGATGTGGTGCATCCATTTCGAGAAGAAAATTTACTACTTCTGCCATGTACTCTAAACCTAGATGGCAATTCTGACACAAGGCCCAGAAGCCCTAGAAGTTTGAGACATATTTCAAAAAGTTATGATACTCGCTTCATATTTAATTTCACGAATTCATCCCGTGTAAAACGTACTTCCGTTTTTGCGCTCTGAAGTAATCTTCGCGCATGAACTTCTTGACCTTGCCCCATTGAAATACTTTTACACACCATCTCTTTCTTCTTAGCAAGTTGCTGAATGCTCGTAGTGGGATCAGATCCCATACTTAAGAAGCATATCATTGGCGTATTTGGTCTTGATTCAGTATGCATTACATCTAAAAGTGTAATTATGGGTTCCGCATATCTTTCACCCAGCGCATTTGCTATGTACTTCCTTGACTGTGATAATGTTCTATCCATGCACCAGGCTCTAAATTTATCGTATACAGTACATATTAATGCTGATTTCAAGAATAAAGAATATCTTCATGATTACCTTATTAGCAACAAACGTCGAAAACTGTCCAAAGTGTTGTATCCATTTGGTATAACTTCCTCCTCCGGAGTTTCTTTATCAAACCATTGTTTCCACTGTTTCTCAGAAGTCCCTACCTGAGAAAGAATGTATTGAAATTGTCTTAATGAAGATAGTGCAACTAAATTCAGCCAAGAAACGTCAGACATCCATTTGCACGGTTTTGGTTGAACATTGTTCAAGTCTAAGGCTGCACCACCCTTGATGAAGTACTGAAACTCATCGTAGGTGATAGCATCGCGTTGTAAATCAATTTTCAGCGTCATTAATAAGATGAACATGTACTTGTGGATTTCATAAAGACCTCGTGCTTTATATCTGAATATCTCATAGGTGAGGTAGTCGATAATATAGTTTATTCTTCTTTGATTAACTGGACTCTTTTCAGATCTGAAATAGTCGGCCATCTTGTTATTTAGTTATCATAGAGGAATACGTGCATGATGTATACCTTTCCATGGAAATGTCAAAACGCTCCAGGAATTGGACGAGCGAGGTTTGGTACATACAATTTACCAGAGCCATGTCGCAAATTAAAAAGTATAAGACGCTGCCACGAGTTGCGACTGGTCTGAATTCTTCACGCGCCGTATCAATTCTTAATTCTGTGTCTTTTGCGATGCTGAGCTTCTCGGTGATCTCAGCTGCCGTTTGTTTTGTCGTGTTCAATACAGACATTAGTTCTACGTCTTCTATCAAAGGACCCTGTTACGTAAAAAATTAGTAAAGTTTTTATGTCTTAGTGCACAACGTATATTATACAAGGAAATTAAATACACCTCTACGGTAGTCAATTTGTGTAACAGATTTGCTTCTAATTCTTTAATCTTTCGATTATTTGCCGTCACGTCTGCAATCAATTGTGTTTTCTCTGTTTCGAGTTCCTTTCTTTCTGTTAAAATAACTCTTCCTAAAAGTTGATCTTCTAGGCCTACAGAATAATAAAGTAAAATATGCGAATTACGTAGTATTTACACAGAAGAAGATAGAGCTAACACAAGTACCTTTTATGGTAACTGTGAAATCAATTATAGCAGTGCGAGCAAACACTTCTGGTGTATATGATGGATTTGGTAACTTTGTAGTGATATAAAGTCTAAAATCTCGGTGGATATCAACTTCTTTGTCTCCTAACTTCACCTGTTAAGAGAGTTTTTCAACGATAGAGATACAATTAATTAAGTTTTTGCTAGACTATTTAACCAACAATTCTACCTTCAAAGACGTCCCAATCTTAATAAAATTTTTTTCTAATAAATTATCTAATACGGGATCCAATTCTTCTGCCACATCCTCAATAAGTAAAGGACGACCAAGAGACACGCAATCTTCTAAATGATTTCTGAAATATTTGTGCGTGAGCAGTGTCGGCTAAAATCAAACATCGAAACACATTAAAAATACTACAATGTAAAATAATTGTTATAATGTAAAAAGCATATTCTACCTGTAAATTACACTCTTCCTCTTTTTTTTTTATCCATGCCTTTCCTTGCAACTGAGGATCAATTAAAAGTGGGAATCTGGATGCCTTTGTTACTATAATTCCATTTTGAATTGACAAATCGTCAGTTGGTAGCCCTTGTAAACTCCATTCTCCGATCTTTAGAAGGGTAAACGTAAGAACTAATTATAAGAAAATCATAGATCATTGGGTTTCTGAAACAAGTTACTCACAGTAGCAGTGTCGGTCAACGTGGCCGAGATATTTATTACCATAGAGACCGGAATTTTTCTACCTTGAATAAAATCGAACCATTTCCGTTGCAACAGAGTTCTAAATTCCTGATTAAATGGCCCGCAATATGATAAGAAACCCGTTAGAATTAATATATCCCCAACAAGACGATCCGTTTCTGATTTAAAAGTAGCCAATTGTTCTGTCCATCTAATTCTTTCGCCAGAAAGTCCTTCAATCATGGCTGTTGCTGTATCTGTTTTAGCCTGACAAGCTTCAGCTAAATCAACTATCGCCTAACAATGAAAATTTCATTTAACTGGATTGATGAATACCGCCGGTATGATTAATACACGTTTTGTATATTACTTGACGTTCTTCCATGACACCATCAAACTCTTTTTGCACAATCTTTAAATCTTCGTCTTTGGCTTTAAGGAGACTTTCAGCCTCGCTCAAGCTTCGATTCGCTTTCTCGTACTTGTTTTCTTGTACAGCCAAATTTGCCTGTATTTCACAATGCATTCATAATTTGGTAAAAATTTTCTAATACTATTCTTTTATCAGAACAGAATTTACTTTCAACGGAAGAACGTCCTTATTTATCTCGTAAAATGTAACCATAGAAATGGTCCACTGAATGAGACCTGCAACATTGCCGCAAGCTTGTTTTGCAGCCTCATAGGTGTACATATGATAATTTAAATACGGTTGCATCAAATCAACAGTCTCTGCGTTGATATTATCCTTCGGGAAGTTTTGCAAGTTAAATAGAAATCTGGTGTCCGCCATTGCCTACAAATAACAATAATAAATATCTTGTCTTTTCTATATCATGTAATAATAACAAGAAGAACACCTTTAATGCATCGGACCATGATGGTATCAGAAACTGCCGTTCGTAATCAGGCTTAACTGATTCCAATTTTCTTCCAAAAAGTATTAAGACACAGTCCATTATAAGGGTAATCAGGTATGGTGGTTTACCTAGCTTACGTACTGTAGCAATGTCGGCAGCTTTAATAGTCTAGAAACAAAATTCAAAGAAGTTAAAATAAACATTCGTTATAAGTAATGTACATATCGAGTAATTATAAAAACAAGCCCAACTTGTAATGCTGCTTCCGCAGCCAACAGGGCCGGCTCTGCAGCTTTCAGTTTTTGTTCTGCCACCGCTTTTTCCTTTGCTATTACTTTCAATAGAGCTTCCGCTTCGTCTTTAGATGTTTGCACGTGAGCTTTAACCGTCTCTGCTTCTTGCTTTTTCTCGTTGACAGTTATCAAAATCTACAAACAAGATACTGGACAGAACTGATCAGATGGATAAAGTATAAACTCTTCAGAAGAGACGGTACTAACAGCTTCCACTTGGATATTCTTCTGCGCGATCTCCTGTTGGTTCTTCTCCAACACCTTTCGCAGCTCGTCGACCTGGGCTGCGGCATCCACTAATTTGTTCAAGCCATTGCTCATACGGAAAGCTAGAGTATTGATATTGTCCAAGCGCTGTTTGTAAAGAGTCTTGTATCCGCTCAGGAAAGTTAAAAATGATTTTGGAGTGACGTATACTTGTCTTCTGAACCTGTTCGCAAGATATGAGATTGATGTACAAGCATATATAACATACTGAATAATAGTAATTTAGCGCTACCTATCGAAGTATTCCACGCAAACATCATTAATATCATCCTGTATATTTCCCATCACTTCGATCAAATTTTGCTTCACTTCCGGCGAGCAAATTATTTTAAATTTCTTCAGGAAGTGATCACCCACGGCGTATAACGCGTCCCGTGGCCATCTCCAGAACCAGTTTATCGTACAACCGGAAATAAGACCAGGAAACTTAAGCGCTCGGGATCTAAACTTTTCGCCAACCTAAAATACAATGAAATTAAGGAGTAAGGACCTTTTTGTGTTAGATCAAATAACAAAGTAATAAGATTACTCACCGGTGAGAAACACAAAACTACATGCAAATTGTTTCTAGCGCGGGATATAAAGTAATCATAAAGATTGTCTGGTGTTGGTGGTCGCCTTGGTTCATCTACTTTCATCAACGGCGTTACAATCGATAAAATGTCATCGAGTTCGTCTGCTGGAAAAAGATTTGCAACTTCTCCAACACTGAGTATATTGTTTATATATTCTAAAAAGCCTTCTTCTTTTATCTCGTTATCGGTAAATATGAAGGTATGCCCTTTGCTGCCTGTACCGGAAGTGCGATAAAGCCTTCGTAGATCCTCCATTAAGCTTCCAATATTGTAACTCCTAGAAAATCGTATATCACAATAAATACAAAGTATGAAATTTCGTATATGCTTTCGATTATAATGAATTTATGTGCATCACCTAGATAACGTTATTTGGAAGAAGCTAAAGCCCGCGATAAAAGAAGTCAAACGAGTCAAACTTTGTTTCCCTGAACCTCCAACTCCTACTAACATGGCGTTACTACGGGGAACCCCAAGTATTCTTGATATACGTATCAAATGTACCAAAGCGTCATGAAAGAACACTAAATCGAGATGCAATCCACGAATATATTCATTAAATTGTTCCATATTTTGTCGAACTTTCGTTATTACAGCTTCATAACTGAAACCAGGTATTGCCAGTATAATCTTGTATTCAAGCAACCTCCATTTTCTGTATCGTACCTCGGCATCTCTTCGTAGATTTTTGGTGCTTCAAACACGAAGTCATCTGGCTCATCCCCAGTGGGTTCAGGTGGTTCACGCAAGAAATTCACGAAGTATGTTTCCGTGGAAACATAGTACTTATAATCGGAGCCTAACATTTTCTCGGCTGTACGTTTTAGGGTATTTAGGAACCAGTTAGTGTCTGTATCACTGGTGAATCTAGCAGATAACAAGAACTATAAATTCGCGGTACTCTGTAATATTTGATGATCTTTTTTTAATGCATAAGTACAAAATAACACACCGATCTGCGATCACGCGAATGCATTCGTGCTTCCAGAGTTTCAATAAAATGGTTATAGAGCGACACTCGTTTCTCTCTACCCTAAGGATTCCTTCCCAAATTCGAGATAAGTCTCTTAAGTTGAAGACATAATGAAACTTTGCTGGTGTAGGTAACATCTTCAACTTAGTCTGCTGCCACAGAAGTCTGGTTAGAGGTATTAATTTTGGCAAGAAGTTCACAATAACATCGTCGAATCTAGTGCTGCAGAAGTATCCTTGACCAATGTTTTCTACGAACAGCAAAAACATATTAGAGTACCTGTAGCAATAGACACTTGCCAGACGTTCAAAATTGCCCCTACTGAATATGGTGTCCATGGACTTGTTGGATGGTAGTGTGCAATTAAAAATATTGAACTGTCTCTTGAGCCTCGGAGGAATGTCGTTCCTACCGCCACCTGGATGAATCATAGCAGCAATCAGCTGAATGTCTTGTATTGTGGAAAAGTCACCCGGCTTATCCAGAGAATAGAAGCCTTTATATTCCATCAATTGGCGAACAATCTCGTTAGTAATTTGATCGCCCCATTCATTAATAGCTGGCATATTTATATCATCGATGAAAATGGTTATTTGCCGACCACCTGGAGGCCCATAAGTTGTTCCAACTCTTTTCTCCACATAACTTTCAAATACGCGCTGCGAATTGTATTCTCATACTTTATAGAAGAACATTAATCTTTACTTGAAAATTTGTACATTAGAGCATAGTTACCTGAACCATGTTAGGGGTAGATGCTGACGAGAAACTGAAGGATTTATGCAGGTGTATTTCGGGATCGTATTGGGACATGTAGCTTTTGATCATTACAGTCTTTGCAGTACCTTGTTCACCTGAGGAAAGAAGACAAATTTAATTATATATAGTGTATTCGCGACAAATAAGCTCGCTATGAGTAGAAAATAAAAATTCTCATTTGAAGGTCTTATACCTATCAATAACACTGCCTTTCCTTGCTTTGCAATAGTATCAATCAAGGACATTGTTCTTGTATTATCTATATTAGGAATTAGAATTGAATGATATGGTAGAATCTCATCTGGAGGATATATAAATTCTGGTACTCTCTCAGACCAATGCAGCCATTCTCCAGTTTCCGATACTAAGTACTCAAAAATAGTTTCGTCTTCCTAAGTCGAGAATACACCATAATGCTTATTCTTATTAGTGCATCAATTATTTATATTATATAAGTTTACCTTGATGCGTGGCCAATTGCACTTTGATTCATGATTAAGTAAAAATTCCTGCAAAGCATTACGTTCTTCTAACTCCAATACAGCTCCCAGACTCCACATGAGAGAAAACAGGAATATCTTCTCAATGTGATGAGCCGGCAACACGTCTAGATATCATTAATTCTTTTATCTAATAAACTGCAATTACAGACGTGAAACAAATTTGTTGCCTTTACCTTGACCCAGTAAACCTTCTAATAAATCTATGCATTGTCTTATGTAAATTGCTTCTAGAAGCTTCATTTTTACTGGGAGCTTTGTCTGAACAAAGGTATGAGCATCATTGTATACTTTCTTAAACAAATTGCGCAGTATTGTCAGTTCTGTATTTGATCGTTTTATAAACCATCCCTGAATACCAAGAAAATACCACACAGCATCAATTAATATGTTAACAGTAGTCAGTGTAACATCTATTTAAGTAGCTTCTTTAATCTAACCTCGAGAATGGGATTCCATTTTAGTACAGATGCGCTTATAAATACCATTCCCATTCTTGATATTGTAGCTGGAGATGCATTGTCAACATTATCTGGCTCAAAAACCAACTTCGAATTCGGCACCATTATTATCCGATCACCATTGGCCAAAGTCAAGGTTTTGTTATCGTCTAAAACAGAATTCAAGTTCTCGATCCAAACTGCATCCACAGGTCCGTCCAAAACGATCCATAGATTGTCCGTTTTCTTTATCTGCGTTGATCTTCTCCACAGGGTGGAGAATATACCGTCAGTCCAATCATTTGTTGCAACATCCAGCCTTCCAAACATTTGAGCAGCAGTAATGGCCTGTAAGAAAGTTCCACTTAGAGTAGTTGCAACAGAAAAATTGAAAATTGGCTTGAGAGCTACACACTTTTGGATTCATTCGAACTTCTTTGTGCGGCATGCCCATCTCTGTTAGAGCCTTCATTAGTGCCCACATACACTGAGTCTTTCCAGCACCTGTGGGCCCAAGTACCATCAAACCGTGACGCACAAGAGAGGTCTCGTACAACTGGTAACATGAAAAATCTTATGATTAAGATTAACACGAGAGAAATCGATGTTACTAATATACACTCGAAACGTACTTGAACTGTTTTCAAATTCCATTCTGGATGATTCATTATACCAAGTGCCACAGTTGCATTTGCAATTGCTTTCTGTAAGTCCTTGTACGTTTGAGTTCTGAGTTTAATTCCTGGGAACATATCCTCTATCAGGGACATGAACAGAGGCTCGTCTTCATCCACCAACTTCGATAAATTCATGTCTCTATAACATAATGTAGGGCTCCTTTGATACTTCTTCCTCGTGAAGAAAATATCGAAACTTACTGAAACAATCATTTTACCTTAACACTCTCATCAGAGTAGTTTCTTCCGAGTCCGTAGGATTTGCACGTTTCTGTGCACCAAGAGTTCTCAAGCACGATAATATATTTCTCAAACCAAAATCGTAATGCACCTGTTTGCTGAGTTGTTCTTCGCACAACTTATACAGCGTGAAAAATTTTCGCGATAACAGAACATTTTCTTTGAAACCACAGGCTGCCAGTTTTACACGCATAATTATCTAAACAGTGTTAAAACAGTCAAACAAAATTCATATGATTAAAAACTTTATGATTTAATTTTACTTGTCTATCAGGAACCATCATGGCCACACTCCTAAACTGAATTTTCAAATTCTCCGGCAGCTCTTGACGACCAGCATAGCCTGGATTCATTGTGATAAACAGTCCAAACTCATAATTTATTTTATACGTTTCACCATCGCTAGAAATTACACATTTTCGTTTAATAAATTCGAGCTCATGCAGTCTTTGTACCTAATAGAATTGCACACCTGAACACGAAAGATAATTTTCTTTCTTTTCGCGCCGCAAGAACGATTGCTATTTGTTGGGCAGCCACGGATAGAACTGGTAAATCAATACGATTAAATTCGTCGAAGCATCCCCATGATCCGGACATGGCCAATCCTTTGAATATTCTACCGAGCCCACGAAAATCCATCTGATCGGAGCAATTGAAGACAACCACGTACTTTCCAAGGGCTTTCCCCATATCTTTAGTAGTCTCTGTTTTTCCAGTACCAGCGGGACCAGCTGGTGCACCGCCAAAGTTCATGCCTAGAGATACAGTTACGAAAATCTAAACATAATATCGAAATTATTGCATGAACGTACCAAAACAATAGCCCCGCTGATCTTACCCACAGCTTGGGCCAACGTTATGTAACACCTATCTGTAAGAGGTGTAATAGCAAGACGATCGGTGCAGCCTAAGAACTCATTCTGATACATGAAATCTATGTCAGTAATTTTTATAGGAATATCTTCCGACTCGGTATTGTAATAAAATCTGATCTGCTTCAACCATTCAAAGTCTTGTGCACTACGAATTCTATAATGGCATAACTCGTCGAAGATATCTCTAAAAGAAGATTATTTTCATTACTGTTGATAGTATCATTGCTGTTAATAATATGTGCATTTTTATGTGAAACCTTTGATGTACGTGTATAGTAATTAAAGCCTCGTATTTAGCTCTCGCATATTTAGTCAGATCCTTGACAGTCGCTTCAATCAGAAGATTTAATAAATCAAGGAACCACTGATTTGTCCTCTTCATCACTGTTCTGTCCCGTTTAACTGTATTTAGCGCTATCTCGGAATCACGAGTCCACAGAACTTGTAAAGCTAATAGGCCCACCTGTACAACAGTGATTTAATATAAACTTTGATAAAATGAAAAAAAAACTGCATCTCTCACTTGTAAAACAGAATTATCAATTAATTGTATAAAGTCAAACTCCTCGGTGTTCATAGATTGCAATCCTTGGGAGATCACACTGCCTACAGACAGCTGATGGACTATTAGTAAAGTATTCAGCCAGTTTTCTACACCTCCTGTACATATGACTTCCTTTTCCAATACTATACGTTCATTTTCACGAGAATACATGGCTATAATTTTCTCATATTCCTTCTCGGCAAAATCTAACTGTTAAAGGAAGAAAACTGAGTTGCTAGGAATACCTTTCTTCCGAAGAGGAAGATAATATATCACCTTTCCTATATTGTCGAAAAAGCCGTCAAGATATTTTTGTATGGTATGACAGTCAGCTGCTTGTCCTAGTATCTCTAACAATGTAGGATCTGATATAAAGCAGAACCTCGGGAATATACTACGTTTTGTCTCCAAGTAGCTGCACAGATATAAAATAAAGGTTAATTTCGGTCAGAAAATTTTCAGCGTCAAAGTTTTATTACCCGCTAAGAGATTTCTGACAAGATTCCAATTGTTCCAATAAATGAGGCAAAAACTGACCCATTGTTTCATCTCCAGTACATGTTTCCACGGCGTTCTGTCTCTCACGCGCTCTATACATGATTTTGACCCAAGCTTTGTCAATATTCTAAAACAATAAATGGTAGATATAATGCGTAATTATAGCTATTACGTTACATGACGTTCTTACATTGAAACGTTTTGCTTCTGCTGGAAGCTGCTTGGATATATCACCACCAATGAACACTGCCTCTAAGTAGGCCCATAGGTTCTGCACAGTTAACCACTTAGCTAAGATTTCAGAGGTATTACTGAGTTTGAATTGCCACAGTTGAATGTCCTTTTTAAATGGTGCATTGTAGCTGAAAAGAAAGTTCAGGGCTAATAAATAAATACGAATTGATTAATAAATCAGAAACATATGGCGATTATATTTGGTACCGGTTGGCTAAGAGTGAACTGATCACCATCAAGCTGTCTTCAAGTGAAGATATTATCTCAGCCGTTTCTGTACCTTTTAGGAGCAATTCTCCTCTCTGCTTAAAATGAGAAAATTGCAAATCCACAGTGGCCCATTCAGCAACAATTTGCTTCAGTTTACTGTCAATATCCAATTCCTTCCCTGCACTGATACATATATCCTATCAGAAAATGAACATTTAGATATCAGACCAAGGATATCGCGTATTTTAATTAAAACTGTACCTCAACATCGTCCTTGTACTTCAACAAAGGAGCTTGCATCACATTTGCCAAGGTGAAAGTATCAGACTCAACGTCGAAGTGATATTTACACAACTTGGACATCCTTTCCCAATGTCTTTCTTGCATCGCCTTATTCGCCATCAGTTCTAATAGCGGACAAGTCTCGTTGAAATCATCAATCTTCTTCTTTAAGTCGATGTAGGCAGGCCAGTCTCTCATAGCAGTTGGTAGCCTTCTACATCTAAAAAGAAATTCCGAAAGTGTTGATACTCGTGTGATAAAGTAATGACGAACCTAGATTACCTATTCTGGAAGTCAGCCAATTCTGTGACTATAGATTCAATATCAATTTCGGACCAAGGTATCTCATAGTAACTATCAATCGTCCGATTCACTTGCAAATAAAGGGAATACAATTTCTGTAATAAATTTATTTCTCTTTTTCTTTGTTGTAGAGCTGGATACTCAGTCACCTCTATACCAAACAAGCTCTCGCCACTGCTGTAGGTAAGATACTTTTCCCACAATTCATCGAGACGTGCTTGAAATAGAAGAAGTCTGAAAAAATTACGATTATCATTGATGAAAAGATGAAAATCATGATTATTATTTACGATGTTACCGATCACTAGCTTCTTTTGCTGGTATGCCCTCGACCATTGGACCGTGCAACTCAAAATCACGATCAAAGACAATCACATCTTCTTTAAAAGCTGCAACACCATCCGTCAGTTCTTTCTTTAATGGTTCTTGCATCTCGCATATTTTTGCTTGAACTTGTTTCGCCTTAAAATATTTACAGTTCCAATGTAGAAAAACCACTATGACGATATCTGACAATGGTAATGTCCAATAATCGTTACCGTATTTAACATATTTGTAAAGTTATATCGAAGACTATCAACAATATCTTGCTCCTCTTTCGAGACTGGAATGTTGAATTTACCCATCAATGTATACGTTTCTTCTATCAATATCAATTCCATATCCAAGGATATAAAATCATCTCGTATCTCGCTCAAGCATTTCATCGCGACTCTAACATCTTGCAAGTCTTTTATCTCTCTAGCTAAAGTTTTATTCTTCTCGTTAATGTATTCAGTGATCTTTCGAAGTTTCTCTTTGTACATAGTAGACAACATTTGACCCAATACTGCTTTCCATGTACGTGCTTCAACTAAAAGTGCTAATTTCAATTTATCTGAAAGATATTATATTAGTTACAAGGTGTGTTTGTATTCATATATAGACATTGTGTCATCCTAGAACAAGTTAACTTGTTACCCATTTTAATTTCTATAGGTCCGACAATATGTTTCTCCGGTAAATTCTCTATTTCTTTCACTAACTTATCATACTCCATCAATTTCTCTTTGACCTCTTGAATGATAGGTTCAGAATCAACAAAATCCTGAATGATCTTGTTCCTGTCTTCGGACCATATGTAAGAATATCGTAAATATATCTGAAAAAGTAATATTGAAACTGACAGAAATGTACTCGTGACGTCGATTTTAAGAAGGCAAAAATGAAGAATAGACGCACATTTCCAAGTTCCGCGATATCATCTTTGAAGGAAGAAATTGCACCCTGCAAGCTCATTACACTGCGCACTATTTCTTTGTGATCAGATAGTATGTGATAATAATTCTTCAATGATCCTGTGGGACTCACTTTCCGGGAAGGGAAGAAAATTATATTGGAAGAAGACATTTTTACTGTTACTGTTAAGAGATACTAACTTTGTACATTATCGCCACCACCTGCCATTCTCATACTTGTATAACGTTGTCCCCATGTAATTATATGTGTATGAGTTTCTAGGACACTGATTATTAGTTTTCCGAAGTAATATTGTAGATCTTCTATCGGCGGTACTATTACAATATTCGGAATTTGTAATACGAATGTAGTTATCATAATTGGAGTTACTTGGTGCTCCGTATTACTGTCTCTGACGAGAGGACTATCATTTTTGAAATTAAAAAAATTAAACAAGATTATTCTTAAGTCGTATTACATCACTAACGAATTCCAAATGAAATTAAAAGAACCTTAAATCGACGACCTGTTTCTTTAACAACTCAAGGGAATTTTTTGTACATTTTACTAAAGCTTCTACAAGTTTATTATTAAAGAATGCAAATAGTTCCATGCAATCATTATGCACTTTATTTATTTGAACTTTATGGGTCCTTTCAATGGGAGCAAAACCTACGATTATATAAAGTACATTGAATATTAGTAATGTGTTGATTAGTGACTGTTGAAATAAATAAATTAATAATGAAAACAATATACCAGATTCATATTTTCCTTTGGTTAATTTTGTGTGTGAAATGTGCTTGTGTACTTTATCTAAATCCATCCAATCGTACTTAATATTTTGAACAGATTCATCAACTATAAAGTCCATGAATTTATTAATGATTGTTACCGCAGCCTTTTCGGCTGATAATGACTTCGTTTCAAGGTCAGTCCCTATTGTATTTATATGGGTAATATTGTCATCTAAAAGTTTCGTTGGTTCTTTCGGATAATTGTCAAGCTTGATCAATATAGCTTCTGAAATAGATTCGAATACTTCATCAACCCTTGCCTCCTTCATATCTGTTATCTCTTTAACAAAAATTTGCATGGATTTAAGAGCGCTCTGTATCTGATTGCATGCTTCATTAATGTTTAAAGATGTCCACGTTATCACAGACAGGCAAGGTTGAAATGCGATCTCAAGATCAGCAAGAACAATTTTGATTAAGCTTTGAAACAATATCGGTATTCTTCGTCTGCAATTTTTAACAAAATCTATAATTACGCTTTTCCTGTATACAACTATGATCGTTGATTTACCTCAGTGCATTATTTTCATCTACTAATTTTTTCACTGATTCATAGGACGAGAAAATCTTATCTTTACAGAATGTTATTATTTGTATGAAATCTGGTACTTCTAAATTGAATCTAGCCATGTGTTCCGATTCACGTATCACTTCAATAATGTAGGGGTCGAAATTTAAGTGATATTTATTAGTTGTTAAATGTCGTATAAGCAAGGGTGAAGCTAACGCCAATCGAACCTTCAATTTAAAACAATTAACAATGCATATGATCATTCACATTATTACCGATACAATAATCATGCTTGACTTACAATTTCTGAGGAATCATACCATGCCTTATGATATATTAATTCATAGTGTATAAAAACGCTGATTAGAGCATTGTAGATTTTAATACACCTTTGCATATAGTCATGACTAAGCACTCTCATACATCCTTTATATATCTCCATTGGATTTTCAATGCGTCTGTAAAGTTGTCTAATCCATAAAATACGGCCCGCAATGGGTGGAACATTTCTGGGTATTGGTGGGTCCGATCTGTCCTCATTGTATCGGTCTCGTACATCTTCAATTTCTTTTTGGAACAATGTTATTAGTTCTAAATATTTCCTATCAATCCTCAGATGTTTAAACTTCAATTTTTGAAACCTATACACATTTAATTTTTAAATTGTAAATGTATTTTTTTTTAATAAATCGATGATTGAATCTGTGTACGAAAATAATTAGTATAAAACAACCACCTCGCTACTACCCTCAGTGCCTCCGTTATATTTGGTGCTTCAAAAACGTTTTTGTAAAAAAAAATGCGTAACTCAGTTTCCGTTTCTGCAACGTTTTTCTTAAATTGATCATAGTCGGTGTCAAAATATGGTTTTCTGTGATTTAAAGGATCGTAGTCTTGAGATGCCATGTCTTGGAAAAAGCTTGTAAATTTATTTGCAAATACATCTATTCCCTGTATAGCAGAACTATGAAGAATTGAATAAGTCAATGTTACCTGAAGAACGTCCATAATCTGAAATATAAATTACATTCTTATAAATATTGTTCTTAATATATCATCACTTTGCTTTAATATGTAGTTACTAACTTTTATTATTCTTTTTTTGAAGGTATTGAACTTTCCAAAAACGTACATCTCGGATACTTCGAAAGGCTTTTCATCAACAGATTCTCTTACTTGCTTACACATAACAATGTAATATTCGTAATACTGCTCACACAGCTTTTTACAGTCCTACGTGAAAAAAATTTGTTACCGTAACTATCCTGCTCACAGATTCAATTAATATTTATTATAAACGATTGCAAGATTACCATTATTTTAGATATCATAACAGATTTGGCTTCATTCCACACAGTTACTTTACCATCATCTGTCAGATAATCTTTACAGGCTAAAATCATTTGATTTGTCATCTGAAATTGTTGTTAAATGTATTGCAATTATATAAAATACAAGTATAGACTACAATTTGCTATACCTTAACAAAAACTGCTGTGACCATCCTTCTTGTATTAAAGAAACGTGAGGTAGCATATATCATTCGTATAGCATACATAAGGGGTGGTAAGTATTCTCCAATTTTTGTTGGATCAAACCTATATAAGGGTTGAGTAAATTTTTCTAATGCATATAAATATTTTACATTGTCCTGTGCAAGAATCTGTATTATTGTCACATGTTCCTCCAGAATTTTCCATTTCTATACTCAAATACAGAAAACCTCTACTGTAATTAATCTCAATAAACTAATAAAGAACATATAATCTGTAATTAAGCCTACCTTAATATGTTTCGAGTTTACATGTGTTAAAAAGTCTATGTACTTTTGAGTATATGGAGATTTAATGTGTTCAATTATAGATGAAAAACGAACTAAAATTCTTCTCCAATAGAAGAGTTCTACATTTGGGCCCATTACTTCAGTCTCTCTACGTAATTGTTGACTTTCTACAACAGCCTACATTTCAATCAATTAATCAAAATAAGTATCATTTTCCTAACATACTTGTATTAACGAAGATCGATAATTATAAATTTTACCCGTTCTATGCTTTTCATCCATTTTCTGACATTATTTTCTACAGCAGTGATAACTGATAGATTAGTAACATTCGCTGCATTATCTTCTGACACTGTGAGATACTTGTTATATACATCCCAGTCGAATTCAAATTTGATTGTACTCTCTAGATCTATCTTGGTCACTAGATACACAGATACAGCAATGTAATAACAGAAAATTAAATATGATATTTTATAGCTATCAATTTGGATATCTTACTGCTTAAAAATTCACAGAAATCTCTAAAATCACAGATAAAATTATTCTTCACTTTATCACCAGCTTCATTTTTTGATAATTCGCCCCATAGTGTGTTGGCAGTTATTGCTGGCAAATTTACTCTCAAAATTAACTCTGATATAGCTGCTAGTGCACTCTGAGATATAGGCTCCACCTCAGCATATGCATAATATGTGTCCTGGTAAACCATTTTAAATTTAATACAAAATTGTATATGAGTTTTTTTCAACTAATTACACACAAGGAAACAGAAATATACATCAAGAATCTGCTTAGTCTCAAACTCAACATCTGATTTTAATCTGTAAACTATAACACATTTGCCAGAAAACACCTCGGTGGAACCATCAGTGACACAGCAACGTATTGTTTTATCAGTGTCTTCATAATGTGAACTCCACCTTCCTGATTCTATTGTAAAACATTTCTTGAATTAAATGAATCCAAAATAACGAGATATATTGTTATGAACTACAATATCGTGTCTAATACCATATGGTGGTGGTTTCATAGGCTGGAAATGTATAAGGATTGCACGTTTTCCATCTTTTGCAAGAAAACTGTCAAAAGTATTAATGTATTCATCTTTGTCAATAATCCCTTCCTCTAAAATGTCAGAATCTACATTCAGAATAAAAGCTACCACTTCCAGGAGTTGCCGGTGTGTTGCTTTTAACAATAATTGTCTAGCTTGTCGCTGTTCTTTAAATTTTGCCTACAAAAACGTAGTGACAGGATATATAAAAACTAGTTCATGAAGCAAGGATTAATTAGTAATTATAGTTCAAACGCTTTTACATACAAGACGCTCTTTTAGAGATTCTGTGGGTAGAGAATCTAGACCAACTCTTCGTTTTAATAATTCAGCAATACGAAGATCAATCGCAGGTTTTGTGTAATCTCGGGCTGCAAAATATGCAGTTATATGAGCCATTATACAAAATCGCGATGCAACGCACGAATCACATAAATATCACGTTTTCGCGAGATGCAAAGTGAACATTGGTGAACATCAATGAATAAACAATTCTTATAGGGTGTATTGAAAATTGTTTGCTCAGGAAGGAATTAAATTAAACAATATAAATTTATGTTTTTATTATTATTTTCTTGAATACACGAATCGTACAGAAATGTAATCACGTATGTAAATATTTATATACACGTGCTACGTTCTAGATTCTAGCACGTAGTTGTAAGTTTCATTCATAAATTTAGTATTATTACTATGTACTTACATATGTATATGTGATGGGTAACCGGGTCTGCTCGGAGTGCTCGGGCATGCTGCCCCGCTCAGCCCCGCTACTGCCCGCTGCCCGACAGTGCCCGTACGGAGTATGGGCCATATGGGCATTGGGCATCAATTGGGCATGGGCAAGCAATGGGCAAGTGGCTGCTGCAACCTGAACTAATACGCTCATAGACATATATATGGCTCTATGCTATATACGCATGCGTATACTATACACCAAACACCACTTCATTTTACCATGCAGCTGCAGTGCATGTCAAATTGCAAAGGTTAAGGCAGACAACACAAATAAAACTATTTATATTTACAGGACGTAAAGTTGCAATTGAAAGAAGAAAGTTTATCATAAATCAATCGAAGTAATATCGATCCTCTTCTGTGATTCAATGACGAATTGTAAAACGTACACAATGTACATTTTTTAAATATATTTTTATAGGTGATTTCGATGCATGATCGACTACCAATACCTGATTTAAGGTTAATATGTATTTATAAATTTTTTGAGGCTGACTGTATAATGCTATATTGATATAATTCCGAAAAATATAAGTTATATCGACCCTATATAAAGATTAAAGCAGAATAAAAGAGATTTTTTAAGTGTTCAATGGTTCTGTTTACCCCCACTTCACTTTCCTTTAAATAATATTTAATACATTTACTCTAAATCACAATATACATAAAAAATGTAAAATATTTATATGTACATTACATTCTTTTCACTTTATTTTCTGTATTTGTATTGTACTTGCAAACATTATATTTCATAACTTACAACTATAGAAGTTTCTGTTCTAATACTTACATAACTTAATCATTTTCAGATAAAAGTGTACATTTTTAAACATTGTATGTCTCTTATTTATTCTATGATTGCGCTTATTACATCTGCAATAAATATATTTAGAACATATATTCCATGAATTAAGAAATTAATGATTAAATTTAAGGGTCAAGTTTTATTCGCATAAATATATGAGACCCATAAGAGTATATGGAATGTGTTAAATAGTTAGACACAATGTTCAAATTGGAATCATATATAACACCAGTGATTCTTAGTTACGTTGAAAAGTATGTGAAAAATTTTAAACCAGAACAATCTCAGGTACATTTTTTTGCAGTTAATATTTATATAGTTGTAATATATAATACTAAAAGGATTTGCTCTAGTTATGTGTTTCATACGTTACTTTATATTTCAGGTTTCTTTATGGGGCGGTGATGCATCATTCCAAAATCTAGATTTGAGATTAGAAGTTTTGGAAGAACAACTTAATCTTCCTTTTGTCTTCGTTAGTGGTCATATACATGAACTGCTTATTCATGTTCCTTGGGTAAAAATCACTTCAGAGCCAATTGTTATCACAATAAACACAATAGGTAGATACTGAACAAAAATAATAAAACCTAAGGTGATGCATGCCAGATGTATAAAAATAGAATTTCTTATTTTCTTGCAGAATGTATTTTAAAATTAAAAGATGATACAAAAGTGGAAACTAGTACTTCTGGACTACAGAAGAGGCAAGAGATACCGGAGTAAGTGAAACTTTCTTATTTATAATTACATTCTGTCACAATACAACAATCTATTATTAATTTATTGACAGGGAAGAGACTCCACCTGGGTACATAAAAAGTATAGTGACAAAGGTTGTAAATAATATAACAATCAATTGTAATAATTTAATTCTAAAATATGTCGAAGAAGACATTGTTCTTAGCGTGAATGTCAGATTTTTAAGTATGCAGACTGTTGATAATAAATGGGAACCAGCCTTTACCGGTGTGTATCTGATATTCCATTAAATGTAAGTAATTACATATGTACGTATATATATTTTTTAATTATGAACATTTGCAGATGTAAACGCGTATGAAGTTATGCTTAGAAAAGTTATTACAATACAAGATCTAACATTATGTTTAGACAAAATGGACGCTTCTGGAAAAATAGAAATATATCAGGTATTTGTTTTTTAATATCATCGCAAGTAATTGATCATATCGTTATGAAATACGTGAGTTTTTGATTTTTTCGTTCAGGATCCCGTTCTATATCGATGTTCCGTTATAATACGTTTGATCATAAATTATCACAGTAACACTGCAAGAAAAGCTTCCATCACACGACTTGATCTTCATTGTCAGAAAATGGAGTTTAGTATAACGGAACAGCAAGTACCAATGCTGTTGAGATTAGCTGCACTGATAATGGCATTGCAAACAAAACAGTTTCCATCTAATAAAGAAAAGTCCCTAATCTCTGCAGAAGAAAGGGACGATAGCATACAAGGTCCCACATTATTCTACAATACGTACTCTTAATATTTATAATCATACTTATTATTAGTGAATATTGTAGATGATATTATCGATCACGTAAGCGGAGCTGCCACTGACACTACAGGTTGGGGTGGATGGGCTTGGAATATGGTATCGTCTTTGTTACCCATTGACTGGGACAATGATTGGTCTACAGAACAACAAATGGCTTACTCTGGCCACACTATTCATTTGGGTGTATATGTACAAGACACCACCTTGACTTTTAAAGTACATACTTTGTACGCACTAAATTATAATATAAAAATCGTATTAAAATTTCGTGACTTGAGATTAATTTCTTTTGTACAGACAGTAGAAAACATTAAGGAGCAATTATTTTATAAATCACGTAAACTCAGATATAAATCGTTCCTGACACTGAGATTAAATGGTGTGGTGGTGGATACATTGCTTCAAGGAATTGCTGTGACCAGCTTTCACGTTGGAATGGGTTGTATACGCATATATCCAAGGGGGACCTGCAGCTGTGGACATCTGGAAGTAGTCGATGGAGCACAAGTAATAATTCTATACTACTCTTTGAAATCTATAATTTTTTTATACACTGTGACTAATCTAATAAACTTCCTATAGCCACCCTTATATTTAATAGCAGGAAAGTTAAACACTGATTACTTGAAAGATTCATTATTTGACAATGATTCGGCGGAAAACAAAGGAAAAAAAAGAGATTACAAGCAAGGAATTTATTATTATCTAAACACAGTTTCAGGTAATCAAAGTTTAATGTAATATCTAATATTGAAAACACGCATAAACAGTAGTTAAATGAATAATTTTTAGGGAAAAGACTAATAGAACGGTGCCCTGCTTTTGCTATGGATTATGTTCACTGTGTCGAATTACCTGACGACATCACTCCCGAAAGACTGGCAGAATTTGGATCCAATTTTGAATATAGGTAACTGCAAGATATTCAAATCGTCTATAAGCCTGTTAATAGTAAGAGAGAAGAGTGGCTGAATGTACATTTCTTTCAGCAACTTTGATGAACGTAGAGTAATGAGATATATCATAGGTGATTTAACTATTCGATTGTGTTCGGGTGTTTTTCATCGTATTGAAACAATAAAGCAAGCTGCCGCAAATTATGACTACAATCCGTATCTTATCTCGAAACCAGGTATCTTTAAAATTTTTCTATTCAAATACAAATACGATGTATTTATGAAATCATTGCATGTACATTATTATCAGATCCACTGGTGGATGAACTTCCACCAGTCACATTAGAAGAATACGAAGCTTTACGAGAAAATGTATCCATGGTTAAAACAAAATTAATTATGGTGAAAGCAGCCCTTCAATTACAATTAGCTGATCATTCTATAAATGGATTACCACGACAACGAAAAGTTATTGAAAATAGAGTGTGTATTAAATGCATTAATATGTACATACACAATTAATCTGCTTTTGTTCACTACTTGTGTACTGTTTCTGTTAGACGACACCTTTAACACCTGCTCTTACCGATGACCCCTTCATGAGCATTGAATGCGATAAAGCAGTACTAACATTGCTGCAGCCGTTATATCCATTTAGACTCGCTGCCTGTGCTTCAAAACAGACTGATCTTTCTACAGAAATGTTCGATCAGTGCCATAAAGTTATTACACTTCAGGTAACACAAGAAAAAAGACCGCTATCTACGTAATCTATTTCTTCAATAAACATTATATTGAATTAGGTGACCGGAGCAAGAAGTCAACTTTACTTAACAAATAATTGCCATACATCGATAGTAATGCCTTATTCGGTGGAATGCAAAGCAAAGAAATTATTATATCCACAGTACTGGAGAAACGTTGATTTAATACATGAAACGTATTCAGTACATATGGACAGTATTACAGTCACCGGAACAAAAGCGAAGTTGATGGTTGCTGCATCTATATTGACTTCAATTTTCGATCCAACTGACACAACAAACACTCTCGTGTGTTCTTCTTTGTTCAATGATGCCTGTAACGAAATAAGTATGTATTATAAAAACCATTACTAAGAGCCATTTGGTTAAGCGAAACTATTTAATACCAGTGTGCATATTTCAGATCCGGTATATCTGGAGTTGTTGTTAGAAAATATAAACTGCAAGAAATTGTCATCTTTGGTTACAATCTCAAACGAGATAAGCATAAACTCAGTGAAAATGTTTGCCCTAAATGAGTCGCAGCAGGCTTTTATTTTCTCAGGCCCGGAAAGCAATATGCATGGGTTGGTATATACAATAAATTATATCATAAAGTAAAACTTATATTGACTACAATCCCTCTGTGATCATAGTGAGGTAGAAAATAAATTACTGGTAACGGCTGTGATGCAGTATCCGAAAAATGTTGAGAAGCAAACGCATCCACCTGTTATATCGTTTCAAATGGCGGACATCAGAGCGTCGCTTGATCCATTGTTGTTTAAATGGCTAGAGTATCGTGTAACGCATTACAGTTTAGGTACTTTGTGTACAACAAAGCCTGAAATGCAACAGCACTTAGAAGGTGCATCTTCTGATACTGGCACTAAGAAAAAGACGTTTCCGAGCTTGCACGAGAGTGTGCATAGTTCTTCGGATAAAGAAAAAAGGAAGTCGGTTGTAACAACTGAGAAGTCGAAGACTGTACAAAATGATGATATTCAAAAGAAACACGATTCCAAGTCTGACGATAACAGACAGGTATAATCTTCATATATTATTGTGACTTTTAAGGACGCGTTACACCATTTTTGTTAATAGTTTTGATACACAATATTATTAGTTATAAAGAAGTAATGTATGGTAGAACTTACAGAATTTGGGAATATTGGCCAGATTAGCAGAACTGTATCCATGGTGGTCTGGGCTTGTGTTAAGTGGGCGTGTTGGACATATTGTTACGTACATACCGTCGAGTACGATGAGTGGCATTGGTGCATATGGTAAGTCCATACATTGACAGAGTAACTGATAGTTCTTTAACGCTCTGTTACATACGTTTTCCTAAAATGATTTAGGTATAGAAGAAGCAAAAGATAGAGCACTGAATACTGATAACAACTTACAAATGTTAATAATAAAGTTACCCGCCCTTATTGTTCATTCATCTAACATAAGTTTCGAAATGCTGGCTCCTCATCTTCAAGAATTACCAGTTAAACTACCAAAATCTATGTGGACAAACAGTAAGTTATCGAAGAAGAAATCTACTAAGCGTATGCAAAAGAGTATTATCCGAATTGTAATTTCTTCTAGAATTGGAAAGTTTTCCGTGGACGTTGAGTCTTGTGGAATTTCATTGTTACATGTTACAACAACACATACAAAAGAACTTCATTAAAAAAGTATCATTAAATGCTACAGTTGCTCTGACAACGAAATTTACATCGTCGAAAATGGGAGAAAATGCATTGTCTTCTTTAAGTGTTTGTGTTCATATAGATAATTCTCCCATTATTATTTCAGTGTCTGAAGAACAGGTATCGTAGTAAAAATACTTTACACAACATATGTTGAATCTTCACACATCGTTACATAATTATATAATTTGTTTTTATTTCAGGTAGTTTTTATGAACAAAATAATTACGAGTATTCTGAGTGTATTGCGGGTTTCAACCGTTACTAATAAAAGTGTTATAGTTAGTGCTCAGTTGAATACAGAAACACAAATAGCTCTTCCTATCATCCCACAAACTCCGTCTACACCAACACAATTACTGTATCCTGAAGATACAACTACGAATTCGACTGTTTCAACATCAAAAGATGACACTACACCAGGTACATAAGAAAATATACTTAAGCTTCATTCGATATTTGTGTATAATGCATTATTCTTCGTAGAATCAGATGAATTGATTGTAACGGCGTGGATTCAATGGACTATAACAAAGATTGCATTGAAATTATATGTGGCAGAAGTAGGATCTTCAACTTCATTGAAATTAGTTCTTGAATTGGAAGATATTATTACCTCGGTAGATCTGCAGCCTGTCTATTTAAAATTGAAGAGCAAAATTACAACAGCCACTATATTTCATTATACTAGGTATACAGTTGTATTGGTAAATAATATTTTTAACTACAACTCGGAGAAACAATAAGGGGTATTCTTTGACAGAGCACCGCATTCGCCAACTTGGGATATCGGTGAGTATGTGGGTGCAATACTCTGCGGAAGGGAAGATAATTTGGAAAAAGGCGATGATTCGGGATTTCTAAGTTTTACTCTGACTAGAGCAAAGTCTGGAAACGTTCATACACGATGGGGGACCTTTAAACGCCACAGAAGTCAAAAGGTATTTAAGTCGATTACCATAAATGATACACTATCCTTGAAATGATTAATTTCAATTTTAGAAAGACGTTATGGCAGAATCTACACTATCCACTAATAGTTATATTTCCGAAGTGGTTGTAAAAGTACAAATGGTGGATATAATTTTACCACTCACCATAGTTAGCAAATATATACAGCTATTGAAGCCTTTTACCTGTTTCTATCGATCTATCGAAAAAGACAATACTGAAACGCCTGATCAAAATGCAACAGGTTTAAATAACATTGTATGCCTTGACAATGAATCTTTACCATTGGTATATCTGGACTTTAAGGGGCTTAGACTAATGCTACCAGCTTCAAATATAATAAAGTCCAAACCACAACATGATCTACTAATGCTTCAGGTAATACTATAACCACAGATTGAAAAAAAAAGTATACGTGCTGTAACTTAAAGATTAAATATTCCCTATCCATTCCATAGTTAGACGGAATTCGTATCACTCCACACGCAGAGAATCCAATTTGCAGAACACCTTTGAGATTGGATATATATCAACTTGCAGCTCAAGCAAATATATTAAGCATACCAGGTTCTGCTGTGGAGGATCGACAATACCAAATTAATATAAAAGGCGTGTGTGCTCATACAACTACTTGGAAAAATTATCAAATGAGTATAAACAAGGTTCGTTGGAAATATATATACTGTATGTGATTTACAATCTTTCTAGAATGCAAACATTAAATTATTTTATTGCAGAAAATGTCTCAATCGTACCTTTATACGATGAATGAAAATCCTGCATTAGAATGGAACAAACTTGGACATGGAAGTAGTTTGGAACAACAATTCTCAACATTTCCATTAGTATCGAAGTACGTAAGATTCAAACGATATCATTAATAGTATTATAAAATAATTTACATATGAATATACACTATAGGTTCGATTTGTGCTTGATCATTGCTCCACCGGTTCTATTTAAACCGGACGTAACAGTATGTGGAAGTGCAATCGAAGTTAATTGTATTACCGACATCGAAGTGACCGTAAATTTAGATCAAATTCAATTGATTTCGATTCTAAATAATGAATTAAGAAATTTGTCGCTGGGAAACTTTGAGCCGAACAGAATCTTCGTTGAGTCGAGCAATACAGCTCATAAGATTTCCACAACAATGGGAGGTATTAAACAAATTACTTGGACGAAACAATCTTTCGATGATACGGACGTTGATTTTACTAAAGATAGTGGTATAGACTTTGAAACGTCTAGTGTGAATTCGACCGTTATTGTAAGTCTCATTTCCGAACTTCAGTATAAAATTAGACAGTGTAGTGTTTCCTCAAGGTTAGTATTTCTTTTATTAGGGTAAACCAGCACGTCCAGAGATTCCTATACTGTTGCCATTTGAATTCCTGGTAAACTGTGGTAAAATAACATTTATACTTTATGATATTCAAAAAGCAAGTACAGAATACCAAGTTGTGAGTAATTTTTTAATAAAAAGTTCTGTAGATAATTGCCTCTAAAAAGTTAACGTCAAATATAACATTCGTACAGGATATAAATGAAATTGAAGAAGACGAGAGTGAAAGTCAGAAACAACCGCTATTTTATATCATGGTTAATCAACCAAATATCTATTTTTCACAACAGCATCCATCGCAAAAAATACAAGTATGTTAAGAATAGACAGTTGTTAAGAGAATTCCTTTTAATACATGTGCATTTTATTAGGTATCCTGTTTCGATATAACCATGGCATTAGGCGAAAAGGAGCATCAAGACTTAATTTCCATACCAACAGAGAAGGATTTCAAAATGTTTATGATCGAAACGAAAAGTGGTGATTTGCATCCGGATACTGGCATACCGCCATCTTTTGTAACAATGAAATATGAAAAGACTTTAGGAAAAAATCCACAATTTTCTATAGATATGGGTAGACCTACGAAAATTTATTTCTCTCTGTCCAGGCTAAGTCAGATGTACCTTATGAAAAATAAGGTAATGTATATGAACGTTATATTCATCTGACAATGTGTTTCATTAAATACATCTTCATGTATCAACAGATATTATCATGCTTTATGAGTGAACGGGAATCAACACCAATAGACCACCTCGATGACACGGGGGTTCCTCCAGCAACAAAAACGAAAAAATTAAATTGGCCTGATTTAAATATAAACACGAAGCAGGTTGTATTGTCTCTGAAGACGGACTCTGGCGCTGAAATAATAATCAGTTTGGCTTCTTTATCTGGGAGCGTCACATCCCTTCTAAGACCCGATCGAATATATTCCAGCACGTCTGTTGATTCTTTCATCGTATCAGCGATACTCAACGAAAATATAAAAGTCCTCTTGAACCCATGGTGTTGCAATATTACCGTTTGTTTGCTCTGGGAGCCTTGGCAAAATGCAAACTCCATTCCTCAAATACAAGTACAAGCTGACAGCGACAGCCTTTATTTAGATTTTGGACCGGAGCAGATCAAAATCATAAAGAACGTCATGGAAGATTGCCAGCTGCTTCTGAATGAACTGACAACAACTCCTTCAGAGAGTAAGAGTAACGAGAAACAAATTGTATTGTCTACCGAACAACATTATAAAGATGATCTTAAAGCGGGTGCATTCCAATTTGTCAACGGCAATGCTGATGAACTACCTTTTCCATATCAAGTAAATTAATCAATACTTATTTGTGTTAACATAAATTTTTCGACACGATTATTCTAGCGTTAAATAATTCATTTAGGTTGTGTTTTTCGCCTGTCCTCAACAATCGATGGCTTGGAGATACCCACAACCAAGAACGCTAACAAGGATACATGTCTCGCCAGTCCCATTTGAAGTGAGTAAAGTACGCTACTTTGTGTCTATTTATCTATATTTTACACGATGATTCTTTTCAGACACTGGATTCCGACAGTGGTTATATCGACAAAGTGTCTTGCGTTCTTGAATATTGGAGCGACTGTCATATGTCCTACCAACGTTACGTTGATTTCTACTTATCCGAAACGAATTCGTACCGCTTGGAGCTGCCTGAAAAAGCTCCAGCCCGAGCAGTGGCTTGTATATGGCGAGTAGTTCTGCTATCAAGCAATAACAAACCGCTTTCGAAAACAATAATCTCGGCGCGTGTTCTCGCGGCTTGTTTACGCATTGATTCCTATTTCAATTCTTCCATTATACCTAATGTGCAAGCCGCTTTGAACATCGGCGCCATACACATATCCATGTACAATCACGTAAACCCAGTTATGTACAATAATTTGCAACCGCCGTTGAAGGATTATACATTGAAAGGTACCGTGCCTGAAACTCAATGCTTCATGACCTTGGAGCACAAAGAAGCTATCCTTGTACTTAACAGATGGATAGATGGATCAACGTTGATCGACATCAGCGGTACATTTGGCGTGTATATATTAGATTACGCTCATCTGACCATGCAAGAGATACTGGATCCGTTAGAAGCGAGATTTCAGCTGTCATTGTCAGACAAAACCGACATATCGTTAACATGTAGCCCATTCTCTCTAAAGCTTGGTCCGACAATAGCGCATACGCTCGCAGTCTCGGCGCATTTATGGTTTGCATTCTTTGAGGAAGAAAACAAGAATATGATCTTATTTACTCGTTATGTGGTGGCAAACGATAGCAACGTACCCATCCTGTTCAATCAAAGCGGAACCAGGGACAACATATTACTGGAGAATAGACAATGTACCTTTTATTCGTGGAAGCATTTTGATAATAAAATGATCAGGATAGCGATAGAAGAGAATCTTTGGCTGTGGAGCAAACCGTTCTCTGTGGGCACAGACGGCGTCCAAGCGATCGAATTCAACCATTCGGAAACTAAAGCATCAGCATTCGTAAGCGTTACGTCTCTCTCTGCTACACAAAAGTTGGTGACCTTCTCTGGTCAACTGATCATTTCCAATCAATTGACCGACATCTTTGAGATGAAATTGGTCAAGTACGAGGCTGACATTGGGTCGAAAGTGACTCTATTGAAAGATGTGTATCCCGTTTTCGGTAAAAGCCGTCCACCGTCTGTCATACTCGATGGAAATAAAAAAATGGCCATACGTTTGCGCTTTACCAACGTGCCAAATCTGTCTTGGACAGGAGATATTCCTCTTCAGCCTAATGCCAAGTGGGGACAACCGTGGCTCGTGAAAGTACCATTACAGGAACGTGGACAATTTCTGAGTATTTGGGTACGAATAGTCACTCAGATTATTCAGGAAAAAATAAAAGTTCTAGCTGTACTTAGTCCGCTTTACATGATCAAATCGCATTTACCTGTACCAGCCAGAGTACAAATGGACACACCGTCGTTAAAGATCTCTTTGAGTACAATGGTGAACGGTCGCGGTGAGCGACAACAACTCTACTGTCCAGGAACATTCGAACATTTTCATCAATTGACATTCCAACTGGAATCTGGTGTATCCACGTCCAATCCGTATGTACCGTTGTCTTACAGTTCCGTGGATCAGCGAAAGTTTTTCAAAAGACCCGAAATCGAAGACATCGACGAGATTCTAAAAGATCTAGAGGGTCAAAGAGAAGAAGCAGAATGGCCTTTCCAGGGGGACATGGTGGAGGAATGGATATCTGCTGAACAACCCCAGACACACGTGCAAGTGAAATATCAAGATGCTGGATTAGTCTCTAGTACTCTGTTGTTAGAACTACAACCGTGGTGTTTCATGTTGAACTCCATGGGTTGTCACTTGTCCCTCGTGTCAGAGGACATAGAACTCTGTCAGATACCTCATTACGGTATCGTGACACCGCCAAAACTGGAAGGTACGTTTCACTTGTGCGTTGGCGTTGGCGACACATTCTATACGTCTCAGGCTCTTCAACTGGCACGACCCGATTGGAGTCAGAGTTTCTACATGCCAAGAATCGGTGGACTGATTCCGGTCGAGGGAAACGTTAAAACATGTGTTGACTGTTGCTCAAGCGTGTCGATCATGAGCATTAATTCCAGCATGCACGAGGATATGCGTCTTATACGTATAACAAGCAGTCACGTAATCAGTAATTTAACGTCTCGAGAATTGTGTGTCGCTACGTTAGCAGCGCACGAAGATGCAACCGGCCTTGAACTGCCGAACGATCTTACTCTTTACAGTCTTAATATCTCACCGGCGGACGATCAGAAACAAGGCATACCGATCACACAATGGTACACATTGTACATGGAAGACATCATAGAACCCCTTGTACTTTACATATCTTTGAGTTTAGGGCATAAGTGGTCTTGTCCAATACGTGTCGATCAAACCATGAGTCGCAGATGCGTTGCTGTTCCAAATGGCTCTAATACTATGCCAGTGGTTATTACGACTCAGGAAGACAAAGGTACAACATACATAATGATTCATGCGGATGATCATCCTCAACTGTCAGTTGAAAATTCTTGCGCTTTCAAAATATTACTGGGCCAGGCAAATGAAACAGGAGAAGCAATAATACCGGATACTTCACACTTCACGTGGGTCTGTGAGGTGGAAAGTGGCGCAACTTGTCACTATTCCATTCCTTCCATTAGCAACAGGTTACCAGACGTACCCGTTTCAGTCGCATCGAATGTATTATTGTTCTCTGCTGTAACAAGTCACAGCGATCAGACAATGAAAACTAAGGATTTGCGGTGGTCAAGAGGTATAAACTTGTCTGCAATATCAGGGACACCGGTGGATCAGTATGTACGATTCCCGTTTTATGGGGATGTGAAGTTGATCATGCAAAATCGTTGTTACACCACATACATTAGTGTTATTCCTATATCACAGGTAGAAGTGTCCGCAAGGGACATTAGAAGTCGACTTCTACGCAAAGAAACTGATATGAAAGAAGTGGAAACGTTGCATAGTAAATACATTGATCAGACAGATGATGATAAAGTGATAAACGTGCAGAGTTCCGACAGCTCCACATCGGTGACAACATTTTTCTCCGCTCAGGACGAGACTTCAATTACAGAGGCTTCAACTTCCTCGCAAATGAATTTACGACATCTAATTACGAACATGGGTAATATGAAAACCAGCACAAACGATCAGACAAAGATTACTGACGAGAGTAATTCAAAGGACGGGTCAGCAACTATCTGTCTTCGCGGAGTAACCATCATCACCATACACGACATGAATGAAAACGCGCAGAGGATCGAAGTTGCTAGTTTATCCATGACTGATGTTATAGTCACGGTTGCTTCGAGATCCAGAATCATGAATTTAAGCGCTTTCATAGGTGATTTACAGTTAGATAATCAAATGTTCGATCAAGGAGGTTTCGATTTCCCTGTAGTGTTGATCAGTCAAAGTCCACTTGTTACAAAGGGGTCAGGATATTATACAAACAATTGCTTAATGAATAAAGTGGAACAAATTAGGGAGAACTCTTTAATAACAATCGATTACATCTTGGAAAATCAAGGACATATAGAAGGTACATAACAATAACAACAACAACAACGTGACTCAATTTACTATAAACGTATTACTTGTGCGTTAATGTCTGTTTTATGATATATTTCAGCATCAAAAGAACTTCACCTAAAGATCGCACCTATTAGTGCTTACATCGAAGATACATATATCACTCAGTTACTGAACTATGCAACTTCAATGATACCTCCAAGGTTTTTTGTATCGGATGATGTAAAGAAGACAAGAACATTGGTTTCAACAACTGGAGTATGCATGCCAGATTACGTAATGGTTGACGCAAAAATATTGAGTGCTCCGTTAAGGCTACAAACTTTGAAAATAGAACCTGTATCTATTCTATTAAGTGTTCATACTTCTGTGCGGTTATATGTAGCTTTAGACCATTCGCCATTATACTTTGGTACATTTGAGAAGAAAAATGTCCTAACTACACCGTATAGGCTTGGCAATGCACTCACAATGCATTATCTATCTGGTGCTATATTTGGAGCAGGTATAAATAGTAATTTGTATTTTGTTATTAATACGAACATTAAACTTTACTAATTTCGATGCTGTATGCTTCAGGTTGGGTGGTGGGCTCTTTAGAAATATTAGGTTCACCCGGAAGCTTAGCACAAGCTCTTGGTTCAGGGCTTAGAGACTTTGTCTCTCTACCATTCCAAGGTTTGTTGCAAGGGCCATGGGGTTTCATTGTGGGAATAACACATGGTTCAGCCAGTTTGATGAGACATGTTACAGCAGGTACTCCGGAGCTTTTAAACTGATATGGAAGTGTATACAATGTTTTCTCAACATTGCATTAAAAATAAAATTCCCACAGGTACTTTGAATTCTGTAACGAAGTTAGCGTCTAGCGTGGCACGAAATCTCGATCGATTAACTCTCGATGAAGAGCATCTACAAAGGCAAGAAGAATCCAGAAGAATGAGACCACAAGGCATGGCACAAGGGCTCTACCAAGGCTTAACTGGATTAGGCATGAGTGTTCTAGGTGTGTGACACATTTCTTTGTCATGATTAATCTAATGTAATGACATTTTAATCTTTTTTCTTCAGCCGCGGTTGCCGGTATTGCTCATCATCCCTTGCAACAAGTATGGTCAGGCGAAATAACGACTAAAAGTCTTGTGACCGGTGTTGGACTAGGACTAGTCGGAGTAGTTACGAAACCTTTAAGCGGAGCTGCAGAATTAGTTGCCCTGACGGGACAGGGTTTACTCCAGGGGGCAGGCTGGAATTCTTTACCTTCCGTAAATATTGAAAGATGAAAATTGTTACGCAACAGTAACGAGACAAGATAACCGTGAATATGCTTTTACAGCCTCGACAGCGACCAGTTGTCCAATATACAACAGGCAATAACAATGCATCCATTAGGTATGCTTGGTGGTTGTTACCCCTACTGGAAAAAAATCATGGCAATATTTTACATGTTACGAGTGCAGACTATGTGATTCAACAAGGCAGTAATCGGGCTGTAACGTTAATTCTAACGAGGCATGCGCTGTTATTGGTTAACGCAGCTGAAGATAATGTCGAGAGACTATTTTTACTGAAAGATTTAACAAGTGCTGACTGTCATCTTGATTCAACTATAAGTTTATACTGTACTTCTAAAACAACACAGCCCAATAGGCCTGGATCACCTGCTCCGTACGAGGTATATTCTACATTTTACCAATGCTACTACTATGTAATTATACCTACGAACTATTAAATATTCTTGTCGAAACTGTTACAGATGGATCAAGAAATGAGAGCACGCGTAGCAGAATACGTAAGAACTAGTAGTACAGGTTTAGCTAGTGTTTCGACAAACAGTGACGGACAGTCTGATATTTTTGAAAATGCTACTCCTCATTCCGATCGTACTCTCACGTTCTACGTTTCTCCCGATTCCCGTAATTACTTGTTATCGTTGTTTAATATCGCCAAGCGCCAAAGTCAGGGCAGCGGATTCAGAGTATTGTAAAGGATAGATGGATATACATGATGATGGACATACTAGATTATTTTTATGTGTTCACAGGCAAAGTGTGTAACCAATATTTTTTAAAACTGCAAAGTGATAAGTCAGTATTACCCATCAGGTTAAAAAATTATGCAATAAGTGTGATATGCGAAACACGTGTGAACTATACGAGATCTGTATGTAGATATCTAACACAATATTTGTGATTTTATTTTGAAGAATGTCTTAATACGTTGCCGTGCACGGAATTAATGACCGTAAGCACAATTTGAGTATCGTTCATGCAAAGAAAATGTCTTCTCAATTTTTATATAAGAGTATAAGGTGAAAATATTTCCGTGTTTTTTATTTGATAAACAGCATAATATATTGTATATATCTTAAAACCAGTCACCTATTGTGTCTGTACAAATTCATGTGGTATGAATATAACTTTGCATTATAATTTCCAAATGTTTTGTGCATATTTTTTACATATTAACTATAAGTAACACACACAAGATTTGTAATAGTACATATTGGTAAAGGGGAAATTTCTGTGACTTAAGAATACAATCCCATTGTTATGTATTACTTATACCATTGTTTGGCTAAGTAACACGGACTGAAAGTACATAATTAGAATGCAATAAAGTGTAAAAACATTTACATACTTATTAAAAACTAATACACGAAAGATTCTGCTATTACTTCTTATACTGACGTGGTTTACTTATTCGTGAATACGTTTTATTTCATTGTTTTTATACATTGTACCACATAATGTACACTTACTGTTTTTGATAGTTGTTAATAATTTTCTACAAGTAATATGTTTGCATGGAAGTTCATAAAAAATTCCATTTGGACAGCAAGTACAATTCAACCTAGAACTTGCACTATTATTCACTTCTGGAATACTATCAAACCGCTTTAGATGCGGTATAATTGTACTAATATCAACACTTGTATCAATATCAGTACAATTACTGTTTACTTCACCTTTCACATCTTTGCTCGATGACTCAACCGAATCGAAAATCTTTCTTTTCTTTGTTGGTTTTGCCAAAGTGGAAGCAGTTCTTTTATGGGGTATCACAACAACTGGCAATTGATGACAGGACTTCTTGTTCCCTTGTGTGGTTGTTACAGAACAGTGCAACTTTGGCTTACGATCATTTGAGGATTTATTGAACACAGTCTGATGTAACAAATACTTGGGAATATCTGTAGTTGTTTTTTCTGTTATGCCTAAAGATAATGTACGACCTAAAACCCTTGGCAATCTCTTGACCTCTTCTGCATTACTATTTTCAAGTAGAAATTTATCTATTCTCATTTTCAATGCAGTTGCTACAACAGGTTTGCGATCTTCACTAAATGATAAACCAGTGAAAGGATCCGTCAGCCTTCTTCCCCACAATGCCTCAGTTTCTTCATGCTTTTGTAAAGTACTCTGATCAATAATCTTTCCACTGGGCAATAAGATAGGCTGTGTCATGATTTCCCAAGTAATGGCATCTAAGAAAGGCTCTGGTACTTGTAAGGATGAGTCTAATGCTTCTCCAAAGCTGTAACACATTTGTACACTAAATGATTCGCACTATACTAATGAATTATTTAGTCTTAACATCCATTATATTCACCTGCTATTTACAACAGTAATAGGAAGAACCAAACGTTGAGATTTATCTATAGAGTTAGATGAAGAAGACTGTTCCTCAGATTGTTCTCTTTTTACAGACTTAAACTCATGGAATTCATGTTTACACCACAATGTAGATATACTAGCAATAATGTCCTTCCCACAACGCGATGAAACACTTCCCCATACTTCAATTTTTCCTAATGCAGGTACTGAGTTATCTGTTTTGCATATGCATATCCGTAGATTATTTATATACGTCGCTAAATATCTTACGGACGGTTTTATATGCCGTTTCAGAAAATTTTCAGGAACCGAGAGTGTTTCGTGATTAACATTCGACTCGCAAAGTAGCAATCCAGAATTCGAACGATCCAAAAATCCACTGGCCAACATGGTATAAGGCATACTGGCATCATTGCTCGTTTTAGCGTACAATTGAAAGCCTGATGATCTTTGGGAGCCAACATGGGGCCATATCAAAATATGACTGATAGATACATTGCAAAGAAAGGTGATATCGATGTTCACAGGGGGTTTAATGCAAGCGTACGCTAAGAAACCTTTGTCAGAGTTGGTTATTAAGTTAGACACTTCGTACCCTTCTGTGCTGATGGTGCTACACTCAATTTCTGGCCTCAAACGAGGATCACAGAAATTAATCAACATTTCTCTGTCATAAAGACACAATCGACGACAACATTCTTGGGAAAGAGGGGGAGAAGTCCACAATTTAAAAAATTCTCGACCACTAGCCAATTGCAGACATCTTTACCATCTTTACGACGTAAAGTTTACGTTCACCTGTCGGTATAGTTTCACATCAAGTTTGAGCGTTTGACCACGAATGGCACCAGTGTAGTACCCGATGTTTCAGATAAGAGAGATGTATGAATAGACATGATGTCATGAAACATGAAACGGAAAAGTATATATTTTTTCACTTAACTACAAGACAATTTATTCTAAATACATCGTTAATGGACATTTTATTAATGTTACTTTTTACATGTTCTTGTTTTATTCGTTTTTATATTATGCCTTACATTTGTATATTTTTAACAGATAAATTCAGAATAGATGTAGCTTCATAAAGAGTCTATCAAATCTTTTTACACAAATATTATGGTACTAAAAAATTGCTCCTGATCTGTTTTATAATTATCAATAGTCAGATATCTCAATAACTTTGCTCGCGAGGGTACATCTCACACACACGGGGTCTCTGGCGCGTCCTCCGGGGGCTCCATGACCCCACGGTCACACCACACTGGGTCTCTGGCGCCACCGGAAAATAATTGGCGCCGAGGTAACGTCGGGTACTGACACTAAAATGGTAAGGGGGCTTCTGACGTTCTCGAAGCATGGGACAGAAAATTACATTGCATGTTAGTTCTATTCTTATATCTGGTCTGTGATGCTGTTCCATATCCGACTTGTGATAAAACGCTGTTCACCTATGACTCGGTCGGTTACATGGCTGTACACACAAGAATGGTGGTTAGTAGATTTAGTAGTTACTGGACGGTGGTTAGTAGATTTAGTAGTTACTGGACGGCGGTTAGTAGATTTTCTTTATTTGCGAGATGGTAGTTAGTAGATTTAGTAGTTACTGGACGGTGGTTAGTAGATTTAGTAGTTACTGGACGGTGGTTAGTAGATTTAGTAGTTACTGGACGGTGGTTAGTAGATTTTCTTTATTTGCGAGATGGTGGCGCCACCGGTCGAAAAAATAGTGGTATTCCACGATTAAATGCGATTTTAACAGCGTTCTGGTTGTTTATTGTTATTATCAATAACAGTGGATTAATCTACGTTCTTTCAGCTACAAGTCGAGTGCTTGGTCAAGACGAATCAGCCGTTATAGGGTACCAATCTACATTCTTTAAACTTCGAATGTCATGCATGACGAAGAAAACTGTTGTCTGTTTAGTGGTTATGTGATTGCAACAGGTGTCGATCGGATTTACACTGCTAAACAAGTATCAGTTTTCCTTGACATGGATTACATTCGAAGTTTAAAGAACGCAGATTAGTACTCTCTGGCAGGTGGGAACCAGTAATTACAAAAACATTGTTAAAATCTCAATTGTTTGCAACGGTTGACAGTCTATCTCGTGATGCGTACCCCATTTAGTTCACTTTAAATAGCTCTTCCAACGTTCTATGGACACTTTATGTCTTGATCAAGCATTCAGTTTGAAGCTAAAAGAACGTAGATTAATCTCCTGTCATTGAAAATAACAATAAACAACCAGAACACTGTTAAAATCGCATTTAATCGCGGAATACCACGACTTTTTTGACCGGTGGCGCCATCCGCGGCGAACAGCTGAAACTGCTAGCCAATTATATGGCTACCAGTTTCATCGATTCGCCACGGATGGCGCCACCGGTCGAAAAAAATAGTGGTATTCCGCGATTAAATGCGATTTTAACAGTGTTCTGGTCGTTTATTGTTATTGTCAAAGACAGGAGATTAATCTACGTTCTTTAAGCTACAAATCGAATGCTTGGTCAAGACGAAAGTTGTCAGGATAACGTTAGTGTCAGTATAACGTTGTATGACTTGTCCAAAGTGAACTAAACGGGGTACGCATCGCGAGATAGAGTGTCAATCGTTGCAAACAATTGAGATTTTAACAATGTTCTTGTAATTACTGGTTCCCACCTGCCAGAGAGTACTAATCTGCGTCCTTTAAACTTCGAATGTAATCCATGACGAGGAAAACTGATGCTCGTTTAGCAGTGTAAATCCGATCGATACCTGTGGCAAGTACATAACCACTGAACAGGCAACACTTTTCTTCGTCATGCACTACATTCGAAGTTTAAAGAATGTAGATTAGTACCCTATAACGGCTGATTCGTCTTGACCAAGCACTCGACTTGTAGCTGAAAGAACATAGATTAATCTCCTGTCTGTGGCAATAACAATAAACGACCAGAACACTGTTAAAATCGCACTTTATTTGCAACGGTTGACACTGTATCTCGTCATGCGTACCCCGGTTAGTTCACTTTAAATAGCTCTTCCATCGTTCTACGGACAAGTTACACCTTGATCAAGCATTCAGTTTGAAGCTGAAATAACGTAGATTAATCTTCTGTCATTGAAAATAACAATAAACGACCGGAACACTGTTAAAATCGCATTTAATCGCGCAGTACCACTTTTTCGACCGGTGGCGCCATCCGTGGCGAAACGCTGAAACTGCTAGCCATATAATTGGCTAGTAGTTTCAGCGATTCGCCACGGGTGGCGTTACCGGTCCTAAAAATAGTGGTATTCCGCGATTAAATGCGATTTTAACAGTGTTCTGGTCGTTTATTGTTATTATCAATAATAGTGGATTAATCTACGTACTTTCAGCTACAAATTGAGTGCTTCAGCTAAACGAAAGCTGTCCGCATAACGGTATAAGAGCTGTCCAAAGTGAACTAAACAGGGTACGCATGACGAGATAAAGTGTCAACCGTTGCAAATAAAGTGTGATTTTAACAGTGTTCTTGCCGTTTATTGTTATTGTCAATGACAGGGGATTAATCTACGTTCTTTAAGCTACAAATTGAATGCTTGGTCGAAATGAAAGGGGCAATGGTTTGAGATATAAATCGTTAAGATACGTTAATATGCGGCGCCAATTATTTTCCGGTGGCGCCAGAGACCCAGTGTGGTGTGACCGTGGGGTCATGGAGCCCCCGGAGGACGCGCCAGAGACCCCGTGTGTGTGAGATGTTCCCTCGCGAGCAAAGTTATTGAGATATCTGACTATTGATTATTATAAAACAGATCAGGAGCAATTTTTTAGTACCATAATATTTGTGCAAAAAGGTCATTTACTACCTATTTTGTTAACAAGTTGTTACTTTTTCTTTTGTGAATATCTCATTAATTAGTAACGGTGCTGGGGGAGCAACTTCAGATTCGGAAGGAGTAAATTGAGAGCAATTTTTTGCGACATAAATCGTTAAGATACGTTAACATTCGGCGCCAACTATTTTCCGGTGACACACACGCGCTTTTCCAGAGTCTTTTACTATTCTTTGTATGTACCTCCTCGTGTACAATCAGCTGTTAAATTGTTAATCGGCTATCATTTCCTTTTCGCGTAAAACCCACGTTCTAACAAGGGAATTATTTGCGATGGATAATTTCTTAGTACTAAGCTACGAAATACTAATATTCGGCGCCAATTATTTTCCGGTGGCGCCAGAGACCCAGTGTGGTGTGACCGTGGGGTCATGGAGCCCCCGGAGGACGCGCCAGAGACCCCGTGTGTGTGAGATGTTCCCTCGCGAGCAAAGTTATTGAGATATCTGACTATTGATAATTATAAAACAGATCAGGAGCAATTTTTTAGTACCATAATATTTGTGCAAAAAGATCATTTACTACCTATTTTGTTAACAAGTTGTTACTTTTTCTTTTGTGAATATCTCATTAATTAGTAACAGTGCTGGGGGAGCAACTTCAGATTCGGAAGGAGTAAATTGAGAGCAATTTTTTGCGACATAAATCGTTAAGATACGTTAACATTCGGCGCCAACTATTTTCCGGTGACACACACGCGCTTTTCCAGAGTCTTTTACTATTCTTTGTATGTACCTCCTCGTGTATAATCAGCTGTTAAATTGTTAATCGGCTATCATTCCTTTTCGCGTAAAACCCACGTTCTAACAAGGGAATTATTTGCGATGGATAATTTCTTAGTACTAAGCTACGAAATACTAATATTCCGCGCCAATTATTCTTCGGTCTCATTTCCTCTCTGATAAAACTTTTATGATGTATATATTGCAAAAAAATATACGAATAACATGTATATATACACTTCTTATATTGAAGAATACTTTTAATGCAACTAGTGTAAATATTTGTATCTTTTTAAAGGAAATTTTGCAATAAAAGTAAATCCAACATTTATTTCATTGTAAATTGTATTGAATATTTGTAATAGAAAATTGAATTCTTTAATATGACCTTCAATAGCCGTGATCGTCTAGTGGTTAGGACCCTACGTTGTGGCCGTAGTAACCCAGGTTCGAATCCTGGTCACGGCAATGTGAAAACATTGTCACGGAGAAGGTATAATTTTTTTCAATATTTTTCGGTAATTGCATAATTGTAAATTTACAACGTACTATACAGAAGTTATTATTATTTATAAAAACTTAATTTATTATTTGCGATGTTGCATAATTAATTTTTTAGAAACAAAAAATATATTACAATAGTTTTTACAAATCACAATTGACTTATGAAGGTGAATAATACATGTTTATTTTATTTAAATGATGTCACATTTATACGAAGAAAAGTCGATATTGCATTAATCGTCTGAGTGCTGATGTAGTTGATTACAACTTATGCATCGAAGTGCTTATGAGAAATAAACAATATACATTTTTGTAAATTGTCAGCAAATTCCCCATTTCACAGTAAATAAATCTCAGGTGCAATTCGGCGCGATGCCAGTTTTAAATATTAGCCGCTCAAAGCATTATCATTGTACCGTTGTGTAATTCTTTTAATATCGATCGTTTCTTTCAAATATGAAACAAAGTCGACTTGTATTGTTAATCTTCATTTTATGTTTTGTGGGACAGTATAAATATAGTGCATTTTGTGCAAAATCTAACAATGTAAAGAGATCTATTCCATTAAAAAATAAGCTTTCAGATATAGACAATGATCATAAAGGTAAAAAAACGTTTAGTACAATTTTCCCATGTAAAAAAATTGTTTTAATTTTATCTAGAAATTTTACTGATGAATTTACTGTTCTACAAATTCTAAATAGAACACTCTGGAACAGAAACAACAGCACTAGACATAACTACAAATACTGATGACTTAACAAAAGTAGATCGAACTTCACGAAGTACTTTAGGATCCAGACGACATCTAAAAGTGGGTAAGAAAAGAAAACATATTTCGACACGCAATTTGATTCACTCGCGTATTATCTTATGCTCTTTTCCTAATTGTCAGATGATGCCAATCAAGTTGCAAAATATTTCCTTGGTGGAGGGCCATTAAAAGGTCACTCGCACTTTGTAAGGGCATCGAATTGTGATTCAAACAATGATGAAAATAATGTGGTTGGGATGAGCAATCCAACGGATGAGAATGACGCAGTTTTGTCTGAGAATGAAGAAAATGCTAATGCAAATTCATCTGATTCTATTGTTGATGCTCCACATATTCCTGGATTATATTCTGCGCCAGGAACTGCACCTATAGTCCAACCATTTTCTTTATTGCATCCACCTTTAAATACGTTACCTCCAGTCATTCCACATATTCCTGTTAGGGGCAGTTTATTACATTCACTTGTACATGGTCTACTTCAGGCACACTCACAGATACATCAAGCATTTTCACCAACTTTACCATTACATCACCTTGCAGATACACCACTTGTTGGAAGTCCAAAACCAGTAAGTAATATTGTAGAACACTGAAGTACAGTCTAATTTTTAATTGATAATATTTATTTTTTTGCTCCTTTTTCTTTCAGTTGTTACATCATCGTAAGGCTAAAGTGAATTTTGTGAATGACTTAGCATATTCACATGGACAATATATACCTCTATTAGGAGCATCTCCTACAAGATTCAATAGTAAAGTACGTACATTATAACAAAGTTTCAACACTGAATAAGAATTTTATGTTTCTAATTTACAGAGTCCAGTAACACACATGATTCACCCTGATTATATTCCACATCTTCAACCTACTGGATACATTTTAAAATATGTACCTCATAGTAGAGAATCACTGTCCCCAGTTGTTGGTTCACCACAACAATCTTCTGACTGTATAAATGATAATTCGGACACAGAACAAAACTTAGGTTCTGTTGATAATGAAGATGACACAGATGTAACTCAGTAGGATGAAGTACAAGATAAAAATTAAAATGTCTGTTGGAAGTGCCATATGGTAGTACAAACTTCAAGAGTAACTTTTAAAGGTATATACTTGCTGCTTCAAGATAAACAGAAGTACTTTTTAACTATTTGTAGAGTAAAAGTATGCAAATGGTAGCAACAAATTCAATGTGTAAGAACTGTATTAAACAATAACTTGTACATGTGTACAATATTCAGTTTAAATCTGTTTGTTTGTAACTTCATACAAAATGTAATATAATTTCTTTTTGTACATAAGAACAATTCTCATTTCAACATTAAAGTCCACATAAGTAAGAAGTAGTTGCGAACTCTATTGCCGTCCTTTTCCTTTCCCTTTTCCTTTTCCTTTTCCCTTTTTAGATAATGCGCTTGATGATTGAGAAGACTGTTCACCTATTGACTGTTTACCTTGGCGAGTTTTTAACTTTGGAATGGTAGTGCCTAGGTAAAGTAAAAGGGAGTTTCTAGTGGGATAATCAGGTTTCATAGGAGTACCATCATCATCTTTCAACTGTACACGAATACGACCACGATATATTAGCTCTTTGCTACGTTCCTTTGGGTGCACTTTATTTTCTACACCAACGTTGAAACCAGCTGCCACTAGAACTTCACGGATCTCTAGATGTGTAGGGTTCTCGACACATTTGTCCTTCGCAAGTTTCCGGCCTCCTGCCAGCGTTCTCTTGCTGTTTATGTAAACTGGATAAATACAGACCCACCTGTAACAAAAATAAAATCTGTCAGTTTCACGTCAGAGAGGTTATGAAGCAGATGGTCGTGGCGTAATACGTACTTTAGTAAACTTGATTTCGGAAACATTACTTTTAAATTGTCATGATTAAAATATATGTGAAATATGTGACGATAAATGATCCAATACTCGAATAAACATACCTCTCTCGATCACTATGTTTTTTTGACGGATTCCAAGCGACCGCCATGTTTAATGTGTAAATCGATAACACGCAATTTTCAACTTCAACATCTGTATTATACAAATGGTCTGTTTCCGTGTAAATAATAAGCGCGTCGAAAGCGTTATTAGAATGAAACGAATACGTATTGATAATATTAAAATTTTAATGGTGTTGAAAAAAGATGAGAAAATAAAAAATAAAATCATGTGGGCTCGTCCGGGATTTGAACCCGGGACCTCTCGCACCCGAAGCGAGAATCATACCCCTAGACCAACGAGCCAGGTAATAATCACCTTTTAGTATAATACTTATAACATTACAACAACAATATTGAATGTGATTATTCATTTAATGATGATCATTAAAAATACAGTGATAGTAAAATGTTTTATAATACATTAAATAATTATTTTACACATTGATAAGTACAAATTGGCATGTTACCATACAGTACTTTTATCCATTATGTAATATGTACATAATGCATATAAGATATTAATACCGTTCACCATTCTACACCCACGGTCAATATTAGATATGAATTAAAAAACCTGAATTACAAATGTATTCTGTTTATGTTATATTAATTGTTACATACGTTTTTTGTAAATTTTTTAACGGATTGGACGCTTGAAAGGTAGGATTGTGTCATCTAACGACTGTAACATGATATTAATTGGCTAGTAGCTTGGACATTTTGTCGTAGATGGCGTTATGAATCATTTTGATTATTTTTGAATACAAAAAAATTAATTCAGTGGAATTCAAAAAACAACTTACTATTATTAGAAAAATATTCTATTTTTTAATAGTTTTTCCTATTTTTATGTATGTACATATGTAGAATAATTTTTGCTTTCTTTTACACCTGCAGTCAATATTGGATGACAGAGATGAACGCTTACTTTGACTATCGATGTACAAAACAGAAAACTTTCATGATTTATAAATTAATGAAAATTTGAATTATTACAGTACTTTCTTAAAACTTATAACTTCGTCAATATTTCACGTTACACGTAAAGAAGAATAGTAAGGTACTAAATGTCCGTTAAATTAACAAGTTTAATTATCCAATGTTTGTATTTTTATTGTTACTATGTACACCTCATGATTATGAACTTATTACTTCACGTTTTCGATTTACCTACAATTAGTAGACAATAATATCAGAAATAATTATATATTATGTACATTACAAGCTGTTATATTGATTAATCATACAAAAATTTTACTGAAGTTAACACAGAAAACGCAAAAATCAAAGAAAAAGAAAAACCTGTAGAACCAGTTACGGATATTAATTTGAACTTTAGAATAAATTTATGTAATATGGATTGACATTAGGCTTACTTTATAAGATTCAAACATTCTATCCTAAAGCGTGAGACACGCAGTTAATTGATCCACGTACGATACACAATGTATACATATATGTACATGTATCGTACTCAATTGTACTGTAGTATCATCATCATTTGCTTCTTAGATTCTTCCTTGAACCCCGACCCATTCGATCGATGTTCCGATCACGATGACATGATACTCAAGCAGTATTAGTCAAGCGACTGTTACATGCAATTTTGTTTACCGAGCAAATTCCATTCAAGACAAGTTTGATGACATGCAAAATTGTAATCTTTCTTTGGCTACTATCAAATAATGTTTATCACAAATTGTTAGACTTTTTTAATCATTCTACCAATAAGTAATCCTCCACTGTTTGCTTTTAACATGTATTTTTTGGGTACCCCCAAACTTTGTTCAACGTCAGTATTATACAGTACGTACAAGAAGTATTTGTACACCGAGGGTTTCTTACATTAAATAAAATGGATTGTAAAAAACTATAAAATGAGAAACTAAAAATTTATAAAATTATTTTTAAAAAGTTGTTGCGCGATAATACATTTAATCAACTATACGTCCTTTTCTCTAAAACCTTACACCATTTTGTCAATAGACAGGTGAGACATAGGTTTCTTAGATTTACATCATATCCTCGACTCATTAAAAATATAGTAAATTGATTATAATTTTATCAGGGGCACATTTCATATATCTATATAAACGAGTCTTGAAAAGTGGATCAAAACGGACAATGTGAAATTTTATGGTTTCACTGAGAAAGATAAAATTGATATTGAAATCTCTTTAAATAAGAATTTTACTAAAAAAAGTAATTCTGGTATTTTCAAAATCTACGACAGCATGTGTGCGTTTTAATCGAACGTATGAGTCGATAACTATTACCCGTAAATGTCGACGTAACTGTGGTGGAAACAGCTGATAGAACCGATAGAAGTATGTAGCATGTAGTAAAATATTAGAGAAACTGAAATGAGAGAGGTGTATTTTGCCATCAGTCTCGACTTTCACTATGCGGGCTCATTGCGCGGTTAATGAGCAATTATCGATACAGAGGTGAAAGTGAACATTCAGCGTGGTTTACTTTCGCGCAGATCGTGATGGTAATAGGATCATTGTGCGCAGAATGTGTTTCAACGAGCTCTAATTTGCAGATTACTTAAGAGCACAATGTAAGGAAAATGTCGATGAAATGGATATTGCTATCGTTTTGCATCATGTATAGTGTTTTAAACATGCAAACGAGTCCGTTGAACACTTCATACTAGTAGCTATTATATTAATATTTACACATTATCATGTTTAAATAAGCACGTGTGTTTATTTGTGTACTGTGGTGGATAGCCAAGAATGAATTTACAGGTGTAAAAAACTGTTCCAAGATATACTTTAGGACAAATGTAGATAGTAAGTAAGTAAAATAAACAAAATAAACAGTAATCGAATAAGTATTTGATTGCAATTTTAAAAATCTTTGCATTTGATTTTTAGGGTTTCTTGGACTTTTTCAACTCATCTGTTTGATTCAATTTCTAAAATAAATGTTTAATATTTAATAAATTATGTATACTGTTTGAAATACTTTTTTTTAACCATTATTGACAGAAAATATTTATATTTTTTCTTCTATACCGGCGCATTATGTTTTTAATTTCTTCAAATACAAATTTGGTTAGATGCTGAGATATTGGTAAACATATATCTACATATAGTACTGTATATGGTAATACAAATTTTCTTCCGTGTATGTTCACTCTTTAAGGTTTCGAATTTAAATAACTGAATAATTGAAAAAACTTACTAATTTTCATAACAAATATTATTTTTGTACGAGATAAAATTATTTATTTAATACCTTCGTTTAATGAAATGTTAATCGTGAAGAGATTTATAGTAAATTATACCGTACAAACCTAAACATATTATCTATTTAAATAATCTGTCTGTTAATCATTGAAATTAAAGACGAATGAAAATCACAGCGGGGAGAATCGAGAAACAAGAAAAGACTTCATCATACTGAATGGCTAATGTCACATTTGTGTCGTTTACGCGTCGTGTGGAAGTGCGTAACAATGGAGTGCTTGAAGTAAGTTAATTAATTACGTCGAAATGACGAATATTTTAACCGATTCATTATTCGATAGGTCAGGGTGCGCAGAATATATCTGTGTAATGGACAATGGTGTAAATCATGGGAGCGAGTGAGTACATATCTGATTACAATTCTATAACATGGTCGAATGTCACAAAATCCGTAGTGATTATCTGTTATTTTATCAAGAACTATTTGATAAGAAATATAATTGGTATAAATACTGAGTTGTATGTTATAATATGTTCTGAATACATTTTATACAGGATGAGTCACCTAACGTTTGCACCTCAAATATCTTTGTTGTTTTTCAAGATACGTCAAATGTCTTAAGGACAAAGTTGAATGATTCAATGGGGCTCACACGATGCCAACAAAATTCTTGTTTTTGTGATTTTTTTTAGAGATATCAAGGTAACCTTCATTTTTTTAAATGGAACCACCCTGTCTTCCGTGACCTGGAATGACCTTGAATAATTATAGTCACTGAATTCCTAATGAAAGGGACTATCATTGTATGTGTTTAGAAAGGGCGATTCCACTTTAATATTTGAGGTGCAAATGTTACGTGACTCACTATACGTACTGTATATACGATAATAAATAAATATATACACGGTAATGATACAATTATAATATTGTAAATATAAATTATAATATTATTACAATCATTATTATGATAAAATAGAACTTCAAATATAAAAATATAATTATCTAACTTTAATCCACTGCTTCACTGTTTTGTTAATATAAAACAGATAATTATGTAAAACAATAATATCTGTAGTACATTCAGTCACACATCAATAGAGACTGCAAAGAATAAACATTTCAATGTTAGCGGCATCGAAGATATCTTTATTTTCAGTATTAATTGCTTGATAGGTCCACAACTGATAATGTCGTAACTATTATAATGTAACTACATAGTTCTTATCACGAAACGTATCAATTCCGAGAATTATTGATTTGGTATTATTGACACATCATGAGACCCTTGAGATTGAGTATTTGTGCAGCGATAATAGAAATTAACGGTATATACTTTTCAGGTAATTGTTAAGTTAATATTTTGTAAAATAAATTCTATTGAATTTTATATCACATTATGAAAAGAAATCTTAATGAAACAAATGAAATAATAAAATAAACTGAAACAATGTAATATCGAAAGAAGTATGACCAAGTAGTAGACGATTTTATATAAAAAGTTGATCACATAACTTATATTTTTAACCGTTACAAGTTACTCACTATTTATGTCGATCTTTAGCCTTAATGCAATAATTCTAATATTGTGTTTCTACGGTGGCCCGTGATATTGCATAATTCCACAGCTTTCCTTGATATTTAAATGGCCTTTCTGCACCAAAAACGTCGGCCTCAAAGCCGATTTCCACGGGGACGAAGTTACAAGAATCTGGCAGGGGTATGCGTTCGCTGGTTGGATCCGTGTGCACGTCAGTCACGTTTGCGATCTGCTCGTGATCGGAAGGATCGTTTTCACTGAACGAAATTGATTCCAGAAGGAATCGTTTGTTTGATTTTTTTTTATTCTGTGTGAGACAGTGTTTTCTCGCTAACTAAAATCTTGATCCTCCACGAATACATGGACAATCGTTGTTGCTCAGTATTATTGTTGATCAATAGGCCGAATCACTTTCATTCCCAATGGGTAGTCCACATTCGAAGGATATCCGTAACGGACCAAGAATTTGCAAGGTGTAAGTGACAAACTTTGTGTGTGGGGATCGATGGATATATAATCTGTTATGCAATGCTGAAATACTTTTATAGGAACAGCAATGTAAATGTTCGAGAAGCATTGAAATAATACGAGTTACATTTGTGCGATTTTTGTGAACCAGTTGCATTCTACTTGAGGGCCATTTATATCTCCCCCATGCACGATTGCAAAGTTTTCTATATGTAAACGATTAAACCATTAAAAAAACGCGACATAACAAGCCTCTTCGTTATCCGACAATTCAGACAAAACAAAGATACGACCAGTTATCGCACTTCGCCTTCATAGCAAGAGTAAGAAATGCTATCACGCAGTTGTCATTACCAAATTTGTAAAAATATTTATTGTTCGAATCATTCATGTCACGTTCGAATAAAATTGTAAAGAATTTTTATTTGCAATCAAATAATAACACTCGCTTGTTAAGCAGGAAAAAATTCTAATATTCATTTATTCCAGAACTCAATCTAATGGGGTTTGTTGATTCTTTTTTGTTGTCTAAAAATAAGTTATTCGGAATGGTTGGAAGGAATTACGCGATTGCTTACCACCTGTACATTTTGGTAAATGTCGAACACTGTGCAACTTTTTGATAATCGTTGACCTTCGTCAATGTTTTATCGCGATTAAAATTTCGTATTATTCTCCGACTGCGTATGTTTTTATTGACTCAAGATAGATATTTCCCCTTCTTTGTGGCGTGACTAATTTTTGTATATGCCCCTTGCATTGTTTCTCCTGAAGAAATATTAGTTTTCTTATCCAGTGACTTGTTGACATGTAACAGTTTGTGAAAATGATAATTATATTTTGAGACAGTTACAACTACAAAGTCGATATTACGTGTTGAGAAGACATGCAATGACTCATATTCAACACCGTGGAAACACTTTCTGTTTGCAGGAGGTCATTGGGTCACATTTTTTGATCTTACAATAGAAGGCCAGAAAACATAACCGACTGCGCGCTCAAAGACGCTGAAAAGTATTGTCCTTAGGACAGAAAAATCAATATTTTTAAATTAAAAGAAAAAAATAACCAGCATATGTATTTCATCACGGCGCATATTTTTTGTTTCTGTAACTTTTTTATCAGATCATTTTTTATTCAGATAAAAATTAAAAACTGGAAAATTTTATCGAATTAAAATCGGTGTTTTTAAAAATATAACTCACGATAAGTCAGTCAAATATGAACAAAATCGATTGAAATTTTAATTGCGAACTTCCTTGAACCCTACGGAATTTTCTATTCTAGACAAAATTCTGTAACGTCACTATAATAGTATTTGAATGTATATGTAGTTCGATCCGTAGATCACACGATAACAGGTTGCTGACCTGTGATCTATGTACCATCGACCATCGTACGACATGTGCAGAGAGTAAAAGTTTAAAGACGTAAGAAATGTTGCGATTACATTATCATGCCCATTTTTTCGTCCATTCGCGAATGACGATCGAAACATCAAAAATATCTTGAAATTTAGCGCTGAATATTCAATGTGACATGAATATTAATTATTTTGACAGTATTCAAATTTTTAAATACGCAAAGCGTGCAAAAACTTATTGATATTCGAATGAAAGACATCTAGGGATATCTATTATACAACTTTTCGCGCTGCATGTGATCCTGTTACTACAATAGTCTGTCCGTCATCTAATCAATATATTTCCTGAATGAAATTACAGTTTGTCTTTAGAAAAATATTACCCACTATTTCCTGATTATATGGCAGAAAAGTTGATTGAAATAGATGAAATATTTGTTCGATATCTTAAATGTCCAAGAACTGTTGATGGCGCGGGACAGTCAGCGTTGCAACTCTGATATCACGTGAACGCTATGTCTAGTGACTTATCGTCATGACGCGATATAGTGATCTGAGAGCTGCTTAACTTTGTTCAGGGTGATGGACACAACAGTTTATTGAGCGATGTCAGATAGAACGAGAGGCATCGTACACGGAAACCGCGAATATGTCCTCGAAACGCTTGTTAAAACGGTTAGAGTGTCACTTTGCTAGGTTTCTCCGTCAATCGAGTCATTTGCGTTGTGCTACCAGAGACCTTGAACCTGACACCTGGCAGCATGATCAGCTGCGCGAGAGGTAAAGCGGTGGACTTTGAATTTTTACGATTTGATCTGACGCCATTGTGAAAAAACTATTCTTTGTCTTGACGACATGGTGTCAAAACTATTTATAGTCTTATGTATGTGTTATTTATGCATGTGTCTATGTCACTTTGAGTTTTTTCTCCACTGAAAAGAGAACATTGAAGTCTAACAATCCTCTAAGTTTCGTTAACAGAGCATCGATAAATAATGATTATAGTCATTGGCATGAAACGTGATTCCTGCGATCGGGTTTTTTGGTACGAATGTAATGGTTATACAGATTGTCTAAAGTGAAAAACGATGGTAAATTCTTAAAGTGGATGAAAAACTTAATCTCTATCATAGAACATATGAAAATGACTGTATCGTGTTTATCTTTCAATAGCCTGTAATCAAACTTAGAATTCATTAGTTTTATGTTTACTTTTCATTGATTTTCTTTTTTTTGTTGTTGCCATTATTGGAATTTATTTTAAATTAAATTCACTTCAATTTGACAATTTCCTCTGTAACCAAATAAGAATCAATTACCGAACAAATAAGTGAGTAAAAAACGATTTAAATCTTTAACCGTTAAAAACGTGGGCTTTTTCAATCGCAGAATAGTTGTGCAATCTTTTCCTGTGATTCAGCAATATAAAAAACTACATAGTAACAGTACATTGCCTTGGAAAAATCAGCTGATCGAATCGATTAAACTACTTTTAGATCTGCCTCTCGCATTACCTACTTTTCGATCATTTCAAAAAACTGTTCCTGTTTGCTGAATGTGAGCTATTGTTATTTAGAATGTATTATAATAAGTAGGCGGTATAACTAAGCGGAAAGCCTCTAAAAAAATTTTACTAGCAGCTATATAAAAACATTATTCATGGTCAAATGGCATACAACAAATCGACCGATCCTCACGCGATGGGCGAAAATACGCGACTGCGCGATGTGTGCATTTGCGCTTTAGTTAGTCGTAGTCAGTACCGTATTAAACGCTGTGTGCACCTTCATCTTCGATGATCATTATTTCCTTATAAATCCAATAAACTTAATCACACTTATCGTCACGGTAATTAAAATTTTCAAATTAGTGATCGTCTGTTGCCACAACATTCTGAAAGTGATCGATAGCTTCACCCTGCGATAAACTGTTTCATCACGTATTTATCGTTCCCTGACTGTAGTTGTTTGTTGATATTTGAACTGTTTTAGCAGACGAAATTGAAGCTCGAATCTTGTCAAAGAAAAAAGTGACAAAGTTCGACATTGCGTCCATGCAATTTATACGTAACCGAGACTCGCTCCCCACACCCTAACCTCACCTTTGCTCGACACTACTGCGTTCTACCGTACCGACGTTTTTCCTCATTAGCCTTAAACCTTACTCGTCGTTTGCAGGATCCAAACCAGTAGTCAGTTGGTCTGCGACAACAAACCTTCGACCATGTCAAGTATCGAGAGGGATCAACTCGGCGCCCGGGGAAATGGGGATGCCCTATGCACGGGGATGATCCGCGGCTTAGATCATCTAAAAAATCCACGATTAAATAAGGTACGCTAACATTACGTGTTTCAATGAAACGATTAATTACCAGAGTTTGCTACACCGACAAATGGTCTGATAGTCCAACGTCTGATACTGACGTGCTTCGTGCTTGGTCATTTCTATCATTTCCGAATGAATTAGTTATATACACATTTTACCGCCTAAGAATATCTAACGATCATAGATGCGATAAGCATTGACAGTTACTCGTTCGTGATAATAGTTGTTGCGACAACTGTCACCTTATCAAAGGCCGACTCGTAGACATCTAAATGATAACTTTCCCGCAGAAAACAATGAAAATATCCGACTTCCTACAGCCCGTTTTTAAACGCGAAATTTGTATTTAAATTAACAGAATCGTTCCTTGTGACCCGGCTAACAGAAAACTTTCCGTTATTTTAAAAGATATTGGCTATGCGAAGAGTAGAGAATATAAATGAAAGAATTTTTCTTAGAATAAAATATAAACGACGTTTTCCAAGTCACTTGGTATGTTATAATATGTTGTATAATATATGACTTGTAATTTAAATAATATTTAACGATAATTCAGAATATTTGATATACTTGTTTGTATTTTGATATTTAATATAAATCATGCACGAAGTGATAATAACTATAGGGAGACTGGTATTTAAATAGCAGAAAATCATAAGTTGTTAATTTCTGATGCAAACAGGAGGACCATAAAGCGTTTTAAACAAAGTGCTTTCGTTGCATCAGTCACGTAGTCGTCGCGTTTCCACGAAATTTACTTTCACGGCACAGAAAGTTAGTAAATGGAACCAACGTGTACAATCAGTTGAGAATGATGAAATACAGGGGCATAAAAGTGTTTGAAGAGCGCTGCGTTAGTCACACTTATAAAACATTTATGCGATGTCAGTCACCTGATCACAACGTAAATGTACATCGATCGTACGAACGTTTTTATTCGAAATCGTCTAGTGTCATGGAACATTTTTTATCGTATCTAATTTTTTTTTCTACGCTTTATAAAAAATATATTTCTCAACTACGACATACGAATAATTTGAAATAAATTTGGAATATCACGTTGTTTTAAATGCAATTAATAATAATATTAGTGTCAGTTTAGTATTATTCTACTAGAAATAGAATATTAATATATCACTGATATATAACAGATATACTACTAGTGTATAGCAGATGTGATAGTGCCATACTACTTATACAAGTAGCACATGTATACATATTATACTACAGTCATGGTACTTGTATTCTTCAAGTATGTTGCTAATATTTTTGCATTATACTACTTGAGAATATTAGATACAGTAGCAATTTGACTTTATAGTAACATACTAATTTTACTAATGTACTCACGATACATACGGAACAGCAATGCACTGTTCATATTCTTCGTTCGACTCGATTCACGACTCTTTCTTTTTATACAACGTTGTAACGCAGTACCGTTCACGATTAGACCTCGAAACTAATTTTCTCGATGACTCTGCAAAGTGGCCGCCAAATGCTCCGCGTGGAAACTTTTGATCACGATTGCGAAACCTTCCCAGAATTTCGCGATTGACGCACATCCTTCGGAGGATAAATCGAACTCCATCCTTATTCACTTTTGGGTCTTTACGCGTTCTTTTCCTCAAATGAAGTATTCAGTGACATTCGGCAATGAGAACTGTTATAACTGCACAATATACAGTACTGATCCAAAATATTCTTACGCCTGGATTGGTTTAATGAAACACAAAGAACTTTGTATCCATTTCACTATCGCTCGTTTCTATCTTCTTGATGATATTCCACACCCTGCTCTTCGCTGTCTTCAGTTTATTTGCAATGTCACTTGTCACAATGTCTTCACCACGAAGAACACACACTGCACAGAACGTTTTTCGATTGAAATCACTGTAACTTTCCACATTTTTACCACGTTAGAGCGAATGTTGTTGCGTCCAGGGACGAACAAGAAATGGTGAAGTAAAAGGTGAACTTCGTATTACTATGCATTCATGAAAAGCAGCTGGCAAAAAGGATGGGCCCTGTTCCCCCGATAATACATATCGTCGGCTGAGGGTCAAAATATATACCTGAGTCCAAACATTCTCATGAACCCCAAAGTCTCATCGTTTGAATAATTCGGAGCGGTATACATATACTGTATATTGAAGAAGATAACGATGTCTTCTCGATATCATCTAAAAAATTCGTCTAATTCTTCGAAAAAGAAATTCGTAACAGTTTTTTCCCTTTCAAATCATCTAATTTCAATCTGGCAGTTAGCAAGCCTTTAACACTAGGAATTACCAAACAAGTCAAAACGACTTGTCAGTACACTCTTGTAACGATGATTAAAATGTTATAATAATACATTTTCTCAGGTCTTTTGCAGCTTTTATTACGATATGAAAGTGAAGAAATTAGTTAATTTATAAATTCTTAAATTTTCAAAAGTTTGTCATGTTTATTGACCAGTTGAAAGAAATATTCGTTTAGCATCTTGGAGAACGTTTTCACAAATATCACACGAAAGAAAATTATAAACTATAAGAGTCTAATATTATATCCTTTGAATGACATTAGTGTTGATATATTAAAAAAGAAAACTTGGTCGACTTGTTGGTTCCCCATACCCAAGGATGCTCCGACTGCAAAGGGTTAAATTCTGTCGTGCATGTGGTTCACGAAAGACCCCACGAAACTAAACCAAACCGTCGTCGACGCAGCGAGATCACGCCGTAGATACGCAAAACCTGCGGTGCATGCACCCCTTGGATTCTTGTAGTAGGTCGTGGTTAGCTTAGTTCGCCGCCAAGAACTCCAAGGGTTGCGTTATTGATCCGCGGTGGCAGACGACGAAGGGTCGCGTCCGCTGGAACTCGAGGACCCTGACAACCGTCTCCACGACCGATTGTTTGGCATGGGACCACCCGAGATCCGGGAAGTTGAACGAACCGAATGATGGACACGGATTGGTGGGACCTTGTTCCGGACTCGAACAGAACGATACGTGTCCCGGAGCCGCTGCTCGCTCTGGATGGAAGGGTATTCGTTTGATCTCTACTTCTACTGGTAGCCTCTGTTCTTTTGTCAGCCGTCTTGCACTGTAATGTCCGCACCGAAAAAGCTTCGGGTCTCAGTGTGTAGAATAAGGTCTAGGACGTTAGGGTGACTTCTGGGTGACCTGGGAACTAGGTTTACGCTGCATTTATCTTTTACGACACCGTGTTCTCGGGTACACCCACGAGCAAACTCGGTTTCCACTAGGGGGAGACCACGGATTGGTCTGTCTCGGGTTAAGTAGTTCTATTTTCCAAGTATCACAATGAGAGTCTAAGCGGAGTTTTTAATGACTCTGACACATACACGATGGTATCTGTACGTTCAAGTGTCTCCGACAGTGTGGAAGTTTTCAAGAGCACAGCGATCGGAGGATATTCTAGGCCACGATAATGCGTGCATTGTAATTTAATTCGACGGGCGATAATTTTCAAGGAAAGAGAATACTTATGTTCTTACCTAAGAAACCTATCCAGACCGCGATTCAATCGTTTTCTGGCTTATCTGTTCATTAATCGCGGGGGATGTGGTTATCTGCTCGTTGATACGTGAATCCATTGCGTGCGGTGTTTTTTGTGGTATCCTCGGTGACACTGATAATCAAAAGGCGTTTATGACTGAACCTATTAGATTTCTTTTTAACACGGCCCCTGTGCCAATCGTTCCCAATTCATTTCGAGCATCTTCGAATCGTTAAATATATTCCAGTTAAGCTTTCAACTAGATGACCAAAGACAATGACAAAGGTGGGAAAAACCTTTATGGTTTTGCTTTAGCGGAATAGATGTACGTTCAATCTTTGTGTTCAGTGAACACAACATAGCCGGTGATTTTCTATCCTCGTTCTCTATTACGACTTATAAAAATCAATTGGTGGGTGTCAGCGATCGGTCTAGCTTGTACGTTCGGAGCAGTGTCAACGACCCTGGTGACTTGTCCACCCGATGGAAAACTACTACTTTCAGCGAGTGCTTTGACCTTTCCATCTGTTTCGATTTAGTTAGAAAGGGACATGTTGACTAATGGAATCGTTTGTGAAAAGGGTCGTCTATGAAAACAAATTAGAAAATTAATATTCAGTGTGTTCGTGAAGCAATATTTCACCCCTCATGGATTCAAATTCTCCGCGACGAAGAAAATTTCTTATAAATTTTTCTTCTAATACTTTTTGTTCCTTGTAAATATCGTGCTGAATGCTTTTAAACTTCAAATAACATTAAAGTTTCAAAGGTCAGGCGTAAATAATGACCGTATGAAACTGTCGCTAATGAGATTTGCATATTGTAAGAATACGAAGCACAAAGTCTTCTTGCGAAGTGACGTAATCATACTCCTATAAACAGTAAAATGTAGCAATTTCGTTTAATTTAGTGACAAGTACGTATCTATAATTCTATTAGTCCAAATGATTTCATAAAATCACCATACAGGAAAGTTAATGCGATATCACGTGTCAATAATTTCTTGTACCTTCAAGTAGTACACCAGCTTGTTCCAACATTTTCCTGTACCATCTTGAATAATGCAGATGTTTTAAATAATTTCAATGATCATACTGAATGGGACAGATCCTGTGTATTGCTATTTTCATGCTAATTCCAACAAATTAATCCAAACGACCTTTTATCAAAGTGTACGAAAGGCCGATCAAACGCACGAGTCATTATCACGAAGGATAATAAAAACGCGTTCGTCGCGATAGGAAACTGCTCAGACGATTTAAACAATGGTGTCAGACAAGTTAATTAAGCGGTAAACTTCGTTAATATGTAATTTCCATGCATAATGCAAATTCCTTTCAATGCACTAAAAAAATCCAATTAGATGGTAGTTCATCAACCGTCGATAGACACAGTTCACGATGGAACAATCAAAGCCGTCTGTGACCTTAGATTATCAATCGGTCGAATTGTCCTACGTATTATTAGGTCTGAATCGATCGATAAAACACGCAGTTACGACGCGACATTTATTCTGTAAATGAAAAATGATTGGAACCGTAGGCATTAATCATTGATCCTTCACCATGTATCAATTCACGTTGGTCTTGCTTATATTGCATATTTCAATGATCAATGACTACGGTTTGAATCGATGCACAAGGTTAAAGCTGCTTAAATAAGCATTAATAAGAAAAAAGTATTTTTCTGATTGTGTGTCTTCTGCAGGAAGGACACCATTTTGAAAGAAATTATATCATCCAGAAACATTCGCTGTATTTGTTTCCTGAAAATAGAATTAAAGTAATCGTACAAGATTATCGATTTGACGTCTGCTAGGTGTAATCTGCTAACACACTTTCTATTCGTTATCTCGAGAAATGTGATTTATAAAGGTCGTTGGGATTCCTTCATCGTTTAAAACGCTTGAAGCATTATACCGAGAGTAAATGGGTCCTTGAGTAAATAAGATGTGAATCATGGAAATTTACATCCTGAGGGCATTCGTTACATCCCATGAACACTGCAATTATTAATGTTTATTACCTGTTATTGCATTTCTTTATTATTTATGTCGAGGTCGAACTCAAGCTTACTTATTCATATTTTAATTAAAAAATTAAAATTCAACTGAACCTTTTATCACTGATAATAACAAAAATTGAAATATAAAATCTACTTTTCATTTTTGGTTGCAGCGCTAAAGTTGGAATTTTACACGTAATTTTTAATATGATATAAACGTCTAAAAACATACAATAAGTGTATCTGAATTATAAATTGCACGTTGCATTTAGTTAATTATAAAAAAAAAATTACAGAAAAAAAAATTAAATATTTTACAGAATACTACCAATAGAACTAGAATTATTTAACCATTGCACAAATTTAAAATTAACTCGCAAAGTGTAAGAAGTAATAATTCATACATCTGTGACGTAAAGCCGAGCCGACGAACAGCTGTTCGCCTTTCACACGCGTTCACTTCCAGCCCAGAAGAATTTCTCGTTAACCCACTTCGTTGAGCAATGCAATATTGCCTGTCAAGGACAGGGTACCAGGATATCCTGCCATCCATCTCAGATTACTGTACATATTTATGAACTAATTCAGTATAATACAATTTTACATTTTAAGTGACTCTGGTGCAAAAAGCTTAATTTTTCGTTCAATTCACGTTACACATATAATAAATAAAGAAGTTTCAAAGTTCTGAATATGTATAAGGTCATATTTTTATTTAAAAAAAGAATTGAAGATGTATGTAAGGAAATTTAGGTAAAGTGATGATTGTTCTTTGGATAAAGAAATTTATCTTCGGAAATGTATCAGCAGAAATTTTTCCTTTTGTTGCAGGGAATGGCATTTAGCATCGAGGAGAGGCAAACTTTGGGTATACATGGTCTCTTGCCAGTAGCAGTGAAAACTCAGGACGAACAATTGGAGTTGTGTCGTCTGAATCTGGATCGCTACCCCGATGATCTTTCAAAGTATATCTACCTTATAGGCCTACTTGTAAGTGCATACCTTCACTAAACAGCTTCCCTGCATTTTAATGCATACAATTTTCAGTCAAAAATGAATGTCAGAAAATGTACATATTTCTCTGTATATTTTTAAATTACTTAAGATAACTACAGCAGCGCTTAGTTATGTATAAAATAGAATAATTAAAAAATTACCTAGTTACATAATTTTATCGCATGTAGGTTCAATATTTCAAAAACATCCTATAAGATTGAAATATTCACGGGTTTTGAATCAGTTTTTGTGTTTTTAAATATTAAAGCCACAGATTGCACTGCCTTGTTCATAATATTAAGTACAAAAAGATAAGTAATATTTAATATTACAGGACAGAAATGAAAAGCTCTTTTACCGTTTGCTAGCCGACGATGTGGCTAAAATGATGCCTCTGGTATACACACCTACAGTGGGTCTAGCTTGTCAGAAATTTGGTTTAGTATATCGTAGACCACGTGGTTTATTTATAAGCATACACGATAAAGGACACGTGTATGAGGTTTTGAAAAATTGGCCCGAACATGATGTGCGTGCGATTGTCGTCACGGACGGAGAAAGAATACTTGGCCTGGGTGATTTGGGTGCATATGGAATGGGAATACCCATTGGAAAATTGTCATTATACACCGCATTGGCTGGCATTAAACCTCACCAATGTCTGCCTATAACTTTGGATGTTGGAACAAATACTCAGGTGAATTACATTGAAGTTTACTCTAACATTATCTCTGAAAAAATAGTAAAACCTTAAAATTCAAATAGAATATAAATATTAAATGTTACTTTCTTTTGCAGTCTCTGTTAGATGATCCACTCTACATTGGTCATAGACATAAACGTGTCACTGGTCAAGAATATAATGACTTTTTAGACGAGTTTATGTCTGCTGTAGTCAGGCGATATGGACAGAACACCTTAATTCAATTCGAAGACTTTGGCAACGCCAATGCATTCAGATTACTTAATAAATACCGCAACGATTACTGTACCTTCAACGATGACATCCAAGGAACTGCTGCTGTCGCCGTTGCTGGTTTACTGGCATCCCTTCGCATCACCCACACCAAACTTTCAGAAAACACGATTGTTTTCCAGGGTGCTGGAGAGGTAAATATTAGTTGAAAGTTTCTTTTTCCCCTAAAATGGAAAAAGTGAATTAGATAACGTGATCTATTTCCAGGCTTCATTAGGTATTGCATGGCTGTGCGTTATGGCGATGATGAAAGAAGGAGTCAGTGAAGAGGCCGCCAAGAGTAAAATCTGGATGGTCGATTCAAGAGGACTGATTGTGAAGGATCGTCCATCTGGCGGGCTGACAGAGCATAAATTGAGATTTGCACGTGATAACGAGCCAATAGATTCACTGTTGGACGTAGTGAAGACAGCAAAGCCTACAGTTCTTATTGGTGCTGCCGCGATTGGCGGTGCTTTCACAACTGAAATACTTGAAGAAATGGGAAAGAACAACGATAAACCAATCATTTTCGCTCTCAGTAATCCAACTAGCAAAGCAGAATGTACTGCTGAAGAAGCATATACTGCTACTATGGTACACAACAAACCTTGAAAGCTTTGTACAATAATAGTTAGAATATGATGAAATAACATATTTAATTAACGGTATTAAATGAATATATGTTTTAATGTTTTCAGGGAAAATGTATATTTGCCAGTGGATCACCTTTCCCACCAGTGACGTACAATGGTAAAACTTACCATCCTGGCCAGGGAAACAACAGTTATATTTTCCCTGGAGTTGCATTGGCAGTTATTGGCATCTGTATGCGTACAATTCCTGAAGAGGTATTCCTCATTTCCGCTAAAGCTTTGGCCGACATAGTTTCGGAAGAAAATTTGGAGACCGGAAACTTGTATCCGCCATTGCAGGACATTCAGAAATGTTCTTTGACGATAGCCTGTGAAGTTATGAAATACGCGTATGAAAATAGTAAGAAACCGTCATTTTGTTTATTGCGTCTTTGACAAATGTTAAATGACTTAATTAACTACTAATCATTTAATTTTTTTTTATGTAGAACTTGCAACTGTTCATCCAGAGCCTAAAGACTACAAGGAGTTTCTTAAGGCACATCTATATGATACGAGTTACCAACCATCAGTTCCTGCAGTATATGCCTGGCCTAAGTTATAATTTTTTGACTGCTATCATCACTTACGATAAAATTTAAATATGCCGGACCCTCACACGTGCGATATGTGTTTCACAACGTTTATTTTTTTTTCTATTTATCACTATATTGTTAAAGCCTGTTGAGCAAGCTCGTACAGATGTGTATATGTATTTTGTGTGTATGTGTGAAAGCATCTATTCCGACAGAAAAAGATCTATGTATATCAGATTGTATGAGTCATTGATTGCATTAAATTATTATTGGGATGAAGTTTAATTTATTGGTTGAAATAATAAAGTTCAGATGATTATTTGAAAGAAATGTGTTTTATTGCTACTCGAAACAGCATTTTCTCGGTGCTTAAGAAGACATAGAGTTTCCATTTTTATACGAGCAGCACGATCGTTTGAACTTCTGTCATGTCGTGTGTATAAGAATTAAAAAGCAAAACAAAGATGCTTACGAGTGGTAGAGCTCCGTAATTTTAAAGTTACATTTTTCTTCTTTAGTGAAGAAAATATAAGCAGAGGCACGTCTTCGTAAGTAAACGTCGCGCTTTTTAAAAACGATATGCGATAAACGCGTATAACTAATCATGGGTATTCAAAAAATGATGAATTTGCCTCACCTTACTACTGCGATGAAATCAGAAAACACACATGATTGTCTGCAACAACACGAGCAATTCAACAAAATATTCAGGTATACGCCGAACCAAAGAATAGCGTCTTCGCGTTATCTTGATCCTGGTTACGAAAAAAAAATCATACGTCGAATATTTTCCAAAATAATCATAGTGTCCCTTATAGGTTTTCGAGAACGTTACAACATGTGTACCCTTCACGACAATTAATTGGCATTCCTTAAGATTTTCTTCAACACACACACCCTCTCTTTCTCACTCTCACTTTTTCTTCATCGTTATCTTAATTATCTCAACACGTACGCATATATTTACTTGTCCTTACACTAATCTGATTCTTACTACTAAACATGTTGTGGTCATCAATCTATAACAAACAAGAGTATAAACTGCGACCCTTCTTTACTCCAAACTTTGTTGCATCGTAACATCGTAATAAAATTAAAGAATAAAATGTACAGAAGGAGCACGTTTTAGAAAATGTTTACACGATGTGATTGGGACGCTGTTACGCTACACTGAGCAGACACACTGGCCGATTTGCACCAGTAACAGGGATCTCGTTAGTAATTTAGCTATCTACCCATTCTGATGTCTATAAACGGAGATGAAAATACGCCGTCATCTACGAGCGCTGATTTTAGCCATTCGACGTACACATACTTAATTAAGTCCAAGTTCCACAGCACCATTTCACTACTGCTTTTATTTCACGTCGTCTGGTAAACAATTCGATTAATTCACGGTTCAGTTGACAATCGTTTACATCGCAGAGTTCCGATGTTGTTACCTAAATATCCTTACAACATACATTTTAGAGATCTTGCAATTTCGATCGCTCAACGATTATCCTGTATGTCTTGACCGACGTCATCGAATCACGTTCTTGGGGAAAAGACATAGCCTCGTCAGACCTAATGATGTAAGGATAGTGACGTAGATTAGTAGTGTCGCCGATAGAGGAGTGTCTGTCCAGTAGGGAAGTCGGTCCCATTCCTAGCTTCATCGAGAGAGAGAATGTGATCGTTCATGAGATTGCTGAGAGTCTCCAGCTGCCCGAAGGTCGGGTAATCTCTGGTGTGCCGGTAGCGCGTCAAAGAAGGGATGCGCGAGTGCATCATTCAGAGCTATCCTCTGGGCTGGTTCATACTCTAACATTTTCTGAACAAGATCAAATAGCTGCCGGTGTTCTTCGTCGTCAGAAAGCATACAACGCTACACGCATAAAAGCAAACATCATTAATTGTTGCATCCCCCCCCCCCTAAATTGCTCACCTATAACACGTCACTGTTATTACTTACATGCAAAGGTTTACAATTGTCACGCACGTATCTACCAGCAGAGCTCTTCTCGTCCCAGTCCAATTTACCGTGGTAGAAGTACTTGGTCTTGGTCTTGCGAGCCATACGATGTGGAATCGTGCCAAGTATACGCTCCATCATCGCTAAGTGCTCCCGGTTGTCGTGTGTTTGGAATAAAGTAATACCCAGGTACAGTTCAAAAAGGATGCAGCCAATCGACCAAACGTCACAAGGCTGGGACCAACCTAATTCTACAAAAATAAAAGTACCGAGTTAGCGTCTGGCTCGGCGCAACGGTTCGGACGATTCGATGATTCCGTGCAACAGTTTACCCACCTAAAATTACTTCAGGCGCTCTGTAATGTCTCGTACTGACGATCGTGCTGTGATGTTCATGGTCGAATGTTGCGCTACCGAAATCGATGAGCCTGATGTCTGTCCGTTTTACGCGCCTAATATCCTTTCGCTTGAAAACGACAAACTTTTTTTGAATACTACAGACCTTGAATACTTCATGCTACGTGTTACTTTAAATTAAGCGACATAACATTGCTTTGGGTATATTCAGGATGTCCCTTGTAAACTGATAATATTAAACCCATGGTAAAATCAAAAGACCTCTTGAAGAAAAATTGTCCATTTAGAAGGAAAATATCTCTATCGAGATTTTAAGGTCATTCATAACATTTTCTATAGCATTAAGGAACAAGACAATTTTTCATCGCCTAAATGATTAAAAGGAATACTCTGTATACGAATTTTACTAGTCCCTCACCCTTTTAGTTTGGTATATAACGTCATAATCGGAGTCTACGAATAATATGTTCTCCGGTTTCAGATCGGTGTGCGTGAGTTTGTTATCGTGGAGAAATTTTACGGCGTAGCAAAGCTGGTACCCGATGTGCCTGACGTGGTCCAACGGATATGGCTGGTAACTATTGTCTCTCTATAAGAAAGCAAATCGTTCATGCAGTTCGAGCCCTAGACGTTCACTAAACGAATATATTTGATCATTATGTACACAACATTTACATACCAAGAAATCGAATACACTAAGTCCAAGCATCTCGAAGGCTATACACATGTGCCCGTGATAGTTGAACCAGTCAAGCATCTTCACGCATAGGCTGTAAATGGTTCAACATTGGATAAAATAGGTCAGACAGACCTCATAGATATAACTTCTGGTTGAAAGTATTCAATACCAAATTGTAGAGAGGAATTTACTGACATACAATGATAAAAGAAAACCCTGAAAAAGAAATCCCAATGAAGTGCTTGGGTCCATTTGGACCCCTATGCTTCCTTCTTTGTAAACACATTTTCGAATCTGTCTTCTTATATGACTATGTTATAAACAAGCCTTAGCTTACAAATTGATGATTTAAATAGAGATTTTGAAAACTCAGATCAAAATGGGCTCATGCCCAGCCGCAAGAGGATTAAAATACGCAACCGACCCAATTTCGATAAAACCATAAATTTTAATATATGCACTGTGATCAAAACGATTTCAAATTCGAAATCCATCCCCCACAGAGAAATATATATTCTTCCCCATTGCAAATGTACGAATAAATCTGCTGCATCAGTCATTCGAATACTTTTCACCAGGGTAAATAAAATCATCATCATGTACCCAGCAGATACTAACTGTTGGCCTTCCGGATCCTTGGTCGCGATTTTCTCTAAGGCGTTTATTTCGAGCTTCGCGGCTTCCCTATACTTCTCTACGTTCTTGATGATTTTCAGTGCCATCACGTGATCCCTGCAAACGTCATTGTACTTTTATTAGACGACTGATCACAGTTCCGGTCCCCCTGGTCGGGTCCAACGTGATTCCTCGTCGCAGGATGCGAAGGGAGAAGCCGTCTAGCCGGCAAATGACACGAAAAGGGGAAGAGGAAGGGGGAGGCTCTCTCGTTCGCGAGACTAGACGTGCTTGCTCACAGCGCTCCTCGACAGAGGAAGAGAGAGAGTGAGGACGCCTAGCCCGTAAAACAAAGTGCAAGGCCATCCTATTATTGCAACTACTTGCGCGTCATTTTCTGTGACAGTGCGGCACGGCTATTTCTGAGCGTCCTATGACTCGCGGAGTCGCGCCACGCACCTTTCGCGCGATGGATTATTCCTCGCTGGTCTCGGGGGTGGAATAGGAGATAAGGGAGAAGAAAGGGAACGGGTTCTTAGAGCGAGATCAGAGAGACGCAGAGACCCGGAGGTGTGTGTTACCTACGTAGTAGTTACGTGAGCGGCCAACTTACATTTGCAAGTCCTTAACCTTGACAACTTTTCCAAAAGTACCCTCTCCTAGGGTGGCCAGTACTTTATCTGCAATGTAAAAAGGTAGATGAGTATCCGATAGACGGAAGACCTCGCGTCCACGGAAGCCTCGGCCATGTTACTCCTCCGAGATCTGAATAAATCACTTGGGAGTCTTCAGGATGACCGGATAAAGTGATAAGTCTTTTGTTAGAGCAGATTCGAATATGTTACCTTACTTGGTAAACTATATTTCATCTAGTTAGGTGACTTTCTTTCGTAGAAAGGGAATTAATAACTGAAGAGGAGCAACATGGACATACTTCCGGCATGGACGGTTCGGTCGTTAATACTGTACGCCGGTAACGTAGTGAACGGATGTATGGTAAAGTGAAAAAAAAACGGTATCAATAGAGCTTGATATCGATCGAAACTGCTGTTCTCCTAAAGGCCGAGGTACCCTAACCGTAAAACGGCAGCTGAGGACATTGACTGTCAGTCCCGATGGATCTTGATGGGTTCTAATTCACTGATTTTTTTTTTTTTTCTAAACAAAATGAAACGAACGCATAATCGATAATATTGAATTTGTAATCATTAGAAGATTCATCAGGATAATGAGAGTGAATGTCGGATGTCCTCACGCGCCTATTTAAAGAGACAGGAACACGTCATCCCGAAGAAGACGTCTCGAGGAGATAGCGCAAGCGTAGTTTCTCTTTATTTCTCCTCCTTCCTTCGTTTCTCCATCTCTCCGGTCAAACTTCACCTTCGCCCATCGCGTGGGAGCAAGAGTTTCGTGAAGTACAGAGGAACTGCGTTAATTTAATATCCCTGAACGGTCGAACTAGCAAGAGTTTTCTTTTAAAAACTATCAACGTAAGGTAAAATATTTTGTTTTATATTAGAGAACCTTCTGAACGAGTGACCATTACATTTGAAGCACTAACTCAAATTAAACTTAACCTCGTGGTTGGACCTATACATAGGGTGGATCACATTTTGTTTCTTAATACGAATTCTATTTTTGATTCTAATTAATTAAAATTAACATTCTTCCTGTTAATTCAATTGATTAGAAGAAAAAATTCAGAAACAAATCTAAGCAAAAAGGGGGTGATAAGCAATCTTACATGTTCATGCGACAGATACGGTTCTTTCTTAATTTCTTAAAAAAAAAAACGTCCTGTACTAGCATTTTTAAAAAACATAAAGTTTGCTATAAGCATTGAAATTAATTTTCACTAATGATAAATAAAATTTTGTCTATGTCAAATACAAATATGGGCGCTCTGTATGTGTCGTCCACAGAACGGAACACACACTGCTCGCAGCGTAAGCTTTTGTTCAGACACGACACAGTATGTAATCTTATTCGTGATTAAGCGCCTATGAATCAAGCGGAAAGAAAACACGGGCCGCGGCTAAGGGAAACAGAGATATATATATATATAAAAGAAGACTTGTTTCAACAGAGGGAGAATAAGAATTCCCAGTGGTTCTGGTTTATTCAAAACTACGATTCGCGATAGACTATCCAAAGTAAATCTATATTAAGCATTTCAGTAATCCAAAGATATCATTCTTTAGGGAACGCGTATCCTGTCATCGCCTGAAGTTTGCTGAAACACAAGCTACCAGGCTACCGATCAAACTCGATTTACGATTAATACCGACAGAAAGGGAACGGAAGTTTCCATTCAATCAAATAGCATTCTTCGTCAGAACTGGCTGACCAACCGCGGATCAACATAGAAACTATCGGTTGTCCCGATCTGATCAGAAATAGTCACCCGTGGGACATTCAATGATCCCCTAAAAGCTATCACTACTGGCTATCTGTGTATCCTATCCTCAGCAGACCAACCAAAAATAGCAAGACTCTCCACTATAGATCATACTAATCAACGTAATTTCTAAAACACATGTATCAGCGGATAGACGAAGATGAAGCAAGAAATCTCACAAAGATACCCCGTGGTCAGAGAGACAGAGAGTGTAGGTGAGAAAATCCCGTAGGAAGGAGAGATCGAGAAGCAAAGAGATACTATGGGCAGATACCGTAGGTAACCGTCCGATCGATCGACCGATCAATCGATCTGAGGCTTGCTTAAATCTACTACAATGAGTGTATTCACGTATTCACGAACATCTATTTGCCAGGATGTCGCCGGATTGGTAAACAAGGTGGCCGTCTTCGTCGTCCTCGACGGAGGGCGGTCGTGGACTCTACACGTATGGGCCGGCGGAATCGGTATCAGCGGCGCGTGCCAAGAGAGGACCCGATCACAGTGTGGACAGCACGCACACACAGACCGGGTTTGATGGGCCCCGGGGTCAATGCGTCGACGATTCGGTCCCCACGTGTTTCGGTTTCGTGGACGAGTGCCGACCAGGGTAGTAGTAACGGTTCCCCAACCGGTCGTCGTTGTTGTTCGTCGATTCATCGCCAGGTTCGCCAGAGAGGTCGTGTTGTCAGCGCCATTGGGGAGTAGGGTGGTCGAGTCGTAGTCCACGGGTCGTTGTGTCGTGATCCATCGGCAGAGAGATTGAGAGAGAGAGAGACAGAGACAGACAGGATGGTTGTTGGGGTCCACATCCAGGGCAGTCGCGTCAACCGATTGCCACACACCGTCATCCACCATCACCACCAACACCACCACAAGGGCGGAGACCCGTGTAACACGCGGTAGAGGACGTGTGTAAGCACGGACGAACGTACGATTGTGTCGGTGGGGAGGAAGTAGGGGTATCAACATCATCATCATCATCGTCATCGTCATCGGTCATCGTCAAGAACCACCCGATCCGAGCGCCCCAGTCGACCATAGTGACCAATCCGTGTGCCATATCCATATCCATTTCCATTCCATTACAACGGAGATGGTAACCCAACAATCAGAGAGAAAGGGGAGAGGGCAAAATGGTTTGCCAAGTCAGAAAGTTGCGCTTACGAATTTACCATCGGCACAAAGCGAACATTTTTTTTTCTAAATATATATATATATATATATATATAGAATATATACTTTATTCTCATTTTCTTTACCTCTTATATATATACTTTTTTTTACGTATTACGTATTTGTTTAGATATCGTATTTTTCCTATGCTCGTTATTTTATACTTGTGTTAAAGTTAGGTTTTCTATCGCCTCGAAGGAGCCGTCTCGATTCAAACATCTCAAAAGAATACACATTTTCGCAGAAAGAACAAGTAGAGAGAGTATGTAATAACTTGTCCAGATCGCGGGATATGTAATTTCTTTCGGTTTCCATCTCGATTCCAGAGGAAAACGATTTGATTGTAAAGCGAATAGAAAGACTCTCGTTGGAAAATGGACAACAAGGAAATGGTCGTCGGACAGCTTCTTTCGAGTGCTCGTTAGATTTATTCTCTAACACGCTCGGAGAGGACTTTTTTCTATCATTGTTAATTAATCAATCATTGAAAGTTCGAGTACTTACGTGTGTGCGCGCCGGTGAACGCTCCCACGATGATCGATCCGTCGATCGATCCTCGTGAGGCATCGCCAACGCGGCAGTGCCGATCGATCAATCGATCGATCGACACTTTTGAGCCTACCTTATCGATCTTGCGAATACAAACGCGAACCGATCCGATACATTAGAATTCTCACAAAATTTCAATATCATTTTTTCATCAAAAATACAGGGCAGGGAGGCGGTACTCTTCCGGTTACATCGATCTACCAAACATTTCTTAAACCCTCGGAGGACTGATCCATGGAAGTCGGAGCTACGTCATTTCTGACCCATAGTACCATTCCAAATTAATGTTTTTAAAGTCTAGATCTCGTGTGAGCCATGTTCGTCATTCGAGGGTTAAAAACACATTCAAGGCAGATCATCAGAAAAAAATGCACAGTGCTATCCCAAAGTAGATCATCTCTAGAAAAACTGTTTCTCTTCAAATCCCTCCCGAGCAGAATCAAAGTCGCGATGTAGAATACCACAAATAACATATCAAGTCAAACGAAATCGATCTTCCGCGGTGTTTTCATTGGTCAAGCGGTAAACTGACCACTCAGTTATTCTGACAGCACGAAGTAGGGCACAAGTCATTTGCATTATCAAGTACACAGGCTCGAACGTGGCCATTAATCACGAAGAACGCGAGCTTGCGAACAAGACACACGCAGGGCCACGATAAGATAGCTCGAGCCGCGGATCATCCCCGGTTGGTGTCCAACAACTCTCACGGCAAGGGTACTCATGGTCTGCGGGGCGATTAGACACCAGTCAGAGGAGAACGCGCGGGAGATGATCGGCAGACGTGTCATTAGTGAGCCACCCACGAGCCGTCGTGTCCGCAAAGCCAGCGTGTCGCGTTGGGATGAACAAGTAACGGAGTAGTAGGAGGAGCAAAGAATTAAAACACGAGTCAACGCAAACAGCCACGCGTGAAGTGAAGGGAGGCAGGGGGTGGGGGGCAACAGCAACAACGGAACAACACTGCCCGCGAGCCGACCGGCCAACAAAAAGATAAGCCAGCGCGCGGTTCGACAACTTACAATCGCGTGTTGGATCGCGTCCGCGTTGTTAACGACACTCGCAGACGCATTCTTCGGCGCGTCTTTTCGTTCGTTTTGATGGTTGCTTTTCCTATACTTGCTGGCGATAATGTCCGTGGTGCTGGGCCGCATTTTGATGGTACCGCCGGCCGCCAATTGGCTGTAGGTCTCTTCCATGGCGGCGTACTTCAGGATCAAGCTTTGAATCTCTTTTCGTTTCGCTGCTCTTTCGGAGATCGCTGGATCGTCTTCGTCGATGGTCTGGACAGCGTCGATGCCGGTCTCGGGCACTACGCTACCAGTAGGAGTTTTATCGGGATCGAGGGCGTCTGTCTTCTCGGTGGCAATTACCGTGTCGACTTTCATAGGTCGGGTTAGTCTGAGCGCGGTCGAGCTGGACTCCAGTTGCTCGCTCTTCCCGTTTCGATAGGGTCGGACTTTGCGAGTTCTTGTCTCAGCGTGGCCTGACTTGTGTCTACCGTATCGTCTGTACGTATCCGAGGTGAGCAAGGTTTGTCGGTCGGTTCTGTGATAGGCTGGTGTCTTCTCCCGTTTGAACTCTTTCACCACGGCAGACTTGACGTAAGGGTAGGCTTTCTCGGATAGAACCACGCTGGCGGGACTCTTGACGACGGTGCGAGTCACCGATGGCTCTAAAGTCTTCTCGTCGCGAATAAAAGGACTATCTTCGCGGTGAAAGTAGCTATGTTCTCGTTCGTGAGTGCGTCTGTAATCGTAACGACCATGTTCCCCGTGATCATGACGCTTTTTCCTGGAGTATCTGTCCAGGATCGTCGAGTATTTATCCTCTAAACGGGTTCTGGTGCTGTTCAACTGGTTGACGTTAGGGGATCCTCTTGGGGCTGTAGGCTTGCTGCCCATGTTGTCGTTCAGCGTGGACATTCCGCGTACCCTGGTGGTCAACCGTTGCAAAAGGCTCGAGCAAGAATCGCTGAGCATCTGTGTGACGCTGGTGGTGGTCGAGGACCGGGCGTAACGATTACGCCGGGTCGTCGAGCCCTGTCGAGACGTCGACATGTTGTCACGTGGAGCGAATATGAACATTGAAGACGCAGAATCTCCGCCCACGCGTTGCACGAAATCTTCCAACGGACTCTAGCGGTCGCCTGATGCTGATCCACCGATCGACCGACTTGGCGTCGATTCGAACAATCCTCCTTAGCTCGCTCTTACAGAGGCATTCACTGCTCGTGCACGATGGTTCGAAAGGGTACGAAAAAAAAAAAAAAATACTTGGAAAGATCTCGAAGATCGCCCCGAAATAACTTCTCCTCGGAGATTACCGCTTGACTGCCTTTAAACTTTTAATCCCGTTTGTTTTTCTTCCTTCAGCATGAAAGCATATGTTCCTGGAAGCAATTCGTAACACGGAGAGGACACCTTGTCCCCCAATAGGGCGGCCAGAAAGCTCAAGGTCGTCCCGCCAAGACCTTGCCGTGCGTGGTCCAAAAGGTGACAGATGTTTTGGGGGGAGGGTGGTATCGAGTCGCCAGATAGAGGATCCACAGACGCCTCCGATCAGGGCTTCGTGGTTACGATCCACCGAGTCACGGGGTGACGAAACGTTGCTGTTGCTGCTCTTTGTCGCATATCACCGCGACAACGAAGGTGCCGCGAGCATGTCGATCACGCAAGAGATGGGACGACGCCACCGGAGGCACTAAACTACGACCACAAACGGCGGTCACGGAGACGACGGCCGACGTCGACCGTTCACGAAGAGACGAGGAGGAGAAGGCGAATCGGTGCGCCCCGCCAAATACTCTCGTCGCACTAAAAATACCGAGGAGCGGTGGTGAGCCTGCTCCGACCGTACGATTCTTGTCCTCCTCTCGCTGAAACGAACCACTTCGACGATCATGAAGCGAAGCGACAGAGAGACCAAGACAGCCAGAGAAGACTCAAGGAGAGGAGAGGCGGCGATGAAGACACACACGCGGAATCAAAACAGCTCGAGAGAGAGAGAGAAAGAAAACAGAGAGAAAGAGAGTCACGTATTACGTAAATTTGTCCCTCGGTTAAGTCGGAACGGTGAAGTTCGGCACGGTCCAAAGGATCGGGAGCTTGGCAACGCTGCGCCGTTTCCTGGTGCACGGGGGAGTCGCCACCCGGGAAACGTTTCGTGCACAGTTTACCGTTCACGCGCCCCGAAGAAACAATCGGGCCGGTTGTGTTCGTTACCGCGGGCTCTGGTCTTCGCCCCGCAACCACACGTTGTTTTCTCTCTGTTCTCACCGCGCACCTTGACACATATAGAAATTACGAAATCGCCGGTGCGCCAGCCATCGGCGGCGTTCGCTGAACGGGAGCAACCGAGGTGGAGTTCGGTGGTGGTGCACGTCCCCGCGATGAAATTCCGATCTACCGGTGACGGAGACATATCGCATAATTAGAACGGGCCCGATATCTAAACGCGATCGGACTTTGAGGTTGTTACGCGCCGCGATGATGTTGCACCACCGATGCGAAAAAAACGGATGGAGTAATCTCTCGTCGAGCGACTTTGGTAGCCAGTGGACAGTTTCTATTGTTGATCGATTGGAAGAATGACTAGGCGTACGTACAGAATTATTGAACGAGAGTTGTATAATTTTTATACTTTGTACAAATTTTACAAAAAGTCAACGTTACACCTGGTGATTTCTCCTTGTCAGTGTCGAGGAGCCTTCGAACACTCATCGAGGATTTACTGAATATGGATGATTTAACGACTTATAACTTATTGACTTTAAAAATTGTTCCACCTTTTTTCATGGTTTTAAAATATTCTATACATACTGCACAGCTGCTGTCTACTATGACGGGAATGTTGATCAATTAATACAAAAATGAAACTACTGAATTCTTCTGTAAAATTTTTACAGAACAGAAACGTACATACTAGTCACCGCAAGTTTCTTTGAATGCAATAAAACGGATTCGTTACAATTAATCTGAACGTACAGGTCACCAAAATGGCGGAACAGCTTGATTCTATTATGCGAAAGAGTCCCATGACGCCCACGTACGTTTCGAAAACCACTAAATTTTCCAAGTCGTAGAAGAATGTAACAACTATACCGGAAGAGATTGGGTCTGGAACAGTGGGAACGTGGTCAGCACACGCACCAGCGTTCGAGGACTCCCCGTACTATTAATAAAGCTCGGTTGCTCAAGGTCGCGTGGATTCGATATCGTCACACCATTTTCCACAAATTCGAGTATCGAGTATAAATACACGCTGTCTAGAAAACAGCGACGTAGTTTGCGAGTTCGCTCGCCCACGGTACCGCCAAAATTTCCTGGCTCCGTAAGCTCGAACACGATCGATCGAGGCGTCCTGAGGACTGCGTGATTTAAATTCGATTCTGACGAAAGAGTACAGAATCACGGGAGAAGGCGGATCGTATTACACCAATGTTGCGATTCAACATCGTTCTGAACGAAGACGCGTCAGGGAAATCGACTTACGAGATGTTGCAAACACCAAGCGATCTTGAACGAATTCAAGGCTGCGGAGAGGACCACGTTGCAGCGAACGTTCAGCTTGCAGGTAATCAAATGCATTTTCCAAGAACATGTATACCGATCGAGTAAAGTGAGGAGACTCCCTCTGACAACATCATCAGAATGATACCGCTGTCGATAACACTGCACTTTGATCTTTACATTACTAATTTTTCTCTTTCGTATCAATTATCTCTACCCCCTCCCCGAACTCTGTAATAGAGGATAAGACTTAAATCCACAGAAGAACAAGTGTAATACAAATATCCACTTCAGAGTTGATTCCTACGTGCCCCAAGGAATAAAAGTGACTACAGTTCTTCTACTTTCAGGTTCGATTCCTTCGACTTTTGCAACCGTCTGTTTCAAAGAATATTTAGACACTAGCTCTAAGTGTTCAACGATGAAGATCTGTCAAGTTTGGTTTATTCGGGACGAGGGAAGACGTTCTCCCTCAGACACGGGATGAATACCACACCGTCTACGTTCCTCCATGGTCAGTGCTGAAACGCGTTGGGAAAGGTTAAGTTCCCGCATGATCGGATGCGTTCGCGAGACGTCTGGAGACGGATGAAGAGGTGTTGCGACATACCTTCTTCTCCTTGGAGGAATAAAAGAACAGTTGTAGACCAACCCGCACACCTTCGGTTCAAAATAAGTCCTCGATGAAAGTGAGCTTTTCTTGGAGGTTAGTGATATTTATACGTACGCCCTAAGTTTAGAGAACCGAATCGATCATCCTACCCACGTTCGGTCCACGGGTACACAGACTAAAGTACGAAGCTCTGCACGATATATTCGTCAATCGATAGGAATCAACAACTAAGAAATTATAATATATCTGAACCTCGATCTTGTTTCTAGGTACACCGCTCCAATGTAGCAAGCTTGACATGGTATTTAAAACTGCTCGGAGAAAGATACGAGAAGAGAAAGAGAGAGGAGAAAGTGATAAAACCAGAGGCAGAGAAAAGGGGGAGGGACGTATCCATCGTACTCTCCACCATGTTCCCGAACGACGGTTCGGTGTGTTTATCGTGTACGAGTCTGCCAAATATAACCGAGAAGCGTGAAACGCGTGCGCCACGAGTGCACGAGTCGTCGTGGCTCGCGTGTTTAAATGTTTTTAGGCGAGTATCTAGCGGACTACCGTGGTCTTGCTTGCTTGGCTAGGCTCTCGCGGGCTTCGTTGTGTCGCCCCGTTGCTGCTGCGTGGCAAACGGCCAACAAAAACAAGTACATGCGTAGGTGATCTGCGTGTTAGGGTAAGTTCAGGCTTAGGTACATTCTATCCCGATGTTTGTCACCGGTTGTTAAAACCGAATGTATCGCTACCGATACATAGTGGTACAGTGGTTCTTGCCACTTGAGTTAGGCCGATAGAAACAGAAACAGTTGTTGGAATGTGATATAGAATTGAAAGATTTGGACCTGAGGATTGTTTTAAAAAAATTTGTTTTGAAAAAATGAAGTGCAAAAGCTAATTTAGCTCTAATTTACAGGAAAACCGAATGGTGATATCAGAATAAAAACTGGGGAAAATATTTAAGAGTCAGAAACGATTTGAACACGATCTTCCTAAATGAATATGACAATTGTTTATAAAAATGGACATCAACTAAAAATATTCTGAAAAATGTCGTCACCTAAGATCAAGATACATCCCTCAAATTTTATCAAAATCTGGAGTGGATTAACCTCAGGCTCTTCGTAACAGTCATTCATGACGAATTTGTTTCTTCAAAGTCCAATCTTTAATACGGAACAAAGATTATCCAGATCTAAAATGGTAAATAGTATACTCAGGCGAGACATATGAATCTTCGCTCTAAATTTTAGACTGCTCAATCTTATATAGGGTGATTTTAAATTAATGTTCTAAAAAAGTATAAGCTATTTCACACACACACGACAAATCTGCACAAAAAGTAAAAACCTTGAAATTATTTCGACTAAAGAATTCAAATAGTAATCACTAAACTTTAGAATAGAGTTGACCGATAAATTTATAGAAACCGAAAACATACAAAGAGATGAAAAGAAATATCAATAATGTTAAATACAATTTAGAGAAATATATTACGTTTAACTGCCATTTTCATGAATCAAGTCACAGAAATATACATTTTCGTAGCCATGGCAGCTTTTATTTTTTTTAAATAACAGTTTTACATTAACCATGAATGAATATTCCACTTGTAAAAAACTTAAGCGATTCTGAAAAGTAGTTTCCTCTAAAGAGTTTTTTGAATCTAGACTTTATCTAATTCCTATCAAGGTGGTGTGCCTCGTTAAGCTCCCCTCCTCGAAATTCCTCGACGCAAGTTTAAAATCACCCTATACATCCGACCGATTCACTAATCCCACTTATCAGAGGACAATCGTCTCCATTGACAAGGCCCAATCAAGTCCGTCAGTCGTTCCATGGGAGGAACACGCTTCTCGATTACGAATGTATCCAAGACTGGATTTACATAAACGCAGACGTAGCCGGCCATGTGGTTCATTGGCGCACAGAAAGAAGCACAATTACGACAGCCGCGCGCGGGCGCACACACACTCTCAAAGGGGGTTCGTTCAACGGTATAGATAAAGCGCGTGTCCAGTTTCGTTCATGCTACCTCGGAGGTCGAATTGTCGTTGGACTCTGGTGTCACGTCGAGCTTCGCGTCGAACTTCCTTATCGGATCAGCGGGATGGTTCCGCTGCAGCCACGGATCCCAGCCATGTCTGGGCCACCAGGAGATCCCGCCTGGCATCAGCAGGTTGTTCAGTTCCTGTCCAGGGATCGTCGTAGTCGAGGACGACGGGGTCGACGGTGGGCCACCATTGACCAGTCCGCCCCCGCCCCGGACGCACCAACCACCTACAGGCTCCAGGTTGTCGGTTCTAGGGCTGCTCGAAGCGATTTCTAGTTCTAGGATACCACCCAGCGGGAACACCTTCGTTCTCACGGGTGCATCTTGCCAAGTGCAACCGGTGTTATTTCTAAATCCAGGTTGATCGATTCTGGGTCACCAGATGCTGGGACACGGTGATGAGCGGAACGCGGCTGCACCGCATCGGTAGAGTTACCTTAATCGACGACGTGTAAATACCGTTAACGGACACCTTTTCTCGGTTACTTTTCTTGCCGGTGAATGCCGTCGAGGACCGTTCTCTCTGGGGGTCAAAGTGTCTGTCAGGCTTGTATACACTGTGTATGTGTTCTCTTCGACTGGATAGGTTTCAGTCGGACGGAACTTGGACCAACGGATCCTCCGAGTGTATTCTTGACGCGTACCACTTCTCAAGCTTCCAGCATGTTCACAACAAGCTCGACTCCAGTTTGTCTCTTCCCCCGGTCTGTGCCTCACGGGATAAATATAATCTCGCGATCGCGACGCACAATCTCCCGATGCACGGGTTGAACTTTCTTGGATGGGTTTCCTTTTTTTCTCGCGGACCAGTGGTCGCGGTACACGCGGTACGTGGTCTCAGCTTCCGGCGAACCCGGCTTTTCTGCCGGTTTCCTCCCAACGGCGACGCGGACGACACACGGTGTTGCGCTGCTGGCCATCTGGCGCGAACTCGCACTAAAACCGCGGCGAAACCGCGTGACGAGTCCCCCTCGAAAATAGTCCGACGGTCGAAAATAGCCGACGCTGGGTAAGAAAGAAGAATCATCGGCATTCGCTCCGGGTAAGAAGCGTCGTCGGTCGGGGTGCTAGTCGCGGTGTACCGGCCTTCTCCAGAGGACTGATCCGCCTGTTCGCCCGAGTATCTCATCGTGGCTACTCTTTTTTCGTCCCTCTTCATTCTGCTCTTTCCATCGATCCTGTTTCTGCTCTTCGTTCGCCCAACCACGCTGCGTATTTATATCGCGACGCGCGATCCATTGTACAGGGAACCACGAGTGGAACACTGATATCGCTGTGCAGGGACGATAACGATACAACATGGAGCAAGGATATCGGGACAGTTCGCGTTATAGGGGATGATTCACTCGGTCTATATTCGGATCGTGTAGGTGCTTTTTCCCCCTCATTTTTCATTGAGCAATAAGAACGATAGAAATAATACAATTTAAAGATGATCCTGAGATTGTATAAAATTATTGGCCCACCCCTGAATGAGAAACAATTTCTAGGTTGCTTTGTGAGATCGAGTTGAGTGATCTGGACCGATAAAGTACCGCAGCCACCTGCCCGGTGTGTACGATTACTGGCTGGGAGAACGGGGTCGGGGTAACACCGGTAAATCGATCCATCTTACGTTACTCGAGATTGTCGTAAATGATGAAGAACGACCAGAATGCAAAGAGAATATAGCGGCCAGTTGTCGGCGCCTTTAGACTGACCTGACTTCTGGAGGACGGCGAACGGTGTCGATGCCGGTCCTGGCTCGCCGACGACGAGGCATGGTGTCGGTAGATCCTTGGACGCCGGGAGGAGGTCGGGTGGGCTACGCGATCACGATCGCGATCACGGTGACCACCGTGTTGACGGCTGCTGCTCGGCGATCGCCGATGGCTCCGCTTGTATCGGCGCTCCTGACTGGTTCCACGGTCGTGCTGACGCGACCTCAGCACCCGTTCGCCGCTGAAATGCAAGAGAAATGTTTATTCGCGCGTTGGAAAAATTAATGGGATTCGTTTCCTTGTTCCTAAATTCAAAGGATTTTGAGTGATTTTATTTGCTTAACTAGCAAAATCTTTTAATGGATCTAAAGTGAAACTGAAATTAGAAACTCTGTTGCAATTGTCGGAAACAATTTTACTTTCACTGTGCTACACTTATGAGTTAGCACTGAAAAAGAGGGAAAGGAGATCCTACGGATTTTCTAACTGACTGACCACAGTATTCGATGACTCATGTCTGTGGATATTTCAAGAGGAAAAAATTAAATATCAGAGATGAAAGCGTTACTTACTGCTCGATACAGTAACGTTTGTTGAAAACTGATTTACGCAGTAAATTATAAATAATGCAAACTGAATAAAGTCCCAATAAAATTCAATTTTCATTTTTTGTGAGATTCGCTTGTATAACTGTCTGCAGTTTATATACATTCTTAATTAATCTGAAATCAAGATCTGTAATTTAGTACAACTGCTTATTATTCATCTATACAAATGTTTTAAAAAATTCAACTTCCTAATGAAACTTCAAAATTTTTTTATAGATTTCATTAAACTACTCTTTCTTCATACGAATATTCATCAATTTTGAATTTTTATTAGCATTTTAAGAAAATCTGATCAGCCATTATCATAACATAAATAAGAATTGAAGTACTTATTTGACCGATCAATTTATTCATCTATTTTCGTCCACTCTAAATTTATGAAATTTATATTCAATGGATTAAATTTTGCAAAGTGATTCAGCGACAGAAATACAAGAGACAGAAAAAAAAACATTCTATGTCCACAGCAATTTCTTTGTAGGTACATTCGAGACACGAAGGTCACTTTTCCTTATTGAACCGAAGGCCAAAGGATATGGTGTCTCTTCGAACGAATGAAATTGCTTCTGAATACTACACCCAAAGGCCATTTCAAATTCTTTTTTTCTGCATGTTAACGAAGTTAATATATAGAATCGTCTTCGAGAACTTTCAGAATTGCTTCACGAATTCCAGAAACATGTGGATCACCCGGTAGATTGAAGCAAAGGGGAGGAAAAAAACGCGAATGATACGACGATATTCGTCGTTCCATGGATTCCTCCGGAAGCTTAATATAGAATGTTCGATTCAAAACAGAACTGACTGAGAATCAGGCATAAGCCCGCAGCGTGTGCTGCACAAAATTCGTTCTGTGTATTTTACAGCAACAGTGAGTTGACCTACTTAAGTAGTCTGGCTTCAAATAGACCATATTTCACTTAAAAGAACATATTTGCTGACGTCTACTCGTAACATCTTGATCGGGAGCTGACTATGTCAGAAAATCTCTGAGTTTCAAGGTTAAGTATTTGCAGAGGATACCTTCTTGAGTACCTAGTGTATATTGTAAATTTTATATTGAATCACTTTTCTTTACAATACACCATCTGAATACCAGCTTTGAATTTTAATTAAATTTTTATAAAGAATCATCAGAAGTTTCAAAATTTTGGTCACAAGTAACCCAGTCGTCATTCGAAGGCTAAAAAATTGTTCAAACCTTACATCACTGTTCATTCCAAGGCAGTAGATAAGAATGATTGTTGCTCGTTCGAGAACAGAGAGCATGGGACAAAGAAGGCTCGAAAATTCGCTGCTAATGTTACCATGACTCACGCGACGGAAGTCATCAAGATTTGTAATTGGAAAACGTTCTAATAACGTCGCATTTGGACGAGGAACAGTAGCATAGATAAAAACGTGATGTGGGTACCTATGTATTAAGTGATAAGCAGACTGCGGATGTCTATGCAGAAACACAATTTTTTTTAAATTGTCTTACACCAACAGGAAGTGAATAGAAATTT